ATTAGATGCAAATGCAATGCCAGTGAATGAGGTGCCGGAACAGGTATTACATAAGCCAAGTGATAATCATAAGGCTCTCAACTCAATGATCACGAATACAACTCCATTGGATGGGTCCCTAATAAGCAGTATTCAAATGGCAGACCTGTTATCTGGTATAGCGGTTCCGATAACACACTACACGACATTTACATACTTTACCACATTCTTTGCCGACCAAAGCACTCGTATAATATCTAATACACAAATAGTATCTAATGTTAAAACAGGAACTATTAATTTGGGTCTCAAGACTTCATTGACTACTAGTACTACTAAACCTGCAATCAGCACAACAACTGACGATTTGATGCCAATTACAAGTCATTCTCATTTCGATCAATTGATAGCTGCCGGCGCTGAAAATAGGCCAATAGTTATTACACCAATTACTAGACTCACCACTACTACTTACTTTACAACTCTTCTAATACCAGGACAACACTCCACTGTTATCAGTAGTACACGAGTTTTGTCTGACGTATATATCCCAACAAATACACAAACAGCACCAACAGCACCGGTACCTATATATGATTACCGACATTTACATCACCTACATCTCGATCCATCAATGACTGAAACACATGAGGCAACAGCCATTCATTCAACAATCAATGATAGAATTTTTGCTACCGAAGCGCTTCCATATAGAGATTACACTACTGATACAGTTTATAAAACTTATACTTATATCACAACTAGATTTCCAAACGGTCTTCCCGTAGTTGAAACCAGTTATGAAACATTTACCGATTTTTTAACCAAACAAATAACTGTAACCAATGAACAAAATACATCCAAAAGTAATCTATTTTTAATAGAAGATCCCGACACTCATTCAATACACGGCCGAACAACTATCACACTATTGCCGACACGATTCCCAAACGGAACGACAGTTATTGCTGACAATACAGAAGTCTTTACTAATCGACTATCAAATGCTGACATTTCGCCAATAACTCCGTCTAGAGTTAGAAAGCCTATTGTAGTGACCAGAACTCGGGTATTGGGTAGCGGTAGTCAACCAGTTATCTCTGGTACGAGACGACCAGTAGTTATTATCAGAAAAAGACCGGAACAAGAGGAGCCCAAACATATACCGGTGCATAGTTTAGATCATTTTATTAGCGAACATACAGATAGAGAAGAAAGGGATGGTATTGCACCTCATATACGAATAGTGCCACCAAAAGAACCATCGATTAGTCATTATCACGAATTTTCGTCTGCAGATGATATCGGAAGACGGTTCCCAAAGATAACTCCAACTCCCGTCACTTTTTATACCACATATACATACTTTACTACTGAATTAGTGAACGGAAGACCAGTAGTTAAAAGTAGTGAACAACTTTATAGTACTGTTATAAGGGATAAAGTATTGCCGACCCGTACTATACCTGTAGACAATGTGAGACATAAAAGAAGTGTTGTTTTAGATAAAAATAATGAAACAAATGAGGACTCAATTGATTCTAAACAAGACATTGAAATCAATAACATTGAAAAAGACAAACATTTTATACAACCGACTGACTCTTACAGTGATTTAAATAAATTAAGAGATAATAGTAAAACAAAGTCACTGATTGATTCTATGTCTACTCAAGAGTTAATAATTGACGAACAAATGAAAACTAAGACAATTAATGTAAATAAGAGCACAGATAGTGAAACAATTGGTATAATTTCAAAAAATATAGAAATTAAAAGATTGCAAACAATAATTACAGAAATTTATGGCACTTTAATAAATGGATTTTACGCTCAGTTTGCTGTCACCCGAACCCTCTCTCAAGCAAATCCTATTGAAAATAATATGAGAACAAAACCAATTGATTCATTGCTACCAAATTTAATCAGTAATAATATGACACCCATTCCTATATATGACAGCTCTATATCGGGTATATCAAACATATCGGCTCAACAAACCATTATAAAGACAACTCCTTCCTCTACAAAACAAAACTTATTAATGAGTTCAGACCTTAATTGGATGTCAATTGTTGATTTGAATCAAAATAATACTAATAATAATAATATGAACACTGTTTTGGCCTCAATTGAACCATCAATTGAATCTATAGAGTATCGATCAAAGATATCAGAGACAAGTACTCCAGTTATATCATCCATTGTTGAGGAAACGGGATTATTATCATCGACTGATGAAACACAAGTAAATGATGATAAGACAACTGTAATTATAAGGCAAATCTATGGTACGTATATTAATGGCATTTATGCCCATTTGGCCAAAACAAGAACACAACTTCTGACTAATCCCTCATCTTTGACCACTTCTTCAACCACTTCATTCAAAACTATTTCTTCTAATAATACAATTCTGTCTTCCACTCAAACTAACCCAATACTGGAACCAACGGTTGTGGTCTCTACTAATAATAACGATGTGATTAACCAAAACCAAAGCACTGCTGTCTTAAAAAGCCTACACAACGACAACCAAAATATCATTGCAATGAATACTACAAATAATATGAATATCACTGATAACGGTATAACCCGTACATTGAGTACACAAATTAATAACAATAAAACAACTGTTTTCACGACTGATATCCAAATGACTACAATTAACGGCACACCGGCTCATATCGGACTCGTCAGCTCAACAGTGATTGAGCCGTGGACTCCATTGCCAGGTCTGGCATCTGTAACAACCACTACTGAAGTCAACGACAATACAATTACATTATATACAACTGAATTCTATACAACAGAGATCAACGGATTTATAGCACATTATTCAAGAAGTACTTCCAATATTATGACATCTATTACAAGCACTTCTGATATAATACAGGATTTGATCCCTGAAAAAACCAAAACTATTAGACCATTCATTCATTTTCCAACTCCCGTTCGCTTTTTATTTTCATCAAAACCAATGTCAACATCAACTCCTGTCTCAATCGTTATTACAACTTCTACAATAAGTCCAGAATTGTCTTCAACTGATTTTCCATTTAATAACATACCCGACAATCACTATAATGACAACTATGGAAGTGATGAATACTATGACGAAACCTCTGAACGAGTAGAACACACACCCAGAAGTCGACCGATTCGGGAGAAAGACTCGCAACCATTGATTGAATATGAATATGAAGATATAGAACCCACACAACCAATAGTAGAACCACCAAAACCACAAACAATCAGAACTATTCCATATCGGGGAACAGTTAGACCAACGGTACAAAACCGACCCACTTTAAGAAACGTACCACTCTCTAGACAGGCTAATACATACACCCCTAGACGAGTTCCCGGCGCTTTCGGGCAGAGAGTTGGTTCACAATCATCTCAACAATCACCTCCGTTACCAATATTACCAGATTATCCTTTAGAATATCCTATAAGAGAAATCGACCCACAAGTGCCACAAAGAGGTACAGGTGTTACACGACAGAGAAGACCAGTTACCAGAACAGAATCAATTGCTAACACTCGAGCTTATAATGATTGGCGACAATCGCTACCTGAATATCAAACAGTTGACAGAGAAAATAAAGATGAAATTACTAACTATTATAATAATAGACAACAAGAGGACCAACAAAATAATAGATTCAATGATCAAAACTTAAACCAAAATATGAGAAGACAACAAACAATACAAAACAATAATAACAATCGTCTTAACACAAGACGACGACAACCGCAAACCACAACTACACCGACTCCAAGAACTCATCCAATTTTGCCAAATAGAGGTCAAGTGAGACTAAATAAGAAATATAGTGGTCGGTCGCGATTCAATGGTCACACACCAACTCAAGTCGTAAATAGCTATTCAGATGAATCGACAACACGTTATAGAAATGACAATTATGGGGATCAAAGAAGACGTAATCAACAAAAAGCAAGAAATATTCCGAAAACAACTCTTTTAATTCTTAATAATCCGAATCCTTCACAATATTCACAACAAGATTATTATTCTTCGACAAGCAATACAATAGTGACTCCAACTTTACCTAAAGTTCCCGTTACGGTCACATCAATTGTCACTACTGTTAAAACAATACCTATATTTCACGGTTTTAAGACTTCTTACGCTACTTTGACAACAACAACACTGAACTCAAGTGTGATTCAAACAGATCAATACGAAACAAGTGTTAATTCAATTGATGGCATCACTAAAACAATATTCACTCAAAGCCGAGACCTAATAGAGCCAACAAAAATGACTGAAGTGTTGATAACTACTTCAGTACTTTATGAGACTAAACTAATACCCCGTAAGATAGGGTTCAGTACACGAACACAGACTTTAGTAGACACGAAGACATTGACATTGTTAGTGACATCAGTGCTGACAGTCGCGCGGCCCGCGTCACTCGTGCTGCCGGTGCCGGCATTAGGTTTATCCTATTCGCTTTTCACTTCTACTTTCATAACCACCCAAACCTTGACCACTACTACTGTAGTCTCACTTTCAGTAAGAGATGAGACTATTCTAAGTACTCTTACACTGACTTCATTAACTGAGTCAACAATAACTACGACCCAAACCATACCTGTGCCGGTAACACAAGCCGTTTCATTTCCCGTTCCGCAACCCATTACAACTTTGCTAACTCTAACTCTGACTGGTGATGGCGGGGATATAACACAATTGGTAACTGCTGTCACTGTTCCGGTTCAGCCGGTGTTTCACACAAAAGTTGAAAGGGATGTAAAGGCAACCCAAAGTCCCAGTGCTCTAATACAGCAATCACTGGGTCCTAGTTTTAACTCATTCAAGACTTTTGACACTTTTGAGCACATTTCCGTCTCATTCAAAACTGTTGATCAAATGTACCCAACTTATGATCCCTTATTTGTTTCAACTATTTTTAAAGGTCCAGAAACTGAGATCTATGAGGCGAGTGCTTCTCTGGTTCACAAACAACATAAAGACATCTCAGACGACAAAAATATAAATTACAATCAAAAGAATAAAAATATTTTTAAAGACAATAAATATGAGACAACTTTCAAAAAGAGAAAACTTCAACAATTCGCAGGAAATGACAATAATTTTGGTTATCCTTTTAGAGCCATTGACTACTCGACAGTTAATTTGAGGCCACAATCTGTTAGTCTTCATGTGGACCAAAATCAACCGATTCCTGATTTTATTGGATTTGATAGTCCAAGATTTCAAGCACAACCACAACTACTGTCACAATCCATTCCTCAGCCACCAATTCAAAGAACTCCGACTTCAAGAGCGCCTTCATTTCAACGAATTCGTATTAATAAACCACATTCAGTGTCATCTTCTTCAATAGCAACTCCACCCACTCTTCCATTTGGATCACCCAATGATCCGCAAGAACTTAGGTTTCACCGAGTTATTGGTTTAGATAGACTTCCAGAAAGTTATGATACGACACCATTAAGAACTACATCTCAGGGCAGTTTCAGAAGAGTTCCTGTATTTAACAATCAGATCCAATCTCTTTCACCTTTAAGACCACCAATTATAGAGCCAACTGTTACTGATGTTTACGCCACATCTCTTCTTTTGTCTCCAACATTTGCCCCAACATTTGGACCACCAATAGTAACAGTTGCACCAATTATTGAAGAAGAAAGACCACAGTTTAGAAGAGTAAGACCTATACAAACACAGCCACAAGTGGTGCCTAATGCCAGAAGGATTAAGCCAAAGGTTAAAGTATCGTCGAGACGACCTACTTCTACACCATTGCCCACGTCTATTGAGGTCAGTTCTGTTGACATACCTTTCTTACCCATAAGCGATGTCATTGACATTCCAAGAAGAGGTCCCGTTACTAGAAAACCTGTTCTCGAAAACGATGGCACGCCATCACTACCTCTTATAACGTCATCGAGAGTTAGATTTACAACTCCAGTATCAATAAGAGAAACGACAACAGATACTCCTCGTCGAGTCGTTAGAATAAGACGACCAAACAATACACAAAACAATAAGAAAAGAGTGATTTTGCCTAAAAATCCTCAGTCTCTAAGTGAGTCCGAACTGCAGGCACGCGGACCCGTTCCCGCTCGCGATGACGAGCCATCCAAGAATAATGCTGTCGATAGCGACGAATTTTCTAACTTTGGGACACGTCTTGTAGAGAATGGAGATAAACCCAATGAAATCCATACCCCAACCCTTCCATTAACTTATTACACAACTTTTACTTACTTAACAACTGTAGTTAGAGGTCAACACACCGCTCATCTAACCCGAGAATCGATAACATCTACTGTTGCCACCGAAGCTTTGGATAAAACAATAGTTGATTTGATCCAAAATAACAATGGAATCGTTAAACCAACAAAAGTGGTTGATTTAGGTACTAAAACTAAAGGTGTGACCACTACTATAGTAAACATGGTTTCAAAAATTTCTGTATATAACGATGACTTGTTTAAAGTGATTCATTCAACTAAACCTCTTTCAATTGCCACCACAATCACCGACAGTTCCCAACAACACAATAGTATTATTCAAAACAGTATAACTTCTCAAGTTATTAGACCCACTTCTGTTGTCAAACAGATTTTTAATACAAAATCTATCGAAACTCCTTATAAAGTGTCAGAATTGGATACAAAGCCTAAGAAAGAGATAACAAGTTATACATATTTTTATACATTATATGACAAATTAAGTACCAAATATAGCACGCGATCAGAGGAGGTGACATCAGAAGTGGCTCCCAATGCTATTTCATCGTATAAATTGGACTCAACTATTAACTCAAATGGTTTACTAAGTATTGGATCGGGTGCTGAAACAGTTCACTTGGGATCACGAGAATTGGCGGGACTCACAACTGAAGTCAATTTGGCTCTCAATTCTTATATTAAATTCCATGATATAAACAATGCTTTTGTCGAACCGTTTTCCACAAGAATAGCGGAACTCTCGAGTCAAGTATTACCGGCGGTCATAGAATCGGTCGCAACAAATACTATCGAAAGTTCATTTACGACGGAATCCAATCAAATGTCTGGCCTCTCCACGCCTACCATTCCTCTGGAAACACAAATAGGACTTCATTCAAGTATTACTCGAAAACCACTTAAACTGATGAGCTCTGCTGTTGTGATAAGAGATCCAAATATGAGATCTAAATTGGATCCATTTGCCAGACCCGGAGTTCGTGTTAGAGTTAAACCATTTACAGACACCAAATCGGAAACAACTTCTTCAACAATTGAAGAAATTGTTAAATCGAGTGAAACAGAAGTTTTGCCGACAGAAGTTGTTTCGACTTCATTTATCAGTTCATCTGAAGACATAACACCAGACCTAACGCCTACTAAAAAGAAAATTGCGGTTACATTGAGACGACCATTCGGGGGAATCAGTCGACTGGCATCTCGTAAATCACAACGAGTTTCTGTGTCGACTAAACCTCGATTTGTTGTCGTCACCAGAACCGGACCAATTCCTTCAGTGCAATCAACTGCAAGAGTTAAAATCAGTAGTCGTGTATTCAAATCTCCTTCAGTAAGTCTCGAAGTGACGCCAACGCCATCGGTTGAAGTCATTGAACCGACGACTACTTTCAACGAGAAAGAAGATACACTCGTTAAGGATGTGACAACAATTCCAGTTGTTTATGGTTTGGACACAAGTTATACATCAGTTACACTTACATCAACTATCTCTCAACCAACTACTCCACTACCTTCACAAATGACTGTATACGAGACAACAACACATACGGTTCCCTTTACTGTTGGTGATCGTACCATCTATACAACTGTCGAAGAGACCAACTCAAGAGTGATCTCTCAAACTTTGGGAAGTGTCGATCCATCGGACGCCGCGCGCGCCAATAGATTCACTAAAATATCTAATGGTGTCACTCTTATTGTTGGCGATAATATTAACCGAACTCAAACACAAACAACTCTTCAGCCAACATTAGTTACCGGAGCTCAGGTTCATATGAAAGATGGCATCAAACCTGATATCAAACAAACATCTGATTTGAAATCATTAGGTTTGGTAACTCTATTTGACACAAGAACTCTGTTCACGACATTTACATATTTCACGACTTTCTATACGGACGACACATCTATAATATCCAGTTCTGAACAAACGGTCTCTAATATAGTGACCATTCCTTATACACATATCGTTGACTCCATAACACCGACGACAGTCTTGGAAACATCTGAACGGCTGAGAACTCAAACCGTTTACTCGACTTATACTTATTATGCGACACTTTTCAATGGAAGCACTTCGACAATCACTCCATTAGAAGAAGTTAAGACCGAATACTTAACATTTAAAGAACCGATTACTGTGACAAAGACTGTCTCTCCGATGACCACAGAACAGACATCACTCATCACAAGAACCTATTTCACTACATATACCAATTTGGTGACCTTCTTCCAGGGTAACAAACCGGTAACATCGACTCTTGAGGAAACTGTTAGTAGTGAAGTGGTCTACACTGTACCTAATCTGGACAGTTCTTCCACAAGCAGTGTGTCCTCAATAATTAAAGTAACGCCAGCACTGGAAGCACCTGTTTTGCGAACCCGAAGCACATACACTACACTAACTCATTACATAACATTGTTTAGCGGAAGTCAAACCATACTTTCATCGATTGAAGAAATCAGTCCAACAGTGGTCACTGAAATTGCTGGACAAACTCAGACTTCAACCATTGATATCTTACCAAATATTCAGTTCACACATCCGTCACAAAGTGCCTCAAAAGCATCAAAGGATTTGTTTTCTGCTTTGGTTCCCACTGTTAGCACTCATTATACAACTCATACGTATTTTACAACTTTGTTTAGTGGAACCACTTCTTCTATAATTAGTCGCGAAGAGACATCTTCATCATTAGTCACACTATTTGTTTCACCATCAGGTGCTTCAAGTACTTCAGTTTCATCTACAAAATCTTTTGATTTATTAGAGACAGATTTGAATAAGAGAAGTAAAACAGAGTACTTAATTGAAGCAACACCTGTGATAACAGTTCCCGAAAAGATCATCGAAACGACTATCGATGAAGAAAAACTCAAATCAATTCAACCGTCACTTAGAATAGAGAGCAGTAGTTATGAGGTATTTGACTCCAGTATAATATCAAAGGTATTTGAAGATCTTAAGAGTTCTGAGGGATTAAGTGACGAACAAATATCATCAGTTGTGGCTGAAGCGGGAGCGTCGACCACAATCATTGATGGATCTACTATTGTCTTCTTCACTAACTTTATACTACCCTCAACTGTCAACGAAAACATTATGGTATCAACTGATGCTAACAATATAGCTAAGGGTCCGGCAGGCGATTTGGTCAGTTCGCTGCTTAACAATGGAGACATGTCTTTACTTAACAGTTTACTGGCCTCTCGAATATCATCTGTGAGAAGTACAATATCACCGATTTATATAACACCACAATTGACATTAGATGCGGAACAACAAATGACTGCAATCAAACCGGGAGCAGTCATTGAATTAAGTGACTTATTAGACGGTGCAAATCTGGCCGGAAATATAGGAGAAGCTATTAAAGATATCGTACATATTCTGGCAAAGGCACCAAAAGGAAAGAATGGCACACAAGATGTCGACCGAATTAGTCCATCCAAAGAACTGCCGCCAAGAGAAGGAGCAGGAGTTAGCCTTTCACAAGAACCGGTATATATTCCATTGGGTGTAATCAACAAACAAAATGTTGACCAAACTATCGATAAAATGTTAAAACAAAACTCTAATAATCAAAGAGTTCAAATCATTCCCTCAAAATCTGTTGAAATTCAAGTGTCGACCACTTCATCCATTGTGCCACTAGTAGTGATGGATAACATTCCCATTGAAGGCTCGTTAGAACCAAATAAAAAGGTACTACAAGTGGTAACAGATCATCAAAAACCAACTCCACTGTTGTCTTCAAAGGTCGTTAAAACAACGAACCCATCGAAGACAGCAACCAGTAGAGTGTCTTCAGGAGCCACCACTATATTCTTTACAGACTCGACACCTAATTTTGCACAAATGCCGACATTTATAGATTCAAACACTCCGATAGAGTCGACTAAATATGTGACGAGCGTTGAGAGCACAACACGAACCCTAACTTTAACAACAACTAAGGTTTGAATTTTTAAGTCAAATGTTAGACTAAGTTATTATTAATTATTATTATATAATCCTTATTACAGGTGTATTATACTCGTGACTCTCCACTAACTATAACGTCAGTGTTGACCACAACAATCCCTCCGCGAACTTTTGTTTCAACAATTATTGGTTCGCGAACTATATTAGGAACGGCAGGCGAAACACAAACCGAATCAGTTATTCCAACTCAAGTAACTAAAGCTAACTTTGTTGTGTCCACCAAATCGGCAACTGATCCAAAGCCAACAGTACAAAGACCCACAAGAAAACCAGGTCAGGGAACGTTCAGAGCACCGACACGACAACCAGAAACACCTAAACCATTCAAGACATCAGCCCCAAGACCACGAGTACCTTATAAGCCGCCGCCACCACCTTCACAGCCGCCAATTCTTAGTGGTGTTAGTGAGAGTCCATATGTTCCTAATAAAAGACCGACATCTGCACCGATACCCAAAACTACTAGACCTAGCATTTTAGACATCGATCAATGCAAACCAGGCTGTAATGCAGCCAATAAAGAAATTTGCAAAGAAATTGATGGCAAATATAGATGTGATTGCAGACAGGGATTCATCAGAAAAGATGGTGACATCATATGTCAGGGTATCACTTATTTTCGTTTATTATGTAAACCAAAGTCTAAATGATTTTAAACAATTGTTTTTCTATTAAACAGAACTTCAGAACTATGTGGTCGTCGTTCGTGTCATGAAAGTCGGCGAATCAGAGGTCACCTGGTTTTCAGAGTTTTCTAATAACAATTCCAATGAATATAAAAGTTTAGCAAAAATGGCCAAAAAACAAGTGGATTCGGCATATATGACCACTGATGATGTCAAAGAAAATTATGTCGGAGCAGATGTTCTCGGCATTGATAAAGTTGCCGACGGAGGAAATGGAGTCTTAGTTAATCTTACAGTTCATTTAACCAAAAGACACAATTTAGATGAAGATTTACTTCGAGAGAAACTAATTAAGAAATTAGAAGAAAAATCTGAAGTCTTACCGAATCCCGAATTTATATCAGCAGATGTCGAGGATGTCATTGATTTTGATGAATGTAGTTCTGATCAATACAATGATTGCGCCCCATCTGCACGTTGTATTAATGAACCCGGAAGCTATCGGTGCGAGTGTATGAATGGCTACCCAGACCTCGACATTTCACTGCCCGGAAGGGTCTGCGCCTCAGAGATCAAAGGATGTGAGTTCTGTCACGGAAGGGGTGACTGTATTCGTGATGAGTCGGGACAAAGCAATACTTGTCGATGCAATCGCATGTATTTAGGCAGAAGATGTCAAATCAATGGCCTCCGTATGTCTCATCTCTTTAATTCATTAATTCATTAATTATTTATATTTTTAGATATATTATTAATATTTGCAATCATTAACAGCATTTTAATGAACAATTAAATCAATCGTTAGTTCAACACTGCTTAACATTAGTAATTATAATATTATAAACAATAGATTTAATTTTATATTTTATTGATATTATTAATTCTACAGTTTAGTTGTTATTTTATTAATTTAATTAGTTAGGGTTTGATTTTAATATTAAATATATTAATAACAGTTTTTCAAGTTTTAAGTAAATTACTACCCAAACAATATGATTTTATTACTGTATAATTGATTGATTGACAACTGATATGGAAACTAATAATTATTATTATTATTAAGTCATTTATGCAGTCAAATAGAGTTTCCTTTAACTTATCATAAAAATGATGTTAAAAAGTCATGCCTGTGACTAATCTTTTAAAATATTATTACAATAATGTCATATAATTATTATATAAAAAACATTTTCATATAATTTAATACAATGTTAGTCATAATTATAATCAATAACATTGTGTTTAAAGTTATATTTAAAGTAATATAATGAATAAACAGGAAGATATAACTAAATTCTTGAAAAATCAGTCAAATTTTGTGCTCACATTTCATGACATTTTTAAAAACAAATAAAATACAATATATTTATTATACTAATTATATAACTATCTGTATATTGTATTTTACAATTACAAATTACAACAAAAACAAAACTAAGTTTATTAGAAAATTTGAAATTATTTTATATATTATACTGTATAATGTATTCAACTATATTTGTATTTTATCTTTTTATACTTTTATAGATATATACCTTTTATTACATGTTTATTATATAAAATTAGTGTAGATTTGATGGTAAACATTATAGTGTATAAAACTAATGAAATATATTTGATTTTGAAAATATAGTGTTGGCTATTGTGTTACCGATCGCCGCAATATTATGTATAGTATCGATATGTTGTATAGTATATTGTTGTCGCAAATGGAGGAAACGCACAATTTCTAAGGGTTTCAGAAACCTGTCATCATTTGGTCCGACAGTAATCGGCGGTACTTTAGACCGAAAGGCAATGTTGGAGACATCCAGTGAAAGTAGTGACCATTTAAGGTCTCACGTTTACGACGGACCTGCTATGCTTCCCGTAAATATTTATTATGTTTTTATAATAATTGTTTGTATTATTAATTGATTGATTTGTTTATCAAAATACCTAAAGAATGATCCGAACGGAACAGATTCGCAAAGAAGACGTGAAAGTGAGCCGAGTTTGGACCGTAGTATGGGTTCAATGGGCGGTCCGTATAACAGTTTGCCGCCGCAAATAGTCATACCCCGTGCGCGCCATTCCTCTCAACAGGTAAACTATGCCATACATCGCGGACAAGTGTATATGTGGTGATTACTGTTCCCAATCAATACATTGTTACCACTTGTGGCCAATCAATAATTATTTGCTCAGACATCGCATCTGTATATAACATGTTATTATTAATTAATTAATTCCTTGTAATTTCATTGAGCTTTTATTTTAATGTTTGGCCCTAAATGGTCGGTCCTAAAGAATGCCGACTCCTTAGTGCCACCTAAGCCGCAGTAATGCAGCGCTTATTAAATAAGTTTTGTAATCAAATCCTTGTTATTCATTAAATAAAATGTTTAATTTGTCTGTTATTCTGGTGTTGGCTGTCTTTAATAGTTTTTTATATCAAATAATATCAACATATCAATTGTCACGGGTTGTCATAATTGTTGATAACTTGGGGTTTTTGGTCACATATATATCGGAAATGAAATTGAACTAAAATTTTTGATGGTTTTATAAACAATAATAAATAGTAATAAATAATTATAGAGATAACATATAGAGACAATTGTTTGTAAAATTAACAGAAATGATAAAAACAAAACAATCAATGAGTTAATTGCTGTTATGAATTATAGGGGTTGATGTATGCAACAGAAAATCATCATTCAATCAATTATTCATTTGTTGACAATTCAGACCTACAAAGAGCTCATATACTCGATAGGTATTCATTTGATAATAAAAACAGAATTAATGATATGAATACCTCAACCAAACTGTCCAACAAATATAAGAATAAATACGAAAAAACAAGTGATTTAAGAGGAGATGACGATAACAAAAGCGCGGTATAAACCTCTGTATAATCACTTTGATTGACATATTCTTAACAAAAAAATATCATATATTATACAGAATTCAATTAAGTCATCGTCGGTAGTAAGTCGTCGTCTTCGTAATCATAACAATGAAAACCCACGACATGTTTATGACAAGTATGACTGGGACTGGAAGTCAACACAAAAACAAAGACATTATGACTATCATAACCGACCCAAAAGTGAATCAAATTTACTAAGGTTTGCATTTTTATATGATTATTCAATTTAATTAAAATTACTTAAATAAGTATTCATTTTTTTATTTTTCAATAAAAATATATTACTTAGAAACCAATATAAAAAATTAATTAAGTTAGTATTTACTTATTTAACAAATTTATTTATAGATAATTGAATATTTAACTAACTATTTATAAAATAAATTTTTGTATAGTACTATATAATTTGCTTAATATTTATGTAAAAATACAAATATATTAAATGATATAATTAAATTTTAAAAGGTTTGCAAAAATAATTAAAGTAAAAAGACAACATTTCTTTAATTAATTTGTTTGTTAAGATAAAACTATTAAGTGGTTATAACTTTACCTCTTACTAATAATTAAGATACTTTTAAAGTATAAATAATATATTTTTTGTTTCACTTTAGAAATGTGAATAATTAAATATATATTATAATAAAAAACATAATCAAAAATGTATATCTAAAAAGATTAAAATTATTTTAATTTTTTAAAGATAATATAACTTTGATATTTATGATGTCTCTTAAAATTAATTATTTATAATATAATGAAATATATGTTATAATTTTGACTGCACTTTTATAAGCTTTATATATATATTAAAAATAAAATATTTCTTAAACAAAAATAACAAAATAAAATATATTGTTTTCCAAAGCAATTCCCTAATTATAAATATGAAATACTTTAACAAATATTTTTGAAATATGTACGGTAAATTAATTGTAAGATTTTATTTAAAATATTAAAACCTATATATTTACATATATATTATATGATTGACATAAATATATCATTTTTATTAAAAATTATTTAATTTATTAAATAAGATTAAAAATAAAAATTCCAACGAAATATAATTCCAAAGTTTTACATTATAAATCTGTACAATCTTTAAATTATATTTATTTGAAACATATATATATATATATATATATATTATTGAAAATGTAGGAATTTTATTATTTATGAAAAAATTTAATTTTATAAAAAAGACTTTTCTATTTATAACAAAACATATTTTGTGTTTTATGGCAACAATTTTTAAAATAAATCTAAATTTATATATACTATAATATAATGAAAAACATTTTTGAATTAACTAATCTATTATTAATAATGTTTTTTATAATTTATCTACTATATTAAATATTTATATAATTATATATAAAATAGTATATAACATTATAATTAATAATAAATACAAATAGAAATCTATATATATATATATATATATATATATATATATATATATATATATATTATATATAGAAATATTAAAATATAATTTGTATAATAAATTGATTGATATATAAATATATTTGATATATAGAAAGTCAGAATCAGAAGCGGTTCTCGCATTTAAAGAGATGGAGTGCTGTTCGCCTACACATGTGTTGAGTACAGGGCTTACAACTGACTCAATCAATAATGTAAATCATATTTAACGGAATTGTTTTTTTACTTTTTTTTAAAAAAAATAAATTCAAATAATTTTACTTAAATTAAAGGAAAGATTACTATTTGAAGAATTGGATGCTTCTGAAGGAGTCGACTGTGACATCACTGGTAGACAACGATTTAAAAATGACTTATTCTCACTAAACTCAACCGTCACCACAAGTCATCACAACTATAGGCCAAATAATAAGGATTTCCACAAATTATTCTTTTAAAATATCAAATTACCTATTGATGCCAATATTTTTACATTTATAATATGATATAATTGATTATAAGTAACAATATAATACAATGATAAAAATTAATTTATTTTAATATATTCAATTATATAGATGCTATTACACAATGAAAATAATTTTAACAGTATTTAATCATTAGTTTTATTTTCATTATACTGACATATTATATAACAAAATAATATAAAATGTAATTTTATATATAACTTTAGCTCAATTTTAGGACAAACTTATTAATACAATATAAGTTTTATATTAAAGTTTTAAAATAATTTTATAATTTTGTTTATACAGTTTTAATTATTATAGATATCATGTTATACTGGTTGGGAATATTGACAACCCAAACTAATATTGTTAATTTAATATTATTATTAATATTGTTGTTGTTGTATTTTATTCAATTTTATGTTTAAAAAATTGTTGTTATTTGAAAACCCAAATATTTATATAAAATATGTATACAAAAGGTTAAGGCAATGGTGACAACGAGGCAAAGGCTTCCTTATTTGTGTGCCATAAATATAAATGTTTAGTAAATGTTAAAAAATTTAAATTATTAGAAAAATTTTATTTACTTTACAAATAAAAATGACTTTAAAATATATTGATATATATTTATCTCAGAAATAGAGAAAAATTCCGATTGGAGTATACATTCATCAAAAAACAACACATCTTTTAGTTTATGTGATGCGTTGAGAATAACAAGCAATACATATCGGTATGTGATATATATGTTTGAAAAAGATTTACTTTCTTCAGATAAGACTGTTTTAAGTTATCTTAAGTATAAAAATATAAGAAATTCCAGGACATAGAGTAATGGCAACATTGGGTCTCATATTTTTGTCATCAATGAACAGTTGGCGCCAGAGATTAGTTTTTTTGCTAATATTCCCCTTCAATACTTGTTTTAAACCAACTTTGCTTTCATTTGCATTATATTTTAAATGGTTATTAACAAGACTTACTGTAAAACTATATTTCACAATTACTATCAATAAAATATAATCTACATTTAAAAACCAAGTTTAAAAAACAACTTGAATTAGTGTTAAATAATATTTTTATTTTCATATATTTATATATAATATGACAAATATTTTTACAAACTTTCAAGAATTACAAACAAAAAGCAATTTATATAAATAAAAATGAGTTATAATATTCTAAAAGTTTTTATAACATAATATATCAACAAATAATTATATAATTAATATATACTAAATATATCAAAGAATGAATATTTAAAACAAAATAAATAAATAAAGGAATGTATAATATCCTTAAAAATGTATTATTTCTACTCATTTAATATTTATATTTTAGACATAAATTCCAGTCCAATATTTCAATAAAATGATTGATACGATTGAATTGATTTTCGATAATTTTAATATCAGAAGATATTTAAATATTATGTAATTTCATGTTTAAAATTGTCACTTAAGCATCTGATGTCATATTTCTGTAAATAAAATTTTTAAAAAGATTATTTTAAATTTAAAAGGAAACCATTTGTCAAAAAATATTTTAAAATTTGTGAATTAGTTTTATTGGGCGCCCGACGTCTAGTGCGCGCGGGTGGCACTCGCCTCACGTTAGGCTCAGACTTAAGTGTGTCTTAACATACAATATACTTAAATAAATAATATTACAAAACTATCAATCATTATTGATAATTATATTATTTTTATATATTTATTTTTTTAGATTATAAACAAAACTTTCTTCTTTATCTATTTATAATTTTTTCAATTATTTTAAATAATTATCAAAATAAAAAACAGTATTTATTAACTTTTATGATTTATTATTTTTTCAGTATAATATTATTTATTATATAATATTAATAATACTGTATTTTTTATTTGAACTCATATCAATTTGCTTATAGTTTTAGTTATATATTAAATTTGTGATCACTTTAAAAAGTTATTTATTTATTTTTATGTTTACCTAAGTTTTGATGTTTTATTAAAATTTTGTTCAAAAATAAATGCTTTTTAAGTATTTGCAATTATAGATACTATATTATGTTATGAATTATTTTTATTAATTATATTATTAAAATAATTTATATGTATTAATGTAAATAATTTGATTATATAATACATACAATTGATTGCAATTGATTCTAACATTTGTGGACAGAGAAGTGTTGGAGAGTCGATGTCAAGTAAGAGATCAAATGCAAGGGTGACTGAGTTGTCATGAGTTCCGGTAGACACCAATCGGACAGCAGTGTTACCACACGCCACCTCTATCTTGTGTTTGTCTGTTATCATCAAAATTACAATTTAATAAATATTATACAAATTAATGAATAAATATTACTTGGAATAGAATCAGTTCCACAAAAGTCTTCAGCGACAGCCATTAAATGAGGATCGAGTCCATCGCCTCCTAGTATTTCCACATAATCTCGTTGTCCCCTCTCTTTACACTATAATTAATCAATTTATTTATATAGTTGTAGACATAAACAATATATAGTATTAGTAATTAATGATGTTTATAGAAATAGTAATAATAATTACTTTTTTGATAAGTCCGGTCTCCACTTCCAACATTTGTGGTGCCATTAAATCATCAGTACGTGTGCTTTGAGAGCCAACATTGAGTGCAAGTATACGAAAGCTTTCGGGAAATATGATGGAAATGGTGCAATTGATGGACTGACCATAATTTCGTAGTGTATATACTCCCTGAGGATTTTGTAGGACTGTGTTGCACGCTATCATCAATTTAATACAATTAAATATAGTTAACGCATTTTAACCATTAATAAATGATAAACAATTTGAAATAACATTATTATTTGTCGTAGTTTTTATTATTAATAGATTCATAATATATATTAAATTTAAACATTATATTTAATTAATGTTAATGAATATACTTATTGATAATATAATTATTATGTGTATAATATAATTATTCTATTTGTAACTTTATATTAGATATATTTTTTAAACTAATAGAACATTTGATAATATTTAAAATAATCAAAACAAACTATTGATATAAACTTAAATAATAAATATTTTTATATATTTCTTAAAATAGTATTATAAATGCTCTAATTAAATAAAATTATATCTATATTATATAAAATTAAACAATATAATCAATAACACTAATCTGGTAATAATAAAAATAAATACATTTAACATAAATATACTAAAACATAGTATTAAAAGTAAGTTCATTTATGAAGGCGTTAAAAAAGTGGTACTTTTCAAGCTTATAGACTGTATTTTGCGGTCAAAACCATTGAAATATAATATTTTGAAAAACTCTTTTTAGTGATAAAAATGAATAATATTTGTAATGTCTTTATATAAAAATAGAGACTAAAAGTTATTCAACTTTGACTTTATTTCTTTTAAGTTCTGATTCTGTGAATAATTGTTTGACAAAAAAAGTTTACAATTATTGAGTTAATCTCATTCACGATAATCAGTGTCTTTAATGTCTTTATTATTGTCATTACATAATAAAGTATTTGAATAAATAAAGTATTTAATATATTTGTGATCTGAAATTTAGTATAATTATTAATTCTACTCAATTGACAGCTATTGCTAATTTGAGAAATATTAAAATTGTGTTTACATAATGGTATTGTGTAGTACAAAGTGTGTACTTTTATGATAAAATCTTTTATCATTGAAATCTTGCTATAATTATAGAGATTAGTAAAATAAAAGTTAAGATAAGAGTATTACAAAGTTTTACATTATTAGTGACTATTTATTTGTTAAATGCATTACACAATAGAATATTAGATGTATTGATAAATGAAAAAATCAACAAAAAGTATTAAGACATACGTTTAGGGTTTCGCACAAATTTGACCCGAACTGTGAATCCCTGTCCCCGAACGGGAACCCGAAACTCAATTAAACCCACGTTTTGTGATGTCCTGAATGACTTCCATGGCTTATGTAATCCACAGTATTCTTGATATCTCTGATTCCTAGGAATCAAATGATCTTCAGTTCCGGGAAAGAACTGTCCATTTAGTTCCCATCCGTCAACAACACTGAGTAGACCTCCATTAGCACAGCTGACATCAAACTCTTCAAACTCAAACTCAACCAAATAATCGGGATCTGAGATGACATATAATCCGCAAATATTTCGATAGCCCTCTGATTGAAACCTATATGTGTCCTCTTCTGACTTCACGTAAACACATTCTATACACAAAACAATATATTAAAATTATTATTAAATTAATTCAATTTAATAATATAATAATATGTAATATGTATAACATATAATTATATATTTTATATACAAAATAAAAATATTTTAGATCTATGTTTTTTATTTAAATATTTTTAATGTGCAATTGGATAAATCTATGTAAAATCTATTTATAAGTAGTTAAACATTTAAACTAGAAAATATTTGTTTAATGACTATTTGATATCAATATATGATAATATAATCACAATATTTAATTTCAATGACAATTAGAATATTTCAATAAATAATTAAAAATTAAATGAAATGATAATTTTTAAATTTTAATCTTATACAACGAAATTAAAAACTTAAAACTATTTTTATATAAATTACACTTAAATTAGATATTTAGAATTTTAAGTAGGTTTTTAAATAACAAAATTATCACCTGAATTGTGATGCAATGAAATACCGTTATATGAATTTATTAATGTTGAAAAAAATGTCAATAAATTTAAAATCTGATGAAACATTGTTTTCATATCATATAAATAATTAATTTTAAATAATTTTATATTTATGTCACTATTTAATTCTTAGACTTAACATTAATTAATGTTTTATTATAATGTCATCTTATTCTATATAAGTTCAAACAAATCAATTATAACTCAACATTTAATTATATATTGATTGAAAACAAAATCACAAAACAAAGTTTTATTTTCTAAAACTATTGAAAAAAATGTTATTTTTTAATTTTAAGACAAACTTGAATGGATGAACACAGCATCTAAAAACTATACTCCAAAAACCATCACTTATTTATATGGATTAGCAAACTGTGCAAACAGTGTTACCTGTGTTGGGGCTGTTTGTGGGGCTGTTTGTTAAGCCTAACAGTCATAGAGTGTCTGACTGTTTGCCATTTGCGCACAATTTGGTCACACATTAGTTATGTTTGACATATTCACTGCATTTCATAAAAATTTCATTTAATTTCTAGCTTTGCATCTCTTCTTTTAAATTGACATTTATTTATACATTATATTATATTTATTTATATATACTGTAAATACAATTATTATTTCATTTAAAGTTTCCATAGTAATTGATTTACATTTATATTATTTCAAGTTTAAGATTATCAAATAAATCTTATTAAATAAGTTAATAATAATTTATACACACATAAACATATAAAGTGTAAAAAGTATTATTATTTATATTATTTACAAGTTTTAAACAATATATAATCTAATAAATAAGTTATAAATAATTTATAATAATATTAAATTCGTTAACCAAAATGATTAAAAAAATATTTTTAAATAATTGGATATTTAATTTTATAATACAATATTTATATATAATTTATATAATATTATAGCGGTAACGGTACTAAAAATCTTAACTACGATTATTGGATGTTTGTTTTTATAATAAAATTATATAATCTTCAAATAAATCAGGAAATTAAATACATATATTAGTTAACAAATAGTATTAAATTCATTGACTTTGTATAAGGATTTTCCGCTAAATATTTTTAAGTTTTTTAATCTTTGTTTTGATTTATTTGAATGACATGTTTGGGACCCAAATCCAGTTCAGGTGACACTTGTTTTCAGGTATTCCCCAAACTTTATGGCGGTTTTCCCATAAACCGGTCCAATCATATAAAGGATTGTCATATATATTATATATATATTAAACACTTTCATTTTTTCCATCAATTTGAATAGTATTTTATCATTTTATATTAATTTTAATGTTATTAATAATGTTTTTACATATTTATTGGTTATAAACATTCCATATAAACATTATTTACTGATTTGTTTTCAAGTTTTATTTCTACAATAATATTTTTGAAATATTTTAGCAGCAATAAAAATATATACACTATTTCAATATTTGATTGTAAGTGTGATAATATACCGTATTTGAATAATTCAAATAAATTAGTTGAAAATAATTTATTATACTAACTTATTAATTTAATGTAATATTTATACAATACCTTAAAAATTATTTGATAAAAATTTAATATAAGAAACATTTTACTAAACAAGACATTAAAAATAAATTACTTATCTTAAGTTTATTAATATAATTAGTATTATTTTTTCTTAATTAAACTTCTGATTACTGCAATTATTGCAGATATTTAATAAAATTACTCAAATCGTAATAACATTAATATAAAATAAGGTATATTACAAAAATATCTAATAAACAAACTAAATAACAATCAATTCCACAATAATTACAATATAACTTATTGTCAAAAAATGATTATATTATAAAAAATGAAATATTTTATTTAAATAGTGTTTTATAACTTGAATTTTGAAAATTTATTTATTTATAATACAGTATTATTTATGCAGTTTTAGAAATATTAACAAAAGTAATATTTTCAAATTATGACTATTTATTAAATAAATTAAATAATTATTACTCTTATTAACAATAATTAATAAATGCTTAGAAATGGGAAATAGAACTACAATTAGAATAAACTGATGAAATGTATTGTTATTACTATAAAATTAAATAAAAACAATTTCATGTTTATATACATAGTTTTTATTATATTAAATATCGAAATTTTAACATTTTATCAACTTATTAATAGGTTTGTTAAGTCATATTACTCTAAAACTATTTAATATATTTAAAAATGCTAAAAGAAGTGTAAAATAATTTCTAATTAAGTATAATTTAGATTCAACAGAATTCTCATTTAGTTTATAAATATCATACATCCCTGAGCTATCATAACAGTGCTAATATAAAATCAAAGCACTATAATCATTGTATTTGTGACAAAAACCATAGTTATAAGTAAAATATTTTTTGTTTTATTCTCATCAGTTTAAAAGTTATAACCAAAAAACCATTGTCACCTAATTTGAAAGTGATTTTATGTTTCATATATATTTCAATATTACATATGAAAATTATTTAATAATTTTATCTCATAATACGTTTCCTTAACAATACAACAGATCCGTCACACTATTATTACTTTTATTTCAAAAAAAAAATCTTTACAGTTAATTTAATTAAAATAATATAACAGATTTTTTATTTTAAAAGTTAAAAATTTTAGGTTTTAATAATCAAAATAATTTTATTTTGAATTTTTGAGATATTATACCCTTAACTAACATACCGGTGCGGTTAGAGTTGGCAAATAAAATAATAGATAAATTTCTGTTTATGGGATCCCATATTAACTTTGTTGTCTCGATATTTGTTATTTTGAAACAATTCATTATAAATATAAATATTAACTAAAATTTATTATTAGTATTTTAGTTAATATTCTAATTTTTTTTAAAATTTACTTTACAATATAAAATTTTACAAAAACTATAATTATAATTAGATAATTATATTAATTTTATAAATAATAATCCCATTAATGCCATTAATTATAAATTAAATTCACTATACCTACCTAGGCTAATTTCAATTCAACTAATCTAATAGTAGTGTTTAGTGTATATTATATATCATTAGTACAGTATTACAATAGTTATAGATATGGGGATCCCATAGTACTGTATAATATTAAAGTTAAATTTATATTGAAAATTATTCATATTATATGAGAAATTCTATTTATTATTAAATGTATTATTATTATCATTTATAGGTGCGATAATATATGAATAAAAAATAATTATAAAGCCTATAATATTTCAATAAATCGTAAAAAATATTCCTAAAAAACTAGTATTATTACCCATTATATACCTGATTTATATTAATTATTTTTTAAATATATCAATATTTTATTATTAAACATAATATAATAAAATGTTTGTGAATATGTATTCACGTGGATCTACTCAACAATCCTTACATTTGATCATAAAATGTAGTGATTATGTGTTTGATTTGACATTTTGCTAATTTACTAATAAATTATTAATTTTAGAGTTTTCACAGAATCACTAAAATTTTTGAACTAATTTTAGTGATCAAGTAATTTGTGAATCAGAAAGTCAAGACCTAATACTCATGAGTGTTATGGTATAACTTGATTGCTTTGGACATCACAGACAATGTCTTAACAATTACTTTAACAACAACAACAATATACAGTATATAACGTATATTAATATCATTATACTCTACTGTATAGCATAAAATTTAAATTAAATAATTTAATATTATTATATTTTTAAATGATTTTTAAACACTAGTTTAAAAAAATTCATTAAAAACTCAATATTTTAACTTATATTAAAATTGTCATTAATTTTAATAATTTTATATTTAAAGTAATCAAATTATTTTATAATTATAAATTAGTTATACCATCGATATGTCCCATGAAATCATAATAATCATACAAAAAAAATATTTTCATTATGTTTTTCAAAAAACTAGTCTCACCATTTTTGAAATTAATTTTATAATACATTAATATATATTAAATAAATATATATATATATATTCTTAACAATTGTTAATAAGCAATAAAACCATAATTATTGTTAGTAAATATAAACCAAAATAATTCAATAGTAAACAAATTTTATTGATTACAAATAAATTATTATTCAATTAAGAGTCGACTCAATTTATTAGCTTTTATTTTATAAATATATTGTGTTATAAATCATAATTATTTAGTTTCAATTGAAATGAATGTTTATTTAATAATAATATTTTGCAATAAACTAAAATAAGACATAATTATTATGAGATGATATCATTATTTATGTTTAAATTCAACTGTTTTGTATTAATATAATACCTATAATTTAACAAATATTGATATTTATAACATAAATATGATATTATATGAAATAATATACAAATTTAATAACTATTTTAGGGAATAAATATCAAATTCTGATCAAATATTATTCAATACTTTTATTTTACTTTATAATGACTGTTAAGCAAGGTTTGGATTTTAGGGGTTATAGGATGGGGTAAAATGGAAAAAATCTTTTGAAAAAAATGTTTTGAATTTTGACTTTGTATAATACAATGTACAAAGTATTATACAATTTTTAAAATTAATATATGTTAAAAAATTAATTAGAAATATTTAGTAAAAATATAATTGCTAGAAAATGCAGTATTATTATAATTATCGTTATTTTTAAATAAAAATAATGAGATAATTTAAATAAAAAATAGAAATTTTATAAAAATAATATTAAATCTATATTTGCTATAAAACATGGTGTACTTTGTTTATATCAATGTTTTTAACACTATGTAACGCTAAATATTGTCTGTAAGCCAAATTGGCCATGTATTATACATTGTACAGTATTATACAAACATTTTATCTCTGCCAACACTGTTGTAGAGTAATACAAAAAGTATATAAAATATTGGATTCAATGTACGCCTAATGTTATATACTATACTCTATTAACAATTGCAACAAATTGAAGACATTTGGTTAAAAAATTATTATATCAATTGACTATATATTATATATATATATATAGTATAAGAGTAAAAATTAGTCATAATTTACAATAGTTTTTTAAATAGAAAAATCATAATTAATATTATTTAATAGAAAGAATCTTAAACAGCGACGGCGGCGATGCTATTAATTACAATTATCGGTTCAACAATACGTTGAATTAAAAAGTGACCAAGGGCAATGTTGTAGATAATTTTATACTGGATAAAATTATGATTGGTCATTTTTTAATTAATTGGATGATTTGCCAGATAATTGCAGTCAACTATAATTTATAATTTTTTTAACCAAATGTCTTCAATTTGTTGCAATTGTTTATAGAGTATAGTATATAAATTACAGTTGTAAATTATCTGGCATATATTACAATTAATTAAAAAATGACCAAGTACAATTTTATTCAGTATAAAATTATCTACAACAATGCCCTTGGTCACTTTTTAATTCAATGTATTGTTAAGCAGATAATTGTAATTAATAGCATCGCATTAATATACTATTGTTATCCAAATACTATATAAATGTATTTATAAATAATTTTTAGTTTAAATAATACTACAATTCAATAGTTTATAATACCGTACATTAGTATATAGTATATACGGTATAACAAAATTGTAATATAAAATATAATTTATACTATATTTAAAAAATTTGTTTTGTATTATACAGTAATTATTAAAAGAGACGTTATGTTTGAGTAAAGTATTTGTTTATTAATATTATTTAATTTATACGACTATTGAAAACATAATACGAAATGTTTGATTAAAAATCATATGAAAAACCCATTAATTGTAAAAACAAATGAAATATTTTTTCTTTGAGTGACAATCAAGTGATCACACAATTGATGCACAAAAATGACAGAAACAATGGAGACGTTGTCGACGATAATGAAGTCCTACTTGAATGGCAACCAATACATTGATCCGCAGATATCGTTGTTGTTGTCTGTAGTGGTGGTGTTGATGGCCATTGTGTTCGGGTTTGTGTTCAGAAGTATGCGACCAATGACTCGCATGACTCGAGTCATTCTTCCCGATCCAACACTTCCCAGATTTCGCAAAAGAGATAAAGTAATGTTTTATGGCCGCAAAATGTTAAGATCTGTGCGATCATCACTTCAGGCCACAAGTTTGTTGATCACATGAATATCGATGTCTTCAACATTTGCTTAATATTGTTATTATTATCTTCATTTTAGGCCGACTTCGGGGTAAAAAGCGTCAGATTGTTCTCAGGTTTGCTAAACGACTTCTACATATTAAGAAAGACCAGCCGTTGACACTTCAAGTGAGTGAACCATCGCAAGCATTTCTCGAAGAAGAAATTGGTGATCAATGTGAACAACCGCTTCCTCCAGAAGTGATATATATGTTGAAAAGTATTCGTGTCTTTGGCTTCTTCGATAAGCCGCTATTTCTTGAATTGTGCAAAAATCTAGAGTTCGTGAACGTACCGAAAGGACAGTATTTGTTTACCATCAATGATCCCGACGATAGTATTTTTATTGTCCAAACGGGTCGAATACAAGTGTCAATCAGTGAATTAGACGGAACTGATCTTATTCTAAAAGAAGTGTCAGTCGGAGAATCAATTGCTAGTATGTTATCAGTAATGGATGTCTTGACTGGACATTTGGCTCCATTTAAAACAGTGTCAGCAAAAGCCATTGAGGAAAGTGTTATCATTAGATTACAAGTCACTCTATTTAAGCAATTACTCGACAAATATCCCGAATCATTAGTTCGTGTCGTTCAAGTAATTATGGTTCGCCTTCAAAGAGTTACTTTTACGGCATTACATCATTACTTGGGTCTCACCACTCAATTGCTAAATCCGGGACCAATAACTCGTAGGGCAAATGTAAGCTCTGTAGTTCACACATTACACGCACTTCCCAGTGGTTCCAGTCCTCCAAAAACCAGTCCATCGCGTACTACAAATTATCCATCTCTTCAACATTCACTTTCTTATTCTGGTACAGAATCTTCAGATTTAAAACAAGTTTTGAAAGAATTTGCTAAAAACGAAGGAAAAGATTTAGATCAACAAACAGAAGACTTAACTACAAGTGATAAAACAATAATTGAAAGAAAACGATCAGAGGGTGAGTCCCCCCGTCGACTAAAATTAATTAATACATACTATTGTCAATTGCCTGAGAATCAAAAGAAACGCCGGCGCTCTCTAGTCTCTAATGAAAATCCAATTCAAGGTCTAACCGATGATGAGATCTTCAATCTTGCTGTTGAAGGACTACTTCAGCATTTGAATATTGATGACGAAGAATTGGTTAAAAAGAAATTAGTAGTCAAAGAATATAATGCAGGAGTTTGTCTCACCAGTGAAGATACACACGAAGAGAATAACTTGTTTTATGTGTTGTCTGGTTCTATAATAGTGACACAAAAGTCCATCGATAAAGACGAAGAAAATAATTTATATATTGTATATCCGGGAGAAATAGTGGGCGCACTCTCTGTAATTACAGGAGAGCCGTCTCTCTTCACAATTAAGATACGACAGTCCTGTAAAGTAGGAGTTATTACTAAGGATAACATTTACGATATACTAACTGAATATCCAAAGTCTGTATTACATTTGGCTCACGCAGTGGTCCGACGATTATCACCTTTTGTTAGACAAATAGATTTTGCATTGGATTGGATTCATTATGAGTCCGGTCGTGCCATTTATAGACAGGGAGACAAATCTGACTGCACTTATATTGTCTTAAGTGGTCGTTTGCGTTCAGTTATTACTCGACCAAATGGTAAGAAAGAGTTAGTTGGCGAATATGGTAAGGGAGATCTTTTAGGACTTGTTGAAGTGATCACTCAAACTCAACGTTCGACAACTATTATGGCCGTAAGAGACTCAGAATTGGCTAAACTTCCGGACGGACTCGTGGAGGCAATTAAAATAAAATATCCAGTGGTTGTCACACGACTTATTCACCTTTTAGGACATAGACTTTTGGGAAGTTTACACCATATGCCCGGTCAACACAGTTTACATACATTATCCGCAACAGATATGGGCGGTCGTCCAACGGGTTCTAACTTTACAACTGTTGCTTTATTGTCTGTGACCAATGATGTACCTCTTCAAGCATTTTCAATGGAGTTATATCACGCATTAACATCTATTGGACCCGTTTCTCATTTGACATCAGAGTTTGTCAGAAAATTATTGGGACCGACAGCTCTTGAGAAACAATCCGAATATAGACTGTGCTCGTGGTTGGGGCAACAGGAAGACCAACACCGCATTGTTCTCTATCAATGTGACTCTCACTTCTCCACTTGGACTCAGAGATGCATCAGACAAGCGGATTGTATTTTAATGATAGGATTGGCAGATCAGGAACCAACTGTTGGTGACGTTGAGAAACAGTTGGAACACTTAGCCATTCGAACACAAAAAGAATTAGTTTTACTCCATAAACCAGATTCGCTTAAACCACAAAATACAGTTCTATGGCTTAACATGAGATCCTGGTGTTCATCACACCATCACATTAGATGTCCTAAAAGAATGTTTACAAAGAGATCACTTGCGAAGACTAAAGAAATTTACGCTTCAATCTTCAATAACCCGCCATCTATTCACTCAGACTTTTCACGTTTAGCGAGATTTCTTACCGGAACTTCAATTGGTTTAGTATTAGGAGGCGGTGGAGCCAGAGGTGCAGCACATGTAGGTATGATTAAGGCTATTACAGAAGCAGGAATACCCATTGATATGGTTGGTGGTGTCAGTATTGGCGCATTCATGGGTGCTCTTTGGTGTCAAGAGAACAATATTACAACATTTACTCAAAAGGCCAGAGCCTGGTCTCATGGCATGACTTCATATTGGAGTCAAATACTGGATCTAACATATCCAGTGACCGCTATGTTTACCGGTCATGCATTTAATCGTCACATTTATGAAGTTTTTAATGAGAGACAAATTGAAGATTTATGGCTTCCATACTTTACAGTGACTACTGATATTACAAGTAGTTGTCCTCGAATTCATAGACACGGATCACTTTGGCGATATGTGCGCTCAAGTATGTCTTTATCTGGATATCTACCCCCTCTTTGTGACCCTATGGATGGTCATCTACTATTAGATGGTGGATATGTCAATAATTTACCAGCAGATGTAATGCGTGATGTGATGGGTGCCGAAACAATTTTGGCCATTGATGTCGGCAGTCAAGATACGGCAGATATGACCAATTATGGCGACACTTTGAACGGTTGGTGGCTATTGTGGAAGCGTTGGAATCCCTTTTCCAAACCCGTTAGAGTACCAAATTTGCCTGAAATTCAGTCGCGTTTGGCTTATGTTAGTTGTGTCAAGTTATTAGAAGAAGTCAAACAAAGCGATTATTGTACTTATATTAGACCACCAATTGATAAATACAAGACTTTACAATTTGGCAGTTTTGATGAGATTATGGAAGTGGGACTCAATCACGGAAAGGTGTTATTTTCAGCCATGCGTTTGGCTGAACAAAAATCATTACATTCACTCTTGCATAAGGAACGGTCTAAAGTCTATCACAGACAGGGACTGGCCGTTCAAAATCACGCCTCGTTTACTGATTTAGCTGAAAGAGTATGTAAGATAAAGACGCCTAACAATAATAAATTGAATTTAAGTCTAACTCAAATCGATGACATCTCTGAAGACGATGACGAGTATGTCTCTGAACCCGATATGCTTAACATTGGAACCGATACGGACACAGATTCCGCACCAAAAACATTGAAACACAGAAAGATTAGTACAATGTTCTGATTTTTCTGTGTTTTAATGGTTTGTTTATTTTTGAACTCATTTTTATAATTTTAGATTTTAATTAATGTTATCTTAATAATTATAAATAACAACTAAGAATTTATATAAAATTTATACAATAGAGATATGTGTATTATTTGATATTTTTCTTAATAAAAACTATAATAATTTAAGGGAAAAAATTATATTTAAAATATCACTTTTTTATAGGATTTGCCAAACAAAATGATAATATGGAAGTGCAGTTAAGTAAAACCGGTATTTAAATAATTATTTGATTTAAATAACAAAAAACATTAAAATAACATTTATATGATATAAAAACAATCAAATTATTGGTCGACTTTGATTGTGAACATGGATTATAAAACTTAATACTATTAAACAAATCACAGATATATCATTTGGCGTATTTAGTCGATCACTACAACACTTTAAATAATGTCTTTTATATGATTTTATATTCTTCTCAATCTTACGAATCTCATTAGTAGTCATTTCAGAAGTACATTGCTGTCCAAAAATTTTATCAATATTTCTAATATTAACAATTGTTTTACAAATATTTGTCTAAATTAAGACATACCTGACAAACCTGTTGACAAGGAGGACATATAATAGTCCCGATATGCAGCCAATCATTTGCATAGAGTTGTACTTTGAGTGGTTGATTGGCATAATAACAGGTATATGTTTGGTTTAATATCAGCACATGTAATAAGCCGTCATCGCATTTATACTATAGTACAGTATATTGTTATTCAATGAATAAATGGTATAAAATATAAAGTAGAAAATCATTTGAAAAAACTATTTGTTTTTTTGCCAAAACTGTTAATAAAATAGAGCTAAAACTACTGTATATATTACTGTTATCTGGTTTCGTGGAAAGTATTGTCTTAAATAACATCTGTAGACATATCTCTCTAAAACTAAGTAATTCAGTTATTTTGTATAAAAAATACTACAAATTACAGGCAATTGTCAGTAATTGAAACATTTTTGATATTATAAACAAAAATAGTTATTTTGCAATTTATCTTTATAAACAAAATTATAATGTCTTACTTTATAGCAACCACTGCCCCAGTGCTGCCATTGTCTAACCTGATGACAGTTCCTCTCTTCCCACATTTGGTGGTTATGATTGAAGCACTTGGAGTTTGAACCATAATATTCGAGCGCAAAATTTTTATCAGGTATTGGATTATTCTCTTGGTATAGACATTTGGATCCGCGAACCACCACATCATTCAATTTCCAGGTAAACTCCTGTATATAGGGACAAAAATCTGCTAAATTTACGGAACCGCCATATCTTGAAGTGTCATCTCGATTGATAACACTGGGAATGTAATCAAAATTTTGGAATTTAGGCAATAAATCTGATGAATATTCCATTAGATTACATAACGCCACAGCATCTCTATTATCGGTGCACTCCGTTTCTAACGGATCTCTCTTGACTTTATCACAAAATGGATGAATACTATCACCTCTGGAGCGTCTAAAGTCAATCCAATGTTTGCAACTTTTCTGAGCAAAATCACAGCCAAGATTTTTGCCCCATTCCAGTGGTTGGGCCATATCATAGTTAGGGATGTACCAACTTTTCATTAAAAAAACATTTTTTATAAAAATTATTATTTGTTATATTAAATTAACTTAATAATAAACAAATACCCGGTATCTTCCATAAGAGCTAAAGTAATTCGAGAATAAACGGGATTTTGTGTATGAGTTCCAGTCATGGCTTCATTCTATTTAATTAATTAATATATTTTACTATTTTATAAAAAAAACATTATTACCGTAATTATCATATCAATAAAATATTTAAATTATAAAATTATAACAAAATAGAAACGTATATAAAAATCATTACTTCAAAAACTCTTTTTTCCCAATGAGTCAAATGAGTGCCATCTTCGCCCTGATCTTCAAGTTCTGCCCCTTCGAGTTCAGAACAATTGAAATGTTTGCGAACTTCTTCCTATTAGTCATAACAATAGTAAAGTAAGTCATCAGACAATAACTATACTTAATAATTGCTTACAACAACTTTAGGCGTAACAATCATATGAATAGTTTTTCTAACAGATCCGTTACGAACTTTCCAATCGAGTCTATCTATTTGTCTAATTATATTATCACTCCATTGCGGAGCTTTTAGGTTACGGCTAATCACAGGTTTGCCATTTCTTCCTCGAGAACTTAAAGGTTCGCCATTTTTGTCGCGAAAATATGCGTAAAGAGAGACTGAAAACCCTAACGCATGAAGAATCTCATGTTTTACAGTTGATAATAATGTTTCCAAATCCTGTGGTTTTGTTGATATTGAATTTGGACATAGATTTGCGTGACCAGCAATTGGTCTAAAATATATAATCATTTTATTTTAAAGAATTATTAAATATGTTTATTCATATACCTGTCGAGAGCTGCTTCTTGTTGACAATGAGCCGCATAAGCAACAGTATGTCCTTTATTACACCTATCTGTCTGCATAGCAGACACATAGAAAACAAAATCAGTATCTTTAATGCCGTTTCCAATTTCAGGCCAATTGTTATTTTCGCTAAATATTTTACATTTTCTTCCGTTAATATCACAAACGCGACAAACCTGTAATTTATGAATCAATTGTTTACAATTGACTAAAATTTCTAAATAATTAATAAACTACCTCTAAGTGATCTTCTGGAACAATCACTTCACCACAAGTAGTAATGTTTTCACATCTGTCAACACAGTACTGATGAGGAGGATCTGAGTTGGGAAAGAATGCCTGATTGTTGGGACATTTGCTGTCAACATATATCATATAATTATATAAATAACACTTCAATAATCAATTAATATTACCGATTGAGTCTAATTGGGACGTGAAGTGGTTTCACATTCAATGCTTTCTGCCAATAGTCAAGAGCTTGAGGTAGAACTGTGTTCTGTTACCACAAAAGTATTGCATTTATTGTAATCACATTAATATAAAATGAAATACTATTTTGCTTTACATTAATAATCATAAACTTCTCGATAGGAATCCTTCGGACACTCGAGTCGTAGAAGACTTTGATCCGTAACGGTTGGTCTGTATTGCGCTTATGGATTACATGCCTGTCCTCCAGATGAATATGGCTAACCTTTTAAAAAATTCAAAGTAATTAAAATTGTTTCACTAAACAATTGTATGTCATATTAAATATTATTTTATTTGTTTAATATTTTGTCACCAATTGATATGACTATTAAAATATTGTAAACAATTTGTGTCAACTAATACCTCATGAGGTGACGGCGGTTCATGTGAACAGAGACGATGTGATGGATATGTTGGATATGTTGGATGTGTTGGATGTGTTGGATGTGCCACAAGTGACAGTTGATGATTGTCTACAATGTGTATCACAACTATAGATACCATTAAGTGATATAACATTTCAAATGTCAATCATTTGATTCATGTTTACAAACAACTCATACATTAAACTAACTGTCAGTCAATCAACTAATAACAGACTCATTGACTCATAGACTGTATTGACTGACTTGTGTTAGACTTTATGAATACAATTGAATGCATTGACGTCAACACAACACATGATTGGCCATCACTTGTGTAATGTATTGTCAAAACACGATTGCATTCAACACTAATACACTATATTTGTCTAAACATTGAATTATTATTACAGTATTTAATCAAATGTTACCACAATTGACATTAAATATAACTATTGTTGACTTTATATGTATAGTTGATTTATATTGATTAATGTAAGTTAAGTAATTTTTTTATTTCAATATATTTTATTACTTTAATTATATAAATATATAATTATTTTATTTTGTTTATATTTATGAAATTTGATGGATTACATCATTGATAATATTAATATAAATATAATATTTATTTTTACAATACTAATATAAATTAGATTAAAGTATATTGATGATAAATTGATGATAAATTGATGATAAATTGATGATAAATTGATGATAAATTGATGATAAATTGATGATAAATTGTCATAATTTCTATAATATTGTATATGATTTTATACATAATTGATATATTTTACTACATATTTACAGTATATTGCATAAAATCTCGGCTATTTACTACTACCACTAAAAGTGGTATAACTTTAAATATAAAAAATATAGAAAGGGGTGATATATATCATTGGAAAGGTTTTTAAATACACTTTCCAATGATAATAAACACACCATTCCTAATAGTGAGAGCAACTATTGAAAGTCCGCCCGAAAACATGCCAACCGAAAAAAATAGGAGTAGTGTATGTGCTCTACACATAAATCACTGCTATTGCCCCCACCATCGCTAAAATACCCGAAATTATTATATATGTATATATGATATTTTATATTACTTTATATGCGATATTGATATGCCCAAGGTCTTAATAATAGCATATACTGTACTGTAATGTATATTCCCTTAGTGAGCTTAATAGCTTAATTTTTTTAAAAATAGCCTATGTAGCTTAATATGTATAATTAAATTTCTACCACGTTGAAATTATATAGTATATATTATATATTATATTGTAAAGTATATGTAATATACAATACATATACTTTACAATATAATAATGTAATAAAAGCTAACATTTTTGTCACAATATTTTTATGTAAACAGTTATACAAATTTTATTGTCAAAAACTAATCTTTTAGTTCTAAAAATATTAAATATAATATTTATAAAATAAATAATAATTAATATGTTTTTTGTTAATATTTATACAAATATTTGTAAATTTATGTATAATTTGGTGAAAATGTTAATATTCTTTTTTTATTAAAATTTTCTGTTTATATGAGTATGTATTTTTGAGCAAGATAAATTATCTGTATAATATACACTGTATATGACATATAGTATATGTTATTAAATACAACTATTCATTTAACTTTCATAAATTTATTTTTATTTGCTAAACATTGAATATAAATTTTTTGGTTACTTTAGTACAATGGTGTAAGATTAAAATAATTATAATATTAAAATATATACTTTATTTTAAACATTCAAAAGTATTAAACTTAAATTTTTAAACTGTGCTTAAAATGTATTATTAGCGATAAATTTGTAACCAATTAATCCATAACTTTTATATTAATTTTATGATTTTTTAAAAATTTGTGTTTTATATTTAATAATAACAACAACACTTTCTTATTATGACAATTATTAATATACCGGTACAAGTAATTTACAATTTATATTACAATCTTTACTATTTAATAAAAGTAGTTATAATTAAACAAAGTTAGTCCAAATAAATTACTAAATATTTTAGTCAATTTAATTTTTATTTGCTAATAAATCTATAAATATTAGAGCAATTATTACGTTATATCAACACTTATATATAATTAGTAAAAATTTGATAAATATTTATTTATTATATGATAAATAAGTTTTATTTACTATATACTAATTGTTAAGTACTATAAATTTTTATTGTATTTGTTTATAATTCTAAATAGTTAAGTAAATTAATATTTTATATATTGATACATAAATTATATAATTGTATATAAGTGCCTGTATTTAATTTTAAAGTTTTAACATTTATATTTCAAAACAATTTTTATAGAATAATTACATTACTTTAAGCTATCAATGTTATAGTATTTTTACTTTATAAATATTCACAAAAATAATTTCTTAAAAGTAATATAAGTTGTATATTAATCTTGACATCAATTACTAATAATAATTATTATGTGATAAATTTTTATATGAAAATCTAATTTTCAATAAGTTCGCAAAATATAATTAATTTTATAAATGTGTATAAAGGTATAATTTATAAAAATTATTACAAAATAATATAGATTTGTCATTCTTATAAAATGTTAAAATTTTGATTTTTGTAACAAGCAAGCTTATTTTATTCTAAATTATATAATATTGAAATTATTATAGAATTATTTAAAATATAATTTGGATTTCACTTAATACTTAAAATTGATATAAAGTTATCACAAGATATTTGTTATGACATTAATACAAATATCTCATATTCAGAGCTGTGTTATTGTTTTAAACTATTTTTTGTCTAATTTTTTGTTAATGATTAGAATTATTGAAAGAACTTACAATATTACACGATATTTAATACTTTATATAAATAATACTTAATATTGCATTACAATTGATATTTTTTTATTTAAAATTTAATTTTAAAATAAACTTTATAATGAGATATTATAACAGTATATTCAAATACTCTACTAATCGTACATTATTATAATTAACTGATATGTGTTTAACTGTTTTTTAATTTAATCGTATGATATTTATGTTATATACATATTTCAATAAAAATATAAATTTATGCATTTATTAATCAATATCGGGAACAAACAAAAATTTGTTATCATTTTCAAAAATCTATTTTTAAATGAATTGTTTTGATTAAATTTTAGCAATTAATTTAACATCAATTTTATACTCTTTAAGTTAAGTGTTTAATTAATATAAGTTCTAATGTGTTAGAAATCAAAAACTAATCAACTAATCATAACACTGTTTTTAATTATTGTATTTCACAATATCACTTAATAATAATAGAAAATAAACTTTTGAATCAATTGTTTTCCTTATTAAATCAAAATTAATTAATTAAATAGTGATAAATAGTTTATATAAAACAAATCTTATAATACAAGTGAAGTATTTGAGTGCAAATAAATTGTGATAAAAAGTTTGGATTAATGACGTATAGAGTCATAAGTATATTGAAAGTAAATGCTATTTAAAGTATAACAATATTTTGTGATTTTTGTTTTTTGTTTGATTTTTTGTTAGATATAAAGTTTTGAAAATGTCTCGCATAGGAGTAGCCGTTTGCGCTTTAAATCAGTTATCTCTTGATTTTGATGGAAATTATAATAGAATTATACAAAGTATTAAAGAGGCCATAGATTTGGGAGCAGTTGTTAGAGTTGGTCCCGAACTCGAGATTCCCGGTTATGGCTGTGAAGATGCCTTCTATGAGTTGGACACAACTTACCACTCGTGGCAAGTATTGGCACAAATCATTGAACATGACTTTAAGAATATTATCATAGATATTGGTATTTCATTTATTTGATTGAATTTATTTATTTATAATTATAAATATAATTAATATATTAAGGAATGCCAATCATAAAGGATTCAGCACTTTATAACTGTCGCGTTCTTCTATTAAATTCTCAAATTGTGTTAATCAGACCTAAAACTAGATTAGCATTAAATGGAAATTATAGGGAAAGTCGTTGGTTTAGTGCATGGGATGACGGGTCCAAAGGATTAATGACATGGTATACGTTGCCATCATTTATAACAGCAATCAATGGACAACTTAGGGCTCCATTTGGTGATAGAGCTGTTCTCGAACTGTCCCTAAATTCGAGTTCACATTCAATGGCCACTTCTTCTACATTCAGAATTGGATTTGAGATCTGCGAGGAATTATGGCATTCAGATGCACAGCATATCAATCTGTTTGGCCAACGAGGCTGTCATCTTATACTAAACAGTTCGGCCTCTTATTGGGAAATCCGGAAACTGACGCGTGTTATGAGTCTAATGAAAACAGCGACCATTAAGTCGGGCGGTGTCTATGCCTTCTCTAATATGATTGGTTGTGACGGCGGCGGACGGCTTTGTTTCTATGGTCGCAGTCTTGTACTTATGAACGGAGAGTTGCTTACAATGACAAGTGATAGACAAAACTTTTTCAGTGAAGTTCAAACAGCCATCGCTTATATCGATCCAAACGATGTCACGCAATACAGACTTCAAAATAATATTAAAACACAAACCCATAAAACAATCGGAAATAATCTAATATTTGACTCTTTGAACGGAAATAACTATAATAATTGTGATTTAGATGTGGAAAATGTTATTACAATTAATATAAAAAATTTCAATGCAATGCAATCTAATAAATATCAACACAACCCAAGTATTATAAATCACATCAATTTAATCCCTGAACAGGAAATAATGCTTTACTGTTCACTCTGGCTCTGGGATTATCTGAGACGTTGTCTTAAGAGAGGAATGGAAGGCTTTATCGTACCATTAAGTGGTGGACTGGACTCTAGTTCTGTTGTATGTCTTGTCTATTCTCTCTGTACTTTACTATACGAACAAATTGTGGGTAAAAACAAACAAATCATTGATTATTTTAAAATCTTATACAAAGATGAAAATATTGTTGAAAAGATTCACTCGCCTCAAGACATTTGTAATAAACTCTTGAAATGTGTTTATTTGTCCACAAGATATTCAGGTCAAGACAGCTATGATAGAGCACTGAGTTTATCTCAAAGTGTTAACTGTCGCTTCTTTTCACATAATTTTGATGATATTTTTAAACTTATGGTAAATTCAGTTCCGACTGAAACCAAAGTTAATGAAAATGTTGTGACACTTCAACAACAAAATCTTCAGGCAAGACTCAGAATGGTTTTAACATATTATATGAGTGAAGGCAAGAGACTGGTGTTGGCCACCGGCAATGTTGACGAAGCTTTGGTCGGATATCTTACCAAATATGACTGCTCTTCAGCAGATCTTAATCCAATTGGTTCTATCAGTAAAAATGATTTAAAAAATTTTATGTGTTTTTGTAAAGATTTTATTCCCGATAAAAACAATGCCATTAACAGAATAATTAATGCCATTCCAAGTGCAGAGCTTACCGGTGAGGATCAAAAAGACGAAGAAGATTTGGGATTAACTTACGATGAATTAAGTATTTTTGGAAAATTAAGAAGAGGTCAGTTCGGTACTTATGGTCCGTACGGTATGTTCTGTAAGATATGGGATGAAAGAAACAGTCAATACATAAGTTCTGCCATTAAATGCACAAATGGAAAGTTGACTCCAGAAATGATTGCAACAAAAGTTAAAAGATTTTTCACATTATATGCCAATAATCGTCACAAACAAACAGTATTAACGCCAGCATTACATTCAGAGACCTATTCACCCGATGACAACCGTTTCGATCAAAGACAGTTCCTCTTTGATTCCGATTGGAAGTTCCAATTCAGACAAATAGATTCAAGAATTATGCAAATTAATCAAACAAACTAATCAATCAATTTGTTTGTCATTTTATTAAAATTTAATTAAATTTATTATATGAAAAATATGTCTGAATGTGATATAAAAATTTAATAATTTTTAAGAAATGTACCAAACATTTACAGTATTATAATAATTCATTAAAAATCAATCATTTTTTGATTTTCTTTTATCATATTTATTGCTGTCTTCGGGTACAATATCTGAAACTTTTTGCCCAAAACTAAAGCCAAATAATCCGAATCCTTGATTTGAGTTTTCATTTGCTGGTTTGTGTTGAGGTTTGGAAGATATATCTAATTGATTGCATTTATTCTCTCCTTTTGCTTCGTTTTCAACCATTGCTGCCAATTGCTCGGGTGTCGGCGCGCCTATAGCTGTGTCCACAACCGATGTCACGTTATCAACAATAGAAGTGAGTCCACTCCCTGAAGATTACAGTAATTGTGAGTAAAATTTTTTTAAGCGCAGGTAAGTCAAGACAAAAATATCAGACATACCTACTTGTGATGTGATTGATGCGGCACTCGATAGTAAACTGTTTGAATCAAATGACCAGCTGTTTGATGCCTTACTCACGTGACTAACTGTCGTAGATGTGGCAGTCTTTGCGGCCGATTTGATATCACTGAACCAATTATCCCATTTGTTTGTCACTTTTAGATCAGATAATTTATTTAGTACTTCAGCCTTTTTGTCTTCTGAAATTTCTGATTCATTATCATTTGTCTGATCCGTTTGAAGTCTTTCTGCTTTTCGCAATAGTTTTCTACCTTTTATTATATTTGTTTTATCTCTGTATTCATTTTCTTCAATTGTTTTTTCATTTTCATCTTTAATATACTTTTCTTTGACTTCGCTTTTAATTGTTTCTGATGTCAACAATTCTGTTGTTTCTTCGTTCTCATTCTTCTCAATTTCTCTGACGTCTGATTCAATTGTCTTCACGTTTGTTATGAAATCATTATTTTCTTCTATTATTAAATAATTGATTTAAATAATGTATATTTATATTGAAAATAGAAATATAATTTATATTTACCAATAATTTGTTGCGTTTCTTCAGTTTCTACCACTTCTAATATATCTTCATTTATATCCCATCCCTCAGTCTTGTCTTCTTTTATATCAATTTTAGATATACTATCATTAGACTGATCCCCAATCTCTTCAATTGATGAATCACTTAATGTTTGGTCTAATTGTTTGGTTTATATATATTAAAAAACAATTCAATATTTGTCATCAATTTCTTTGTCAAAACAAAATATTAATTAAAGATATAATATATTTACCATTTAAAGTAATTTCTTCAACTTTTGTCTTTTGTATTGAAATATTTGTTTTTCGGTTAACTTTTCGTCCTTTTATAACCACTTTGTCTTTAGATTCAATTGTTTCACTCTTTAGATCACTTTTGGTTGCTTCTGAAATGAGTAGACTATCATTAGTCTTACATTTTTCCAAACCATCACTTAATTTGTTTTCTTGACTTTTGGCAGAAGAGGTTACAGATTGTTGACACAAGTCTTGTAGATCTTCTAAGTTTTCATTTATATTGTGATTGATCTCTGATATCAATTTATATACAAATTAACTTAAATATCATTAAAAATATCAAATAATTACCACTAATTTGTGGTATCTTATCGATCATCGGTTTATCAATTGGTGTCAGTTGCGGATCACCTTTTCTAACGTTAGTCTTACTTATGTCACAATCAAACTCTTCGTCTGCACTCTCGAATTCCTCATCTGAAGACATTGTCAACCAATTGGTAAAAATGCAATCATAAAAGCGATAAAATCTTAAACCAAGAGTTGATCTCAACTAATGGTGAGTCATATGTTTGGCTCAAAACAAATCATTGCTTTGATGTTAAGTCAACTCAAGTCTGTATTTCATTGCATCACATGTTTTGTATGACATCTTTTGGTTCATCTCTTCAATTATTTTAATTATTAATTAATTGTTTCATTTAATTTATAAAATGATTTTTTAAATTTCATATTTTAGTTTAAAACAAGATTTTTATTCATATTTTTTATTGTAAAATATGTTAATAATTAATATAAAATTATTTAAAATAATATAAATCGTGAACTAAAGTAAAAGTCAGTTAATCAAAGACATCGCTCGACACGACTTTTAAGTGATTTTAAGTCAATTAACAAATTTTTCACGTCTTTGTCTTCCGTATCCATAGTTTGCAAATCAAGTAAATAACCGGATATTATATCAAGAGTTTTATTACAAAATTGACGCCTATATTAAATAAACAAATTTTAGTTATATTTTTAAATAATAATATACCATAAGTAGGGTATAAACCTTTCGGCAAAATCAACCAATTGTTGCATTTGAGTGAACGTATCGATCAAATAAGTTAAGATTCTCAACAAATGAATCTGTTTTCGAGGCCAAGAAATGGACAATTCTCTCGATCGGTAAAGTTTGTGATAAAGATTGAGTAAATTTGATAATTTGATATCTAAACTAAGCAAACATTGCGCCAACCATTGAGCTTCAAATCCAATGTTTTGAGTCTTGGTTTCCAAGTATTTGACAATAAATTCTAAAGAAAAATATAAATATCGGTAAATCAATAAACAAATTAAAAGCACTAAAAATATCAAACAAACCAATTGGAAAATATTTTTCGGCGTTTGCATATATTATGGCAAAGTTTCTGATTTTTGTGGTTAAATAATTTTTCTGCGCTTCGGTAGATAATGAGTGAATGGCTCGTAAATCATTATCAAAAATATTGTGCCAAATGGTCTCAATTAAATTCGGGTCGTAATGTCCGGCGCAATGAAGTATTGCTAATTGACATTCGGGTAAATTAAATCGTTCGGCAAACTCTTCATAAAGGGATGTAATTTCAAGCAAATCACTATTTAATGCATTAATAGCCTCATGAGTTAGTGGTGTATCTGTTAACTTCTGGATGTGCTCAAGAATTTGAAGCTGAATACGCGCCACTTCCATCTTCTCTTCCAATTCGTGCAACTTTTCTCCTGCAGACTGACTATCATCTCCTAATAAAGATGTCGGACGTGAGTCTGAGCTCTTCATACAGACTATAGCTCGGGACAGATATTCAAGTCGTTTATAAAGACTAACTTCAGGACTATGCCGTTCAGCTAATTTGGTCAATATATGAGCAGCAGCTCTATAATGACCATTCCTTTCATAATACATCCAAAGTAAGTCCATTAATGCAATTGAATCACTAAATGCTGAAGTTTTGCGTTTGAGATAATTTTCCAAATATGGAGACTTTATTTCAAGAAGTTTATCACTTTGTTGGAACTCATACAACCAATTATATAAAGATATGTGAAATAATTCATCGTTTGACTCAATGGCTCGACTTAACAAATCATTGGACCGTTTCTTTGCCTCTTCTAATGAAAGAACAGTTTTAATCGATTCATCGACTCTGGGATTAAGCAATGATTTGCTTTGTTGTACGAGTCGTTCATATATTTCTAATAACAATTTGTAGCATTCATTTCTATTATTATATGAATAATATCCCATTTGATCTTCAATTGGTTCGCCATTTTTGTAGTAATGAAGGGCTAAATTTTGTGGATCACGATTTTGAGCGGTCAGTAGACAAATGTCGACCACAGCTTCATACATATGAACCGATTGAAAGAGTTCACAAACTGCGGGTAAATTAATACGAGCGCCGATTTTTTTGCACAAATTCAATGCCGTTTCCAATTGTGACGATCTATCCGTCGGATTTGTTATCGATTTGGCTTTCATTACTAATTCATGTGCTTTTGCATGCAATGCATTCTCATTCTTATAAATAGATGGACAAACATCTTGTAATCGTCTATTGATTATATCTGTTGTTGAGTTGTCTTCAATAAAACGCCGGACCAAAGCACTGGCCAATAAAGTTGTCATTTCATTGCCATAAACAACAAGATCTTTAAAAGTCATTCCAATCAATTGAGTTTGCTTTTCAATTGGCAAAACACTAGTAACGGCGTGGAATTGATGGTCACATAAGAGTTTCCAGAGACCTAATACTTCAATACAATGTTCAATAAGTTTAACCAATAAATATAATGAAGTTTTTTCATTGGCATAAATATCACTTCCTTTAAAAATATCTTTTCTGTTATCATTTTCAAGATTTGGTGAAAACTTAATATTAGTTTTAAGAAAGTCTCTTAATTCGGTTAATCGATTATCGTATGCTTTGATTTCATTCAGCGATATGTTCGACATTAATAGCTCTTTGTGTCCCTCAGACGTCATTGTCTTTTGAGAGCTGACACACTTGAGACTCCAAAAGGGACGAATGATTCGTGAAAAGTAAAGATACACTGCATTGTGTTTATTTGAAAACTGAGTACCAACTGATACAACAGCACCGGTGGATTGCTGTCCTATTTGACAAGACATCTCTGGGCTCATATAACTTGTGTGCAGTGATTGTGGCTGAATAGGAGACGATGGCGTCGAAAATAATGGCTGATTGGTTGAAGAGACTGGTGTTGAGACCTGATGTAGTGATCGATCAAAAGTCGGACTAGTATATGGTTGATGAGGAAATGGTTGTTGAATATGCGTTTGAATCATTTGAGAGTTGGTAAGCTGTGGGTCACCGCCATAATGAAAAAAGGCAGAAGTGGCCCATTCTTTTATTTTTGCCTCTTGTGATGATTTTAATCCACACGCAAGTATGAGAGCAATAGCACATCCCTGTGCACCGGAATGTAATGCAAAAAATGCTTTAACTGTTTCGTTATCATAGCCTTGATTGTCAACCAAAAGTTTATATAATTGGTCAACAATTCTAGTTTTGTATCCAATATGAATGCCTTGAGATGTCAAGAAAACAAATTTTCGCGGCTCTTCCATATGTTGGGTGACTAATAGTGGTGTTTCCAATGAAACCACTTTATTCTTGAGAACGTATTGATGATAAGGTTTATAGGGAAGAGCTTTAGTTTCTTCAGCAATTCGCCATATTTTGCTGCTTAGTTGAGACACAGAAAACAGTTCCATTAGTTCTAAATTGAAAGCAAACGAGTCATTGTTTATCGTCCATAAAAAATCTTTATTTTCAATATGCGATGAAACCATAAGAAGTGTTCCTCTATTAAAGTAAGAACAGTGTACTGATGTCGGTCTCTGTATTGATGGCGAAGCAGTAAAGCCGGGCGGAAGACGTACGTGAAGTAAACTTAGTGCAAAAGGTCTCTGTTCTGGTGATGTCAATGATGTTGCTGTGAAATATAGTCTCACACCTGCTTTAGTTACAGCAATGAGGTTAATATGAATTGATTCACTTTCATCAATAGCATTGATAGAAATAATTGGCTTAAAATTTAATTGATCTATAGTTTGAGCCACAGCTGATGCCTCGTTTACAATAGAATTTAATGACTTTGAAGTCACTCTATAAGTGCTTTTTCCATCGGCACCCAAATCAAAGACATCAATTGTGCCATTTTTGGTCAATGTATACAATATATGTCTTTTGTTATCGATGTCGATCTGAATTATTTCATCTGATTTAAAATTATTAAATAACAAATATTTGAGACAAACAAACATTAATACTTTAGTAGAGTATATTTACCATCTTTGGCTAATGCAAAAAATGCGGGAATCAAGAATGACAGCGTACTCGACGAGTGATTAATTTTCCGACACTTGCGACCAAACCATCCGTCTTCTGCCTGATACGTCACTTCATAAACACATCCATCTCTTCCTCCAAGAAATATGCGGCCGTCATGTGATCCATAAATTACATTCATTACAATATTATCGGTCGATATTCTAAATATAGGATCCGGAACTAGAAGAAGATCGCCAGAGTCACCATCATCTTCATTGGGAGTAAAAGTTATGCCTAACAATAATATCTCTACAGCCGTGGTTAACACCAATAGATATTTAATATGTGGTTTAAAGACACCTAAAAATGCAAATTATTATAATAAATATGAAAATGTTGTCATTATTTACCATCTTTTGGTTGTACGAGACCAACGCTAAGAATAGTTTCGCTTAAGCCATCATAATAGGCGACATCACTTGCATTGTCGTAATTCCAGAGATAAATATAGCAATCGATGGCAACCCACGCCCTACGGATCTCTGTCATGATTCCCATTTCACAGTTTTGTTGAATGTCTATTATTTCAATAAATTCATTATAATTACTAAATCTTTATCCAAATCAATCACTTATTGATCCCGACTTACGAGTAAACTGTTCGAGTAATCCTTTCGGAAGAGGAATAGTAGTCAATGGTGTGAACTGTGATAACGATAGTTGTGTACCGGCTGTCCAGTCATTTATGTTAGGATAATCACTGTCCTGTAGTCCCGATACCGTTGGATACCCTATTAAGTAATGATATTTATCAGACATCGATGATAGACAATATTTATTATATCATATATATATTGAATCAAATAAGTGATACTTTGAGTAGCTTTTAATGTTTCCAACATTTGCGGAAACGTCGAGTCGGTTGTGAGGAAGTGGTCAACACTGATGGCCACACCATCATATAGGTTAGCAGTGGTCACATCTGTCCTGTTGACAACCGATGTGTTGACTCGGAAATTATTATCAATTGGTATTGTCATCGCTGGACAATACAGTCAATGTATATATAAAACGATATATTAATAGCAATTGCCGTCAAATTCAATGCAATTCAATGTAAATGTCGATAATGTCTGTCATCTCATGCTTTGCGCCAAAACATGCATTTTGTGTGCAATTCATTAATAACGACATATATATTGTCATTAATATCGGCTTAAAGTAGTGACCATTTGGTTACCGATTGACACAAACAGACAAACATTTACTTACTTTACTTACAATTGAATATTCATTTCAATCAAATTAGTCTTTATTTATATTTTATACTAAATATCAATACAAATGTCAATTATTGGCAACAATTTTCAATAAATTAATTGTCATTTTTATTAATAATTTATATATTTTAATAATAATATCAATTGTTTACAAACTAATAGATCGATCAAATTAATAGTTTTAAGTTTATAATTAATGATTATATAATTAATTTAAATATTAATAATTAACTATTATATTGTAGACTCACTGACTGTACAGTTGTTGTCTATTAATAATTTTTAAACAAATTATAATAAGTAAGTGATTAGTGGTTGATATAGACATCATTGTAGTGGTCATTGTGTTGTGTAATATAATAGTTATATAAATAGCAATCAAATTGACATTGATTTGAATGATTAGAAATGTTATATAATATAATAATATAATAATAATAATGATTTTGTAGTCTATTCTACTGTATTGTAGAGTACTGTATATGATATGTAATGTATATATTGTGTGAACACTTGACACACATATACTGTATTATACTGTATATGAGTGAAGGCGTTGTCAATGAATGCTATGACAGACAATATGATGACTGACTGGTGTTAACACTTGTTTGACTAAACAACTAATCGCTTATATATTAGTGATCATCACTTCAACCACAGGTAACCACTCGTCAGTCAATTGTTTTGATTTTTTTTACATAACTTGTGACACATCGACACACATCTAAGTCGTCGTTAACCACAATATTATATGATATAATGGCCACAAACTGTATGTACGATTGGTATTACAAGAAATTATTTTTTATAGTTTACTTGTTATTAAAGGGTTCCTCAGAAACAAAAAAGAAAAAATGAAAGAAAAGAAAAAGAAGAGTTCGGACACGAGTTCTTCAAAAGACGATTCCAGTAGTGTTGACACACAAAACAGCAATAATATTATTGATCTTTTAATGAATGCTGCGATGGTTGACAATAGTGACAAACCAATGGTCGATGAAGAAGGATATATAATTCGTCCCAATTTGACATCAAATGACAATAACAGTGATAATCACTTCTATTCGAGTTCTGATTCCGAAGAAGAAGAAGAAAGGCAACAGAAGATAAGTATCAAAATCAAACCGCTGACCAACGGAGCGCCTATCAGTGCCAGCATTGATGACCTCATAGCCAGTGCCGGCACTCTTTCTCTTTGGCCAATAACTCGACAAACGGTAAATTGTTTTAAAATTATCAGTTCTTTACTTCAAACAAAACTTTATATCAATTGCTTTGTGATCTTATTATTTGGTAATTGCTTTGCAATGTTAGAGGAGAAGACCTGAAGCTTTAACATTAAGACTTAAGGTGTGATAAAGTGTTAATCAATTTATTATTCATTAGTAATATTACTAAAATTCATTTATTTGGTTTGTTTTATAATTAAATTATTGAATAACTAATATAATATAATATAATGACAGAGTCGTCGTGTCTATACCTCGAGTACAAGTCCTGCACCGGAGGACAATAACCAAATAAAACGATCGATTTCTGCAAATCATAATTTATCAAAAACTGAAAACGATTTGATTAGTGTATTTAGTTCTTCACTTTCCAGTGCCTCAACTCCTTCAGGTGTTGTCAATCAAAAGCCAAACAATACGACTAACTCTAACTGCAGTTTTAATTCAAATACAACTATAAATAGCAATAATTGCAATAAGAGTCCGACCGTTCCTCCAGCAGATAGATATGCAGCTCTAAGTGAACTGTTTACAGAATCGTTGAGTGAATCGACACCAGTTATACCCAAAAGTATGTCGACTTCAACTATATTAGGTCCTCCATTAGCACCTCTTCCACGGCCAGCGTCTAAACGAAATCCAAATACTTCTCCACAATTGTCACAACAAAGCAGTTATTCGAGTACTATATCCCGGTGTAGAAGTGCCAGCAGCTTATCCAGTGATTTCAGAATGACTCCCATATCTATTGGTTCATCTCGTGGACCGTCACCATTAACACTAGGAATCTCAGATGTAATTCCCATTGCTATAGCTTTACAAGAATCTGTTAGCGCCTGTTTTAAGGGCACTGATGAGTCCAAATGTCAGGTCAAAGTAATTGGATCTCTTAAAATGGCATTCCCTCCTGGTATTATCAAGGTATTATACATTATACCATTTATCAATTTGTTTAATACCAATTAATTTACCTGTTTTGGACAGGTATTTGCCAACAATCCATATCCGTCTCCACTAACATTTCGTCTGAACAAATCATCAAAATTAGAAAATATTTATCCAAACAAAGAATTATTGAATGAGTATAAAATTCACTATTTTTTATCTAATTTTGTTAAGAATTAAATATTAATTGATTTATATATATATATACTGTATATATGAATAGCAATGACTTTTTGCGAAACATAAGCTGTGATTCGTATAACTTTGAGGTGAATATGACGGCACTGTTATCTCATATTAGGCGACTCTATGAACAGTCACCAAATGCCAAATACTACAACATAGATGTTCTTAAATACCAAACCCGATGTCTTGAGGGGGCCAGAAGTGCACCGTTACAGTTGGTCTCATATTGGAAATGTGAACCAAAAACAACCAGTTTAAAAGTAGACTATAAATACAATGGGTCTTCACTGACAAAGTTGGAAGCGCTTAGAAATATTGGCATTTGTGTCAATGTTGACGGACAACCACTTTCCATGAAATGCACTCCAGAAGGCAATTGGTATGATATTTATATAATGATTAATAATATTTACTTAAAATAAGTTAATTGTTTTAGTAATTTTAGTTAAATTTATATATTAAATTTTATCGAAGTTTGAGTATTAGGATTTATTATATATTTTACAATTTTACCTATAGTTGCAAAATGTAAATTAATATTTTGTGAAAAACGTATTTATCATATACAATATCATTTAATTATATACAATGTATTACACATACTGTACAGTTAGTATACCGGTAGTGTAAACAGTATTAAGTAGTATTAAATACATTAATAGTATTAGTTTATGTGATACAGTAATAACTATTCAAAATTTGGTGATTCCACTAATATTTCTAAATATCTATAATAATTGATAATCTTTTGTTGTTTAAGGAGTTTTTAATAATATTGAATAGTATTTTTTGTCAATGTTTTCACACTTTTCTAAAATCATTTATAGTTGTAAACACTAAACAAAATTATTTATTTGAATTTGTTTTCTAATAATTTGAATTAATAGATTCTTTTTAATACTATGTTATTTTATATTATATATATTGTACAACAATTTAAAATAATTGAGTTAAATCGCAAAAATTATGAGACAATTAAAAATAGAAATATCTTTGAAAGTATTTTTTAAATGAATGAATTTTATTAATTGAATGAATAAATTGTTGATATAATAGGAACGCCTCATTAAGACAAGCCATGTGGCGCTTCGACCGATTATCACTGACCACTAAAATGGGACCATTAGATGGTTTGGGTTCAATAAAAGCTAAATTTGATTTGGCTTCGGGACCGTCCACTCCCAGTGTAATTCAGGCACAGTTCTCATGTGTTGACACAACGGTTTCGGGCATTGACTTTGAATTGACAGCAATAGGATATCGCATATCTCTAGTCAAAAAACAAATTACTTCCGGTATAACCATAACTTAAATTACTATATTTTGTAACTTATTTATCAATCGATAGGTCGGTATATATGTGAGCCAAGCCTTGTTAACACTTGAATCCATCAAAATGGACAAACTTTTGCAAGTGTTTTGGGTCATAGCATCACAAGTGATATTATTGTGAATATATTGTTAAACTTCCCAATTGTGCCTCACATCATGTTTTTAATTATTTAATTTAATTTAATTTAATTTAATTGTATAATATACAGTATATATATATATAATTATATAAGTTTATATATTATTTATAAATATATATTTAAAATACAAATTTATTTTAACTCTTATTGACATTTTTAAAAGAATCAGTGATTTATTTTAAATTTAATAAAAGTCTATTTATCAACAAAACAAAAATTAATTTTATAAAAATAAATAACTCTTAATATATGATTATGGTAATTTTGCGATAATTACAATAATATATATTATATAATATTAATAATATAAGCTCTGTTTAATAATTACATTAAAAAAAATATTTTTGAGGCAAAGGATATTAAAATATAGTTAAGTTATTGTTGACCACATATGATAAGCACAGGCATTAACAAACTCTTCAACCAAATTATGACATTCAATATTTGAGTCAATAAATGTTTGTCTTTCTTCATCAGTCATCTGTTTTTTGAATACTAGACATATCTCCTAATAAATAAATAATGAAATTTAATAAAATTAATTGAAGTCATTGTATGATAAAAAGTATGATAACATACCGCTTCTGATGCGTTCAAATTAATATCAAGTAATATAAAGCAATCCAAACATGAATTAAGACTAAATACCTATCATTTATATAAATATAAATATTAATAACATTTATTATAAAAGTTAATTATTGATTATATTTTACTAATTTATTAGATGTTAAGTCAGAGGATGTAAACGATTTATGAAAAAGTCTTTTTTTATAAACCAATGTTTTGGCCAATGATTGAAACCATGAGATATCGTGTTCCGTAAATGGAGTTAATTTTGGATCGTATTGTCTTAAAGTGATTTTGTCGACTAAACTTAAAAGTTCTTCGAAATCATTTAATGTCAATTCTTCAATATCTTTGCCGGCTATCTCTCGGGGCAAAAGACAGGCCCACAGAAGTTCTCGACGACAATCAATAGCAGCTCTCTTAACGGCTTCAGTGAACTGTTTTTGTGATTCATTATCACTGGATGTGTCGGGAACTTCAATCAAATAATCTTTTTTGTCGACCAAATAACCAAATTGTAAAGATTTGTTAAGCGATTCGGTCATACAATTCCAGTAAATAGTTTGAAGATTTCGACAAAACTGTTTGATCGACAAAATAGATTTAGATTTGTTGTCGACTTCATTGTCATTGCCTTTGAGTAGTTTGAAGGGATAGTGAGAACTATTATTTTTCTGGGATTTATAAGTGTTATCAAAATATAAATCTTTGCAATGTTTGCCATTATTCGACATATAAACTAATTGTTCACTTAAATCACTAAAACAGGTTCGGTATATAAAAATAGCTAAACTTAAAGATCCATAAAATGATTCCTCATTGTTAGTGCTGTCATTGATCTCATGAAAAACATTGAGTGATTCTTTTGGAGGCATTTCGTCGCCAAATATCAATAGTTTTAAATCACCAAAAGTGGCCGGAATTATAGTAATGAGAATACTATTGTTATTTAATTTCTTAGCAAAACATCTAAACTTAACATTATATTTAGCTTTTTTGTACTCATGAATCAAATGTTTGTAAAGATAGGCATTGGACTCATTTCTTTGATTAATATGCGATACAAATGAATGACTATCCTTTTGATTCAGTTTGATCTCAATGTCATGGATTGAATTGATTTTCAAAATAAACAAATCGAAAAACTGTTCGTTCGAGAGATCAGAAGAATTGACTGAATCATTATCTTCACCACAAATGGGTCTCAATTCTTGGAAAAGAGTCGACAAAAGAACGACTGCCTGTTGTGATTTGGACAGCAATGACATTATGTCATAACAACACTTAACAGTTTTGATTCTCTCCGACTTTACAACCGACTGAATGGGAGAACAAATACCGGTTGGGGTGTCGGGTGTCTCATTGGACAGGCGTTCCAGTGATTCATTGTTTTGTATTGTCATCTCATCGTTATGCCATTCAATCCCATTGTTTTGACATAATATGAACGTTTGCTCAAAAGTTAGTAGACATGATATGGTCTCTAAATCGATGGCATAAAACTGAAACAAATTTATAGTCAACTTTTAAAAATGAAATGCCGGTTAAATTTTATTTTATGTTATATTGTTTTTATATAAAAATACTTAATAATATTATCAAATATTTGGCTTAACTTTTGTTTGCTTTTAGTATTAAATAATTTGCTTTTTTTCTATGGGATCTGTTTGCTATCTGTTACTTAGATAAAAGACACTTATGTATGGAGAGGGAGGGAGAGAGAGAGCAATGATTAAGTAAAGAATGCAATCAAAAGTATAAAAATTATATTAAAAAAGTAAGAAACTATTTAATTACTTTTATAGTCCTATAACAATAATCTAATAAAATTAATTGATATAATTATTTTTATTACATAAAAAAAAGATTATTATATGTTTAAGAAACAAATAAACTGTAAAAACTGTTGGTCTTTACTATTGTAATACTTAATATTTGTTTTGTGATAATTGCTACGAAACCAGAATATTTTATCACAGAATATACTGTATTATTGAAACAAATAATGCATACAAAACAGCAAATAAGATATAAATATATAAAATAAATATTAACTAAATTTTAAAAAGTTAAATGCAATATATATTAAACTTAAAATTAAACTATAAATAATAAAAATTTATTTGAATGATATATTAATGATTACTAAATTGAGAGGACAAGTGGTCAATCAAAGAGTAATAAGTTGGAGGAGTTGAATCTCAGTTTATTTACATTTACTGAAGAGACCACTACTCCACTTAGTTCTCATTGATTTTTCATTTGCTAATCTGCTTTAATCTCATCAAATGGTTGGCACAATATATATATATATATATATATATATATTACGCAAATTAAAATAATGATATAAACTATCAGCAACTGGTATGTTGTGTCTATGGTCCCGACCTAATGTTGGTGGTGCTGGTAATGTATGAGCTGGAAGAGTTAGATCTGGCAAATATTGTGTCTTATATGTCAAGATCGGCACTTCCAACTCATTCATCGACAGCCATTCCAACAGCTTTGTCCAAATATTTTCAGTTATATAATGCTTGAAATGCCGATACATAGTGTGATAGACTAACACATAATTAAAGTAATGGTTTGCAACTGAGTACTTGTATGTGTTGAACAAATTTGGTCACCACTACAATCACTATAAAGGTGTCATACTAGCCGTGACAACAAGAAATGGCAGTCCTATAAATACCTCATTGAGAGGGAGGGGTAGCAAACCGTATGACAATTATGGGGGCATTCTTGAAGAGAGCTTACAGGCTATAGAATAATACATTGATATCGTATGAGTAGATATGGTTACTATGATGGGCCTGAAACTAATGTATGGCTAAACCAATTGCTGATTAGATTATACCAAATTGTTTGACTACATGATTGCCAACATGTCCTCTCAAATTATGAAATCATAAAAAATGCACATTTAAACAATTATTCATAATTTTAATTAGAGTTTGTCTTAATGTAATATATTTATTACTTAATAATTAACTATAAAAGATTGCAACCTTAAGTAAAATCTTAACGTTTTTGTTAATAAAATAACGCCCAAAACATTGATGATTACAATAATGCTTAAATTATTTGAAAACCGTTAGTAATAGTATAAAACGGTATCAAATAATATATTTGCAAAAAAACTTTGGATCTTATGATAAGAAGATCTCAAGAATTTCACATAATGTTAGCTTAATATCTAATTGACATTTACTTAAGAGTTACTCTAAATAACGATTCAAATGGTTTGTTTAGTCAATCTTTTCCAATTGTTTATCAGTATTATAATAAAAAAATTTTTTTGAGTATTTGCTCACCGATTGTAAGATTTCCTTATAGTTTAATCCATCGAGAAATTTGTTTCTATGATTACAGTTGAAAGTGATTCCGTTTTGCGGTTCAACCCAACACTCAGTAATCAATTGGGCGTCAGAATTGCTTTCACTTGCAATATATTTCTCATCATCCGATAAACTGCAAAATATTTCAAAAATAAATAAAATCAGTATTAAAAAACAATTTCATAAATATATATAAATACAGTAATACTGTTCATTATATAATTTATATTTAAATAAAATTGTCTATTTTTATACCTATCCTTAGACTCATTAGTAGTTTGTGTGGGAAATATAATGTATTGTATGAGACATGAGAATTGGCAATTATTTTGGTCTTTGATAGGTATTTCCTGAATGAGATTTAGTATCCCGGAGTCACTGTGAGCGAAGTGAAAGCCTTGTTGTAAACGTATTCTAACATTAAAACAGATTATTAATCATAACATAAATAAAAATAAATAATATTTGAATACTTGGTTAAAATAATTAATATCTTTGCAAAAGAGGATGAGCTAAGTCTAGTATTTGAGGCCATAATTGGTGTCCAAATCCATCGCTGATGATCGAGATATCGGCTAAGAATTTGAAACATATTAAGTGATGTTAGGCTTTGATTGTGTGATGTATTTGACAAATTGATATTATTTTTTGAAATCCAATATTTATCGAGAATGTAATTAAAATTTTTAGGCAATCTTTCGTATCGGATAAGGATCTTATCGATTGGTTTTGTTATTAAAACACAACACTTGTCGTCAATACTATGTCTCTGTTGATAACTAAAAGAAAATTTTCTCTCACTTTTGTTGTACTCATTCATCTCATTTAAATCGTTTAATTGAGACATTTTGGACTTTTGAGTATTAAATGAAGAAATATGTCTTTTAGGAAATTTACAGCATTTGATCAGCTCTTTGAGTTCATTAAGAATTTCACATCTTAAATGACCACTTGTTCCGCCAATAAATGACAAATGAATGATAACACAGGGAGGTTGTGCTATAACTCGTATCAAATAAAATGAATGCGGATTATCATTGGATGAGCTTTGAATCAATTTAACATAACTCTGATTCTCCAACAATACAAAAGAACTGTTTTCTGTTAATAAAGTATTTAACGATGAAAGCGATTGTCGGCACTGGATGTTTGTAAAGCGGCCACTTGTGTTTGGCAGTTGCAAGTGCTTAGGTAGCGGTAAGTCGTGCTCTAGTATTATATTAATTCTGTGCGTATGCATCCATTTAGCACAGGCATCCATATCAAGCATCCATTTCCAATATTGAGCAAATTGTGAGTGGACTATATTTTTTGAGGAAACAACAACATCACTTGAATTTGGAGGCATATAGAATAAGGGAACGCCGTTCTTAATGCTTTCGGGTATTGATCGACTCCAGGCATTACGGGTAAAGTTATACAAATCTATTTCATGCTTATCAGAATCGGACAAATTTTTAATAGTTGTCCAAAATTGACGGATTGTTGCCGAACGATAAGCACTTTTAATAGGTTTACGAGCAGCACAGGTAACATCGTGTAAAAAATTATAACTGCCCTCAACTATCACTTCATAATGACATTCAGGTACTATCTCTTCACTATCGGAAACTGACTTTGGATTAAAAGTTGAGCTCACGTTATACAGAATGTTAACGTTATGTCTCCACGGAAGCAATAGTCTCACTTCCATTAAGTCATCACTTGGATTATAATTAACACTTTTAATAGTATACCCCTCTCTAAGTCTTGAAGACACAACTTGTGTTAACTGAGCTGAAACTGTATTTTCAATTTGTTTGTTGCGAACAATTTGTTGATCTCGAGTCTGTCGATTTGAATTGAGACCAAAATCAAGAATTGAATAAAAGTATGGATTATCAAAATGCCAAACTTCTGTCAGATTTTCATCAGATTTACTATTAATGTCTGCTTTAAAACCAAATAAACCCCTTTGAAAATTCCAAGCAAAAAATGAACGGTGATATAAATTAAATTCATAAATCTCCTCATTGTTAACATCGGAATGAGTCGGTAATGATTGCGGACAACAAGTAAAATAAGCGCCAAATGTTGCCGTCGCTATAAACTTCATGAGATCGGTGTATGGAATAAATCCGAGTGAAGAATAAGGATAGGATGAGCTACAAGTCTGGATGAATGAACACGAAATGGTGTGATGTCTCAGTTGTGTCAAAGCCGACTCTAATGTAGTCTCATTCGGTAAACTTTAAGACAAAATAAGTTAAATTTTCTAATAATTATTAAATATATAAATATCATTACAACCTAAACATTCCGTCGCTAACAATAACTATTCCGGTGCTGCTATTGTCAGGTAATAATTGTAGTGCTAATAAACCAAACCTTAACATATTAACCATTGATATGTCAGGTGTAGCCAACAATGTTGCAGAATATTTCGATTTGTTATCATTTTCATCAAAAAGTGCTCCAATCATAACTTCTGGTTCACATTGATCTTCATAATCGCGATATTTAGCCATAATTTCTGAAATATGAGCGACCAATTGAGATAATTTTGACAAAATGTATGACAAAAATTCTTCAATAGTTTCAACCGTTACTTTCCATCCTTGAGATAAAACCTGTAATAAATATTTGATAAAATAATTTGCAATAAAACCAACAAAACAAGTGCTGTCAAACCTGATGTCTATCACAGTCGTAAAAAGGTATGTAAGCAACGATTGAGATGAAGAGGTCGGGTTTGAACAACAATTTAGATCCGGGAATATAAAACTGTATTACAAATGAATCGTTAGATTTGTAACAAACTTGTCATTAACTTACGGGTTGGACGAGTCCTCGTAAACTTGTGGCCATTGATGTAAAAATATCTGCCATTAATATTCTACTTCTTTGAATATCCTGTTAATCATCAAATTAAACAAATTTTTATTTTTTGCAAAATTTAAACTTAAACCGATTGTTCAAATCGTATACTACATATGTAATACACCCAAAGCTGTAATGTGTAAGGTTTTAAACTTTTTTGCGTATTTTTTATTATTATTTTTTATAGAAAGTGTAAATTATGTTAAAATTTCGGTCAACTTATTTGTAATAATTTTATCTTTTTTTAAAGTAAAACTTGTATAAAAAAGAGTAATTTTTGCATATAATAAAGTTAAATTTATTACAAATTTAAAAGAAATTATTTTACACACAATACCCTAATGTCTATAAAATAATTACAAATAAAAATAAACAGTAAGTCCTAAACCAATAGAGTATTAATTTTACACTTTTTTTACAGTAAATAGTCTAATAAAGTTAATACACTTTAAGTTTTGTGTGTACTTACCACCGATGACATGGATGGACTCAAGTCTAAGACATAAGCAAAGCAATATCTTCGCGACAAAAATGTCACTTTAGTGGCCGTCGATATAAAATATTGTCCCAAATATTGTGACTCCGAGTCCGAGTGGTTAGAGTCGAGATAATTGGCCGCAACAATGGACACGATGTCGATCTCATTATTGCAATCATTCTGTGGTTTAAATAATAAAAATTATTATCAATTTATTGACATTTATGGCACTCAAGAGTATGTGTCTGACCAGTGATTGTGGTGTTTGACTGTCATTGATAGTCACGTGAGTGTGGATGCGGTCAAAGTACCAGTTGGCCCGAGTGTTGCGGGATATGCGGTACTTATCGGTCATTACCACAAACACTGTGTCCGCCTCCTTCACCATCTTATTGGTGGTCATTGTCTTTAATGACCGATTGCTTGATATATCATATTTATGGTCATCACATGTGATCACTCCATCCGATAGTCTAACATAAACACAATGTTTATCAAAACATATGACTTATGTTGTGATGTAAACAATCAATTGATTGCATTCACAGATGGCATACATTGTGCCCAACAATGACTGACAATAAGAGTCACGTGACTGTCAATTGTAGTCAAAGTGTTATTTGAAATGCAATTAAAACTATTAATATTTAATTAGTTATTATATGTTAATGAATGTCAAAATAACTATCAATTGACTGTTTTGTATGATTTGTTGTTTGAAATCAACACATTGACTGTCTATGATGTAAGTAATATGTGATAAATGATTAATCTTTTATATAGTATAACATTTTTATGCCATTCAATAATGTGTTGATTCATGTGTTAATACATTGATTGATATAAATTAACATAAATATGTCAATTAATAGTATAATGCCTTCAATATAAATACCTATCAATGATAAGCACATTATTTGCATCAATTACTTATCATTGGTTATATTCACATACCGTTAATATATTTTTATTAGTAATATTAATAACTTATATCATATGTTATTTTACTTTTAATGTAAGCTTTGTTTCAAAAAATCTTACGACTCCTATGTTGTAACAGTACTTATAGTACATAATGTACTGTACTATACATTAATATATTACTTTCAATCAAAATATTTTTAAAAAAAGACAAATCATACGTTCAAAATAAACTTTTATTGGTTATCACAAGTCATATACAATAATTTATGTTATTTAATTTGATTGTGTTGATCAATGTTTTAATTTTGTGCAATTAAGTTACAAAAAAATTTCAAATATTTATATATATATATATTTATAAATTATATAAAAAATTACAAAAATATAGTTCAATGTCAGAAATATTTTTTATAACCCATTTATTGAATTTAATCACAAATTTTGTGTTAATATGAAAAACAAATTTGATTATCAGTATATCACTGCCAATCTCTATAATTTACTCCTTGTAAGGGAACTCATTGTCGTTGAATTTGAAGTGTCTTTTATCGTAAAACTTAGCCAACGCTGGACTGTATGGGTGATGACATTTAAGATGCATGTAATGTGTTTCGGGTTGGTTTGTTGTATTGCCTGATTTAGTGACATTCAAATATCAATTAGTTTGATTGATTGATTAAATCATAAACAAGTAGTCATTTATAAGACATACCGCATTCCTCACAGACGTACACTTTATTCCTCCTTTCCTTATATCCGTAATCGTGAGCTATTCCGTGGACTTTAAGAGTATGTGATTCAAGTGAACATCTCTGTGTAAATGATTTATCACAAAAACTGCACCGATAGGGTCGCACACCTATTTCATACATAATTTAAATTGTTAGTTACCGTATATGTATTACCGGTAATTATAATTGTATTTATGTAATACCTGTATGGGTTCGGGTGTGTCTCTTAAGATCAAACGTATCATTGAAGCCTTTGCCACAAAATGTACACAAATAGCGTTTGACGTCTGAGTGACACTTGAGATGTCGATTGAGAAGTCGGGCTAAAGTGAATCGTTTTCCACAGATTTGACATTTTAACGGATCTTCTATATCAGGGGTTTGCGGAATCAGAGGCGAACTTTTCGAGTGATTACCGCTATTTGCAACCAACGGGTTTTTAACGCCATGACCGCCGTTTACAAACTCTAACTGTCCGATCACGTGCACAGGCAGACCTATAATGACATTGAAGTTTAGGTATGTGTTGTGTTATAGACAGTATTAAAGTACAGGTGCATCTTATATATTAATTTAATGTGTGAATTAAGGTTTATGTGGTATGGGTTGTGTTGTTGATTATTATAGATAACTATTATGTGAATTACCTAATCGTTGTGCAATAATATGAACGGGAGGGACAGGTATTTCAGTTGAATCTAACGACTCATCATTTGATTCGATGAGAGCTGAAGGCTTGTGAACGGTGTGTATAACGGATACTCTTCTGACAGGAGAAGCTAATAGTTATTGAGAAAAATGTAAAGAATATAATCATTAATATTGAAAACCGGTTTATAGTTTGGAGGCTTTGGCCAAATTCAATGCCAAGGTTTCAATCATTTCAAATACACACCGGTTTTGACGCTATGTTCAGCTCTGCTGTGATTTTCCTCTCTCTTTGAATTGGATTGAAAGCAATTGCCTGCAAAACAATAGCAAATATTATATACACTATAAGCATAAGCTTTACATTGCATTTATAATAACACATTATAAGCTATATAATAATAATAAGTCAGGTAAATTCAAATTATTTATCGTAAATTACAAACAGGTATTGTCAATTATAATACAATGAAGCACTTGTTGCCTAAATATATATGAGAGCCAAGTGACTGAGTTATCCAACTTTTTTTTGTGTCGAAAGCTTTTTGATGTGAATTATATAAAAAAAAAAGTTGGAGTCGTTATACTGTATATTTCAATGACAAATATCATGCCTACAAATGAATGACAGGTCGCTATGGTCTAGTGGTTATAATATGCAATGATGTGATATTTGTGATAATACTGGTCTAACCGGCTATAGACGGGTTCGTTCGCCGCTATTCTCAAAAAACATATCTTATTAACATTTTTACACACTTTTAACAATCAAATAAAAAATTGAATCAAATATTGAATATTCTTTAATCATTGTATACTCATATATCTCAATAATAACAATAACTATTCCTATATTGACATTAATGTTAATCTAAAGGTTCAGTATAAGCACATGTACTTATAAATGTAAAACTGTAAATTTTCAGTACATTACTGTTATATTAAATTTTTATAAAAATATTCAAAATTATTACCGATTTGAATAATATCTAAAAACTAAACTTAAATTTATATAAATACCTCTATAGTCGTCTCCATCACTTGTTGAACAACTTGATGGTGAAGACAATATAAGACCACTATATGATGGGCTAAAAGCATGGTTTGATGAGTGGTCGATCTTAAGAGGCGATTCTCTAAACTTATTTGAATGAATGCCATCATCTTTGATATCCCGATTGTTGTAAATGATATCCTCTTCATCAGGACTTGGAGGTGGTGTTACGGGTCTCCAATGGTCACGACCCGATGTTTTCTTGCGTATGAGAAACGCTTTTGGCATATTTTAATCACCGATATTTAAAAAGCAAATTATATTGACTTAATTTTTTTTATAAAAAATACAGTTATATTTTCTATAACTTAAATAAGATAAAAGTTGAAAATATTATCGTTAAGTTGATTAACAAATTGAAAGTGTGTTATATTATATAAATGATTTGAAAGTAGTGACACATTGAATGGATGAACACTTGTTACTGAATCGGAGGCAAACAGTGTTATCAGTGTTAGTCCAGTAAAAGCAATACTAATATATATTTGGTGCACAACTTTCCACTTTCACTCAGTCTATGTTTCTATACTTTAGATTATAGACCAGTTATATTGCGGGACTCCTCCCCTGTTGCGATCAACTTGACCCCCATTTTTGCGGGACATTTGCCCCTCAGACATAACTCACTAGTTTTGACCAATAATAGCAATACTATTGTTAACTATTGACAAATATATCGATTATTGTATTATAACTTATTCAATACACAACTTTTATTAAATTCTGATATTTAAAAATAATTAAATATATATATATTTTTAATGAAACAAATAAAATCTAATGAAAAGTATTGTTGAGAGAGTTAGGGGAGAGTGAGAGTAGTTTGATTTGGTTTGTAGAAAGTGATTGGTATATAGCCTATGGGTGCTGAGTGTACCAGTAGGACGAATAGGTAATGGTGACGTTGTTAGGTAGGTCACTAAACCCGATGCAATTTAGATGGCAAACCAGTCAAACCACTTTCAGACCACTTTACTGCTAATTAGCCAACACTAACACACACACACACCTGCAATGTCTTGAGATGGATCTGCTGCCAGTGCTCTCACTTTTCTTGACCTTGACTCAGGTCTTTGTCTTTCCCCTAAAATACCTTTATTGATACCCCTCTCCTCTTTGTCCTGTCCTGTCTCACCATCTCTTCAATGTTATCATAGTTATCATAGTTATACCTTTACATTAGCTATTATTGTTGTTAATGCACTAATGCATTGCCAAATATATTTGCATAAGTAGTCGATCTAATGGAAAACATTTTATGATTTAGTAATTTATTATATTTACCACTTTATTGCATTTTATTCATTAATTTTTACTGTTTTTATATTCACTGCCATTTCATTTTAAATTCAATTATATAATATCTTTACTTATGATTTACTTTATTTTCTTAAGATTTATTTGTCATAATAATTAGTAGCATCCGTTCAGCTGCCCTTAAAACTACTAGTCCTCTGGCTTCTCATCTTTGAAAACTACAGTATCAATCTATTGCTGTTTTTCTAGTTTTTGACAAATGTTAAGTCCTTACATAATAACCTTTTATAAAGTACTGTAAAAACAAGCGTTCGTTCACTTTCTTGACGTTGTCTTAAGAGTTGAATTTAATAATAATAATAATTAGACATACCTTTTGCGCAACTCATCGGAGCAATACTCCTGTCACCTCTACAACTGTTCCAATGTCTAACCAACTGTTCCAATGCCTAACCAACCAACTGTTCCAATGCCCACTATTTCTATATACAGTACTATATTATGCTAAACTATTCAATCTTAGGCCATCACAATAATTAGTGTTTTATATATACAATACTAGAAAACTAGAATATTTTTGAACTTTTATAAACCCTTTAAGTATTATATAAATTTGATTTTTCTATTGTTTGAAATTTTGTTTAAAACATAATTATTATATTTAATGTCTTTATTAGAAATTTTCAGAATATTTATATATTTTGGTATATCATTTATTATTAATATATTGGTTAAGTTTAGTAATATAAATATAATATAAATAAAGTGTTTTTTATGAGAAAAATGACAGAAGGTTTGGTAGAGTTGTTTTTGAGTCCAGTTTTTTAAGTTTGAGTGAGTTTTTGGGAGTGGACTGTGGATTGACTGTGGAATTGGTGTCACAGGAGTGGTGTCTCAGACATTAACTCGTTTACAGAATAGTGTGTCCAATGGTTTGAAAATAATTCTTGTTTTTAAAGAATGCAATAAAGGTTATGATTCTTAAAAACAAATATCTATAATATAATGTTAGCAAATGTTAGCAAATGATACTAAATAAATATTACAAAAACTTTCACTACATCTGACAAATAATGATAAAAATAGATTTTTATTTAATGAAATTCAAGAAAAACAGACTTTATTTGTATGGGATTTTGGACGAGAAGACAGGGAAACGGACGGACTGTTAGATTGTTAAGTGTGGAGAAAACAGTTGACTGTATGTAAGGCTTTGGCTATTTTTGTGAAAATTCAATCTCTTCCTGAATGGTCTGAGAGGGGAGACTACAGAACAAAAGTGTTTACTTCTTTAAAGTTGTAAACAGCCGTATGACCTAAAGAACCCCTAACCCAGAGGACCGGCATATTATTAAAGGCAGACCTTAAAGAAACATATCAGTGCACAAACTAAACTTATGTGTCTCTCAAATGTATGAACTTATGTACTACAGTATACATACTGGGCCTCAATACTTGACAATGTATGGGCCGCGCCAACCAATACACCATTATATGATATACTGTATTGAGGGCTATAGTATAGCATCTGCACCACAACTACTACTACTACTACTACTTTACTACTACTGCACCAGTACTGCACCCACTTTCACTCATTGACGATACCTAACGATAAACAAGCGAAAGGTTAACATAAGGAAGTTTTTGGGTCACAAACATCTCGACCAACGGATCACACAATTCATACCTTTTTATGGATTTCTCTTAAACTCTAATACTTTAGTTTTGGGTATTTTTTTCTTTCAAAAGATGTTTTCCTAAAAATATTTCGTTTCTTTTATTTTGTGAACTTTTAACACATTTTCACTTTTTTGTTGATCTCCTGTTATATAACTATTCGATGGGAATTTTTAACAGAAAAACAAACTAAAATTAGATAAAAAATTATATATTATTTAAATACAAATATTTTTTAATAGTCTATATATAGTTAGTATGAACTTTTTATAAATATAATTTAATATATAGTAATAATATGTAGTAATTTAATGTTAAACAATTAATCAATTATATAATGATTAGTTTATAACTTGTTTACTTCAATATATTTTTACTAAAAAATTTAGATTTACTTTCATTAATACAAAAAAGATTTGACTCTTTTTTAGTTTAATTAAAATGATTAATCAATTTTTCTTAAGTATATTATTGTATGAGAGGCTCAGGCACTGGAAAACCGTATTTCTATAATACGACCGTTTAATCACTTGTCTGTCCTTGTCTTTAGTCTTTCAGGTTTAGTGCTATTATTGAGTCTTTAATGGCAAATGTCTTGAGTATTCTTCACTACTCTTTAAGTTTGTTTTTAGTCTACAAAACATATTTTTAGCCTTCAGTTATTATTATGATATTATGATATTCTGAGCTAAATAGCTATGATTGCTATAACTTTTCAGCTGCCTGTCCAATGGTATGTCCGACTATATCACTAATAACACTATTAATAGTGTCATTAAATATAACCAAACATTGCATTTGTTACTAAACATTAATTGTTTTTATTGTTTCATAAGATAAAGACAAAACTTAATTTTTGTAAAAGTAGTGAAAGCTATGAAAATACAGTATTTGTTTCACTTTTTTGGTTACAAAGAAAATTACCCATCATTTTGATGGTTATTATCTTTAGACATAAGAAAAATTACATAAATAGTTGTTTTACTAATTTTATAATTTCTAAGACATGTTAAATAAAATAAAAAAGTAGTTTTATTTATAAAATTCATAGCATATTTTAGATGACAGCAATTAACTATTAATATCATATTGACCTATATTTTAAAATTTGTTATTTTTATAAACAGTTAGATTATCATCAAATATTTTGGTAAACATATTAATAATTAAATAAATATAAAATGTCTTTTGAGAGAAAGCAAAGAAAACTAAACGAAAGAAGTGGTTTCAATGCATCGGAAAGATATGATTACTTAGAGAAACTGATTCATGAGTACAATGTTAGCAATTCAAAGGGTATTTAAAGATTAAAGGATTTCTAATGAATCAAAGATCAGTCTTTTCCTAATAGTATTATTGTTTACCACACATACAGAAGCCAAGAGACAGGTGTTGGCAAATTTGGCCAGTTTTGCATACAATCCCATCAACTTTAAAGCAATCAATAATCTTAATATAACTACAGTTTTATTGGATTCAATCAATGAAAAAGATATAAAACTAAGAGAGTTTGCTATCAGTGGTCTGTGTAATCTTAGTGCAGGTAAATACTGTTATTAATGTATATATTAAACGCTTAAATTATATTAATGTTTATTTTTAAATTATTCTTTAGATATTACAAATTTGGAAAAAATAATAAAATTAAATGGATTAAATAAAATAATCAAATTTTTCAAACAAAATTTATTCAATGAAACTATTGTTATATCGTGTATCACTTTATTTATATTTACCAAACAATTGACACATCAAATACCTGGTACAGTATTTAATTATACATTATGTTATTTTTATTGTATAAAATGAAATTAAATTCAAAATTGTTTTTAATTACTGGTAAACATTTTTGTTATACAATACAGTATAAAATGCTGATAAAACTTCTTCTATTAACTTAAATTTATTAGTTTAACTTAGTTTAACTCTAACTTAACTTTATTGTTGTTATTGTTGATTATTATTGCCGTAATTTTTATTTACGATTATTATATATTAATAATACTGAATATAATAATATATTTACCGTTAACTGTTGCTTAATTCTCCGTATGGAGATATGTACCGTAAGTCATAGTTAATAATGTGAGTTTTTAACCATATGAACAAATATTTTGTGACTAAATTTTAATTTGCCACCCCTTATTTTTAGACGTCTCAAATAGTTCCAAACCCTTTGAATATGCTATCTATTTATCGATTTATAATATGTAAAAATACTGTAAACATTTTTGCTTTTCCCCACACCATCGCTTAATTTACAAGGGGTGGTAAAAAATGCGAGTTAAAAAATATAAATACAAAAATATATTTATTATTTTACTGTAAGAATACTGTATAGAGTGGTATTAAGAAGTTTATATTGTTATGTTATTATGTCAATAGTATATCAATAGATAAAATTAATTGTGATTTATTATATGTAATTTAATTGAGTAGTTATTTATTAGAACTTTAAAATATAGCTTTAAAGTGAATGCAGTGATTACCGGTTATAATAGTTATAAAATAAGTTATTTTTTAAAATCTTTATTGATTTATAAACTATTACCTTAATCTTTATTAATTCATTAATTTAGTGAATTAATGAATAATTCATTATAAGTATTTGTTTTATATAATTATATAATTTAATAACGTAGTCAAATATGTTAAATTTTTAAATTTTGTTGTATTTTATGTAATTAATCTAATAATTCAATATTTTAATTATGATAAATTTTAATATAAAAGTATTTATGAATTATTTTACAGAAAGTATACGTTTGGATATCAAAGACACAATTTTACAATTACATGTAAATAATATAAACAAAAGAATTGAAAATTTAATACAAATATATATTATAAACTGATTTAAAAATAAATAAATATTTATTTAAATTAATTAAATGAATGTTGTAATTGGTTTGCAAGAGACGGGTAGTCCATCCCATTTGGCGATCGCTAAACAGGTCCGCTCTCGAGATCCTTGCAATTGAAAGCCATTTTCACAATTGAAGTAACAAATGGTTGCAAAGCGAAAGTCATTAGTCGAGCAATTGATACTTCCATTGACGGGTGGACTCAGTTTTGGACATTTTCTAACTGTTTTTATTGGGAACTAATAAGTTTAGACCAATTGATTCAATTGAAAGATACAAACTTTGACACTGTGTTTGTATGCCATTCCACGTTCCCGTCTCAGTACAGATACGAATACTTGTGCCCTTTAACTCATAACCCGGTCTATTAAATTAATATTTTAATATTCAGATTAATAATGTTTAAATTTATAACTAATTAAATACTAAGTTATTTTTTTTATAATTAAAATATAATAAATTAATATGAAATAAGTTGAGACCTGCATATTATACCACAGGCAGCGTTGTATACATTACTACATTCACTGCTGAAGAAACCGTTATCGGGTGCCACCAGTTTTGGACATTTAAGTACTAATAAAATGTAAAGATATATAAACTACACTACTGTCAAATAAGTACACATATTATACACTATTATTAACATACCCTCACATTTATTTGCAATTTTTTGATACCCTTTTTTGCACTGACATTCAGTTCGGTTCAACACTTTATTGAACACCGGATGAGATGTTTCGGGACAAGTGATGACTGTAAGGAAAGTGCATTCTTTGAATTCACATCTTAAGCCATAAATATAGCTTTCATTTTGTTTTTTATTTCACATCACAAATATTGAAGTTTAAGCCAAAAATTTGAAACAATAAAACATGTCATACGATTGCAATTTCCTAGAATTCCTGAGCCATAATAGCCAGCCTTACAAACGCAAGAGTGGATCCCAGTATTAGTATCACAAACACAGTCAGCGTTTGCATCACAACATTCAGAATATTCTTTACATAAAGAAATACATGAATTTGTTTGGCTTTCTGTAAATTACATTAACTAATTAAATGAGATAATAATCATATGATAAAATACAAATAACTTTATAATACTGGTATTAATTTTTTGTTTGACAAGAAACTCAATTTTATCAAAACTTTCGACAATAAAGTGGTGCATATCTTTAGGTTCCGATGCCATGTCTTTTAATTGTTCAACATTTGCTTTATTGACACCAATTGTATATATTTTAACACCAGATTTCGTCATATTTGTAGCTATTATTTTAAATATGTATAAAAAATATTTTATGTTAATATATGAAAATAATTTAGATTGGATATACTGTATTATATTTTTGATTATGTTACCGGATACAAAATATTTGTATTAAAAATTATTAAAACAGCATTTAACTTAATCGTATTGATTATTTTATAAACATACTTAGAGGTCGGGGGTCATCACCCGTTGAATATTCAGTGGATAAAAATATAATAACCTTTTGAGTATTTTTACGCCAATTTCTAAACACTTCCTAAACATTATTATATCAATTATAATATATATATAAAAATAATATTTTTATTTCTGATCTTACATTTGCTGATTTCAAGGCATCATAAGTATTGGATTTGCGATCAAAGTTTGAAACCGATGTCTTATGGTTAGCAAACTGTTGCTCTGAAATCTTATGATCACTGGATTGTATCAATAGATCTGATATGTGATCGACATTTTCAATCATATCTTTAGTACCGAAACTAATGATTAATACTAACGAATCGTTGAGATTAATATTGAAATTATTGATAAATTTGTGAACAAATTTTTCAAAAATTATAAAATTGGTATTTCCATTGGTTTGCGGGTTATCCAAAATAAACAAAAAGTCACATTTGTGTGATTGCAATGATTTAAATATTGAATTTCTGAATTTATATGATATGTCTTTGATGTGACAACTTTGCTCAAAATTGATGTCTAACTTTGCGTTGATATCATCGTCCATATCATTAATAGAGTTCTTATGGAAAATGTTATAAAAAAATTGTCTGAAAACCGAGTGATATTGACTGCAATCGCAATACGAATCAAACCGTAAATAAAATAAAAGCACAAATATTGTGAAAATTTCAAACTTTAATGAAATCATTATTAATATGCAATTTAAAGGCACATTTGATTGTTGTATTCAAAGACTAGATTTAACTATCAGTTTTGAAAACATTACTACTAAATAAATATCACATAAGAAATGCATAATAAATATACAGAATGTCTTCCAATCCAAGGCTGACTTTAAGTGATACCATAGTTGGGGTCAATCGTCGTGTAGGCGTTTAAATATATTTATCGCTCCCTTTCCCATCCATGCCTTCACTTCACTCATCCAAACCATTGACTTTATATTTATGCGACTTTTACTCTCAAATTTTATTTCATTCATTTTCATTGATCCCCTCATATATTCAAATAACAAATTAAATAAATATTTATATTAATTTTTCTTCAATTTTCTTAAACTATAACTCAAAAATATTATATTTGTTTTCTCTTCTTAGCGCTTGAAAGGACAGTCGTCTTATGGTAAGTGTTGGGCATTTTATAGACTTCAAACTGCAATTGATGAAAATATATTACAAAAACCATTAAATGGATAAAACTGTATAAACAGTTAGCAACTGCATGAATGTCAGGCAATCTCTTTGGCGCCGGTATTGTAAGTGCGCCTATACTTAATAATAAACAACCAACCATTGATGATATAAACTGAAATTATAAGTTTCAAATGTAAATAAATATTTAACAAATATTAGTAATTTATACCGTTATCATTACTGTTCTCTCTCTCCAACAAATTGGATGCCAAATATCAAAATCTCCGAAAGCATTAGTATAGACACATATGAAGAATATTATAAGTGAAAAGTAAGGTATCATTAGACTGTCCTTTATTAACAACGGTTGTAAACTGAAATCCAATTTTAATTAAATGTAAATTAAAAGGTAACAAATCATATATATATTATAGTTTTTAATTAATAATATTTTATCAGATAAATATAAATATATCAAACTTCAAAAAGCTATTTGAAGTATTAGTATCATTGTTACCATTTTCAGTACCCCTGCGTTATCATCATATGTTAATAATTATAATATGATATGTATTGATAATAATTTTTAAATGTATTAACATTTATATATTACCTGAATGTTGAAATGACAACAAACCAGAGGCAACAAAGCGGATGTTTATCCATTAATAGCAAAACACAACTTTTACAAAACATTTATCATATATTAGTTTTAATTATTAAAAAATTATTTAAAAATAATTACATCGAAACCATTAAAATGGACTTTTCGTGGACTTGAAAGGAGAATAAAAAGAATATTAGCGATGAATTTATCTAAAAATTTATAAAAATTTATAATCATATAATTAAACAGTTTATATAATGTAATTACCAAAGAATACTTCAAGTTATCTATTGTTGGCTTTTTAAATACTGCATAACTTGATGGCATCAGTGCTACCACAGTAGTCAATAAACTATAGTATTTATAGTTATTAGTTGTTTTTTTTTAAAAAAGTCAAAATTATTATTTGATACGAAATATTTTAAACTTCTATTACCTCATTTTGGCGAGTGATGAGTCAGTGAAAAAATTTTTGATTTTTATTAAAATTGATAGCGAAAACCAAAAATTTGAAACTTTATCCTTTAAAATATATTAATAATAATTTTAAGTCTTTAACAGTAAATGTTTTTAAAAAATATACTCAATTCTAATATAAAACATAATTACTATAAAATAATAATACCTCATATATTCCTCTATTAAATGGAAAAATCCTATTTAATAATTGAAAAATTGATTCAATACTATGTATATATGGTAGCCATAGTATAACAAAAGTGAAGATTACGGCCATTGAAATTGAGACCAATTTTATTAATTGTTTTAATTTGTTTCGTTGACTAAAACAAATACTTAGTAAATACCAAAAAATAGGAAATGCATAATAAAGAGACATTTGTTTGTAATTAAGGGCTAACGAGAAGACTATTGCAGCCGTTATATGATATCCACTCATCAGACAATTTAATGTCCAAATGACTAATCCAAGTGATACACAGTTATATCTGAAATCAAAAATTATAATTAATAATACAATTAGTATATCGTGTCATCACATCGATTATCACTCAACTGGAAGTGTCCGTAATCTATAAGAATTAACGCCGGATTTAAAAGACTTATTACACAATTGACGGCTTTGTCACGGGGTTTGACTTCGGGAACCATACCTTTCATATATATCGACCAATAGTTATATACAGCTGTGAAGTATATCAACAAATCGACCGCAAGTACTGTTAAAGAGAGAGATCAGATAAAACAATTAATTTGTGGCCAAACTATTCATTACAGTTAATCGTGAAATACCTGTAGATCTCATAAAAATCTTGTGATAATAGCTTTCAAAACCTCTTGATGTGTGTAATTCAACCCACAATGGGTTCAAATATTGAGCACTAAGTTATATATATTAAAAATTAGTATTATTTTTGATTAATAGTGAAGTCAATGGTCAAACATTTTGCCGTTAAGATAGCTATGATATGCAGTCAGCGGCGGGTAATCCAATCCCCAGTAAAGTAGGTCATTGTCTGTGCTATTGGTGTACCATTGGTTGGTCTCCAGATTGACCGTCACTTCCATCCAATGTCTTTGTGCCTCATAGTCACCAAACATGGGTGGACTCGACTCTCCCGAATACGAGTGCTGACCAGTCATCCATCGCAACAATACGGCCAACAAATTGCCGAAATACCATACATTGTCCAACATTTATATCACTAACACTTATGTTGTCTAATATAGACAACAATTAATGTATTAATTATGAGTTTGTGTTTATAAACACATTTGCCATTCATTTACTATTAGTTAATACATTATTACATTATATATGGCTTTAGTTGTGTTAACTCTATTGTAAAACTCAATGCATTTTATCATTGATTTGACAATAAATCACTTAAAGTATCACACAATGTGTTATATGTTATGTTTTTTCAAATAAATTTATGTTTTATAAGTTTGGTTTCGATTTTATTACTATTTTTAATTTTTTAAAAATTATAAAACTAATTAAATATATTAATTAACTAATTATAAGCATTTTTATTTATTATTATTAATTTAGATACATTATAATTTATAAAATATTAAATACAATTATTATATACTGTATATAATATACAATAACGTAAATATATAAAACACCAAAAATATATTTATACCAAACAATTAATGAAAAGAAATTAGTTTATGAAATAATTATGTTTTAAAAATAAATTAATTAATTAAAAATTCAAATCAATGTTAATATATGAAAGCATAACGTTATGAGTGAATGACTTTAATGTCAACTCAAATACAATACGTGTTTACAAAGCAAGTGATGAAATGATTTGATTATTTGATTCATTAGTTTTGTCACTAATTTTATAAATATTTTTATTTTTTGATTATTTTCAACATTTAGTTATATTTATAACAATCACTAAATTAGTTATAATAATGTTAGACATTGAGGACAGAGAAGACACGGAGGACACTGAAGACACAGAAGATAGGGGTGATAATGAAGACAGCGTTGAGTTGAGAGCCCGCCGTAAGATAATTGACGCCAAGTTGAAGGCCAGACCCGGTTAGTGACCAATTGGTGACATTTTGACACATTGTTGTATATAATCGATGTCTTATTCATGTGATTAACCAGAATTATGTGGATGTGATTCGTGGACACAACACAACTACAGCCAAACTTTTGATTTGAGTACCGATAACATTGAAGACACTGTTGACCGAATCGATGCCAAAGAGGTGAGACCCGAACAGTTCGTCGAAAAATATGAAAAGCTGTACCGACCCGTTGTCATCACTTCCTTATGTGATAATTGGAAAGCATGTCATAAGTGGACACTTGCAGTATGTCTTAGTTATGATAATATCTACAATAAATTGTAATCAATGTTTGTATTGAATGGCTTTATAGAGATTGGCAAAGAAGTACAGAAACCAGAAGTTCAAATGCGGTGAAGACAATGAAGGATATAGTGTTAAGCTTAAGATGAAGTATTTCGTTCATTACATGAAAAACAATTCAGATGACAGTCCTCTATATATATTTGACAGCAATTATGGAGAGGTATTAACTTATTTTAGTTACCGGTAAATATGATTTTTTATTACAAATAAGTAATCAATTAATGTTTGTTGTAAAGCACTGCCGAAAGAAGAAACTTCTTGAAGACTATAAGCTTCCCGAGTATTTCAGCGATGATTTGTTTCAATACGTTGGAGAAGAGAGACGACCCCCATATCGATGGTTTGTAATGGGACCGCCACGTAGTGGCACCGGTATCCATATCGATCCATTAGGTACAAGTGCTTGGAATGCATTGATTATGGGCTACAAAAGGTGGTGTTTATTTCCGACTACAACTCCACGGGAACTAATTAAAGTGAAGCCACATGAAGGAGGCAAACAATGTGATGAAGCAATCACTTGGTTTAATGTGATTTACCCAAAAACTAAGTCCCCTGAGTGGCCACAAGAGTTTAAACCGTTAGAGATTATTCAAAAACCCGGTGAAACAGTGTTTGTACCGAGTGGTTGGTGGCACGTAGTCATCAATCTAACAAACACTGTGGCTGTCACTCAAAACTTCTGCAGTTTCACAAATTTTAGTGTTGTTTGGCATAAAACTATTAGAGGAAGACCTAAATTGTCACAAAAGTGGTTATTAGTACTTAAAGAGAAAATACCAGAGTTGGCTGCAATTGCAGAGAGAGTTGATTTGAGTCAAAGCACAGGTGTAGCCTCTGATAGCTCTAGTGATGACAGTTCGAGCAGCAGTTCCAGTTCAGACTCAGAGTGCTGTTCCAGTGCTAACTCAGTTAGTGATAATGACTACGATTCGGGTCAGGAAAGTATTGGAAACAAAAAGCATAGAAGGAAAAGGTAGTTATGACTAGTTATAGTTAATTATTATTGTAATGAATGGTAATTATAGTAAATCAATGATTTAAATATATTTGACTTTTTCAGACACAGATCATTGAGCCGTTCGTTTGAAGGCGAAAATAGACATCAAAAACACAAAAGTTGATAATAATGCCAATCAATAGTTTAAAAAGTAAAAGTGCCATAAATTATAAATTAATAATTACTTATTTAATGTCATCAAAACTGCCACTAAATATATGATTAAATTTATCAAACATTTCATTCGTTATAAAAACTTTCAAAATCAAGAAATTGTAATCATTTGAGTCGACATTTAACTCACGAATTGCCGCCTCTTTGTAAAGCCATTGATATTCAGGCCCTCCGTTAGCAACGCTTTGGAATATTTTAAATAATTTTTTATATTTAATAAAATTATAAATCAATAAAATATTTAAATAAATACCGAAGTGTTTTGTCTAATCTTTTGGTGTTTTCAATGACCTGTTTCTCGATAACACTCAACAATTGAGTGAAACCAATCCTCTGAGTGGCCGATACTAATAATTTATTACAATTGTCTACAATATTTTTATCAGTGACTAAATCCACTTTATTTGCCACTTCGATGATACTATTTTTCAGTTTCTCTGGCACTTGAATTTCATCCAATGTTTGACTAACAACCTGTTCGTGTAGTTTATAATTGGGATGACTTATGTCAAGAACGTGAACAATGATATCAGCGAAACATATTTCACTTAAAGTGGCTTTAAATGAATGGATTAAAGCGGTTGGGATATCGGATATAAAGCCAATGGTGTCAGTAAACAATACTTTGACACTTGAAGGCAACCTTCCCTCGTGAACAGTCACATCCAATGTGGCAAACAATTGGTTCTTTGGGGTTAACTTTTCGTCATGAGTTAAGGCTTTAATAAGTGATGTTTTGCCTGAATTGGTGTAACCGATGATAGCAATCACAGGATATTGTTTTCGTTCTCTGTTTTGTCTTAATATTTTTCGATTGGATTCAATTTTATCTAAGAGTTTCTTTAATTTAATTTCTCTTTCAATGAGAATTTTTTTTCTGACTTCAAACAATGTCTGACCCATACCTCCGGTCACTTTAAGCCAACTCTTATCTCTAGTGTTTCTTGTGTTCTCGAGAGCTCTTAAATTCTTCCTGATATATGGTATTTCAGCCAAAGCTATCTGTAATTTAGCTTCTTTGGTGTTGGCCTGAGATTTGAAGATATTCAGTACAATTGAGTATCGATCGTAAATCTGACAAAAAAAATCATTAAAAACAAATTACAAGAATTCATGTCAACTACGCTTACATTTACGCCTAACTGTGACTCCATTTCAGACATTTGTATGGCTTTTAACATTTCTATCGAGAAGACAACAGCAGTAATGTTAGGATTAGCCATAACTCTCTTCTTCAAGAGCTCGAGATTTCCTGAACCGAACATTCGTTTACTTCTTAAATCAAGAGTTGATATCATAACTGAATCAATAACTTTCATATTTGGCAGAGTATTAACTAAAGCTATTGTCTCGTTCATCAAATTCTTGGCATAATTGATGTCCATTTCTTTGTGTCCCCACTTCTGTCTCGGCATTATTAACAGCACTTTCTGTTTGTCGCCGATTGTCTGCCAATTTGGTGGCACCAACTCTTGATAGTTGGCATCAATTAAAACTTTGTCCACTTCTTTATTGACATCATTAGTAGAAACCTCTTGGCGTCGACTACTGACTCTATGACAAGTATATGAAGAAAATGATGGCTTTGACCACAAACGACAACAATTGATCAAAGAATCACTAAAAAGTGGTCTCAAACCACTTCTAATGCAATAAATCACATGTTTTGACATTTAAACGATAGACTGCTCTTCACATGTCTTTTACCACAGCATTTGATTTGAATTTTTAAAGTATTGTCATTTACATCAAGACATGACTTATTTGACGCAATCGCAGACATTCAATGACATCATTGTCTTCATGTGATATCAGAGTTGATTTCAAGTGATGTAAACAAAGTGCTAAACAGTGTTTGAAAACTAAAGAAATGTTGAAATCATTTGAATTACATTTCTTTCATAAGTCACACGTCTTTCGCCATCTCTTTAAACGTAAGACTTATATGTTGTCAACAAATGAAAAGACTTTTAAAGTTCTCTAATAGTCTTTGACGGCGACAGTGGTCTCAAAGTTATAAACTATGAGTTCATTAAATCTATCAGAAGATCATTTTGATTATATTTGCGATCAATTGAAGACCCATTTGTCTGGTATTGGTTTAGAACACTATCCGTTCAAAGTATGTTATCATTGGATCTATTAATTGATTCATTTAAATGACTTCTTCAATACCAATAGATAGGATGGTATAACCAAATGGTTTCACCGAAATTTCGGTTACCATTTGATGATAATTGCATTGCGTTTGTCATCATTAGTACTCCCGATATGTTTGAATTGGCTTTTATTCCTTATTTGAGGAACTATTGGTTGGACAACAAGTCATGCAGTGATCCAATCGATGAGTGTATGAAATATCACTTCAATTTACTTAAAGAGGTTTTTATTGATTTTTTGAGTTCAAAATTAATTATTCATTTAAAAACTAATGAATTTTAAAACGTTGACAGAAATTGAGTGCCTTTTCAGTGGAAGTGATCCACGATTTTGAGTTATTTATGCCTAACCGCAGACCAAGAGTGTTGGTCCAAACGGCTGCACATGTAAGCGGTGCCGCCTTTTATTATAAGCCTGACTTTATCAGTGACAGCACCGATATCTCACACAAACTCTTAGGCGTTTGCATTCATCCACTTTTCGGCGGTTGGTTTGCCATCAGAGGTGTTATTGTCTTCAAAAGTCTAAACAATGTTTCATTGAAAGCTCGACAACCAATTGATGTGATTCCCGGCATTGACTCAAAAAAGAGGTTATTATTGAATTTCAATTATCATTGGAAGGACTGGTCGTATAGAGATGTCATTCCTGTCCTCAAAAAATATAGTGATTTACAAATCAAATACTTTTCATTGAAACCGTGTGAACGCAAAGAGTTTATAAATTATTTGATTCATTTGAAAAATTAGTTTTTTATCTCATTTTTGTATAATATTTACTGATTTACTTTAGTTATTATTATTTGCATTATTGTATTATTGTTACTATTATTGTTAGTTAATTAAAATTGTTATAAATTTATTAATACCGGATGATACAAAATATATGTAAATAAATTGAAAATTGAATATTAATTTTATATAAATTGAATTATTTTAACTTTTAATTTATGTAAAATATAAGTTTATAAAATTATTTTAGTTTTGGTTTGAATGTGTTATCTTTTATAATGAAGGCCACCATTTAGTCCCGAAGTTGTCAATCAAAATATAGCTTTTTTAGAGTTAAATTTGTCATTTTCGGGGATAATATAAGGGTTTAAACAAAAACTTATTAATCTATCTAAAGAAGTAGATTTCACATACGATTTGTTTCAATCAGTATATGATCTGAAATTTATAGTTACAGTAAATGCGGTAAAAACGCTAAAAAATTAAGAATAAATCAAATCAAATGTGACTCAAAATATTATGTTAATATTAAAACAAAATAGTTTTGAATTAAAATAAATGTATATTTGTTTTAAATTTTTACATTTCTTTCTTTAATTTTATATATTAATTAACTATAAAATATTATTATATTTATTTTGACATAATTTTTAAATGTAACTAAAATATATAAATAACTAATGATTTTGATTTTGAAAATTACTGAAAACTAAATGACTAATGAAGACAACATTGAAATTAAAATATTAATTAGAAATTTGAATAAAATTAATTAATATTACGGTATTTTCAGAGATTACTCAGGAATTTTAAAATAAGGCTAAATATGTAAAATCTAAAACTATTGTCTAATTTTTAAGCTATTTATTTATTTTATTTATTTGAAAGTTATTCTTAAAAATATATTAATTTAGAAAAAAATTTAGATTGTCATTAACCAAACATTAATATAATTATTAAGCAATTTTTAAACAGTATTTTTATACATTAGTTATACTGTATTATAATAGGATTTCTATTATGCTATTGTTTCTAAAATGCTGTGTATTAAAAATATATGCATACAATGTATATATTTTTATTAAATTAACTAAAGTAAATATTTTAAGTTAATCATCTTATAAATATATTATCATAAATCAATTTAATATTACTAAGTAATTAGGATTACTATATATTCTATGGTGTCGTAAATAAATTATCCTTATGTTATAAATTTATACTGTATTTATAAATTAATTTGTGTTTTATTGTGTAATATACCGGTAATTATATTTATTAGTTGAGGTAAAAAATAGCAAATCATAACAGCAATAGTTTGTAATTTTACTATAATTATTACAATATGACTGAATATAAAGTCATTTCCCTATTTAGCAATTTCCCATTAATTAATATATTAGATACAAAAGTTATATTAATATTTAAAGATATATTACCAAAAAATATCTCATTAAACAAACTCAAAATTCCCATTAAATTTTGCAAAACAACTTTTATTTATCTTATAATTAAATAACTTTATAAATTATTAGATTGTATTTCACAACAAATGTTCCCATAAATACAATGATTTATGATTAAAATCAACATTTAATTAGCTTTTATTAATGTATTAATATAATTAAAAGATATGACCTAATCGTAAGGCAAAAGAGGCGTTTTTAAGTGTTATTATTATTATTAATATTTTTTAAATAAATAACCAAAATGTATGATAACTGTGAAAACAATATGAATAATTGAAATCAACTGAAATCAACTCAATTGGTTAAAACCGTGAGTTTAACGGTTCCGTTAATAGATTTTAATACTTCGACAGCGTTTTCATGGGTCAGTCCATTCAATTGAGTGGTAGTCCATTGATCTTCGGCTTCGTTGGTCAGAATACCGACTGTTAGAAGGATGTCTCCTCTCTTGAGACGTCCATCTTTAGCAGCGGCGCCCCTCTCGAAGACACTCTTTACACAAATGGGAAGATCTCCGTGAGGACTGCCATAACCACCGACTATACTAAATCCCAATCCCTCTGATTTTCGCTCTAATATTATTTCCTTTTGTTGTAAAGGCCTATAAATCATTCAATGTATTATTATTTAATAAAATGCATTCAAATTGTAATTAATTTCATGATTAACTTATTATAACTAATTGTTTGTGCAATTATCATATTTATATTTAATAATAATAATTATTTTATTTTGAGATATAATTAAAATATATCTTTAATAATAGTCATGTATTAATAATTATGTAAATTTAATATAAGAGAAGTTATTTATACTATATTTTATGGAAAATTTAATGAGTGTTTAAAATCTATTTAAATTCAAATAAGTGTTGAGTTAAAGTTTATTTAACAAAACATTATGCTAAAGTATATAATCTATATGACCTTTGACATTATTACTATAACTTACAGTATTATATATATATATATAATAATATATATAAATCAATAAACTATACTAAAAAAATATTTATAACATTTTAAAATTAATACCGTTTGCTACTAAAAAAGCAAAATTTATATTAAAATAATTTAAGTTTTAAATAATGAAGTCATTGAATTATAATATCATAATACAGTATATTATTAATATAATTATACGACAGAAATCAATAATAATAATGTTTTTATTAATATTTGTATTAAATTTGCAAATATAATAAAAATAATATAAACTAAAAATATGACTATTAATAGAAATAAATTAATTTATAAAAAATAATAATATAAGTGAAAATCTGACCTCAAGTTAATATCTTCTGATAATTGAGTGCAACAAATGATCAAATATTTCATTTTTAATATAAATTTCAATATATTTTTTATTTGAAGACTTACTCATCGGTTGACATTTCATCAGACTTTGATGTCGACAATGTTTCTGCATTTGTCTGTCGCGAACCAGCTTTTAATCGACCGATTTTTAATTGTATTTTACCACAAGTTGTCTACAATATAACAAATAGTTTATAATAATAGTCGACAACAAAGAAATAGTGACCTTAAGGATGGCGGCCGCGTGTGATTGCGGGGCATCTTTCAAGTCTTCGCTGTTAACCTATCAGTCAATCATTAATATTAAATATGTTATAACATTACTAAGACTTACTTCTAAGATCTGATCGCCGACCATAAGTGGTGGACGAGCTTCAGATTCAGCAATGCCTCCCTTTACCACTTCTGATATAAAAACTCCGGAACCACTTTTCTTTCCGACAATACTTAATCCTAAACCTCGTCCCGACTTTTTAAACAACTCGACATCAATAATATCACTTTCTTCGTCTTGTGTCTCAATATTATCTCTAAAAACTGTTAATTTAATTACAGGAGGCGTTTGTCTGAGGGCTGCGATCGCACGTTCGCTATATTTGATTAAAAGCATAAAATTAGTATTTTTTATAAAAATAATAAAACCATTGACTCAACTGATGAGCATTTCGTAGATCTTCATTATTGACAGCTAAGATCTGATCGCCGGGTTTTAATCGGCCATCGAGTGCGGCCGCGCCGTCGGGATATACTTCATGGATAATAACTGCATTCTTCATTTTAAAAATATATATAATATATATGATATGTAAAACTATTTATTAAATATTGTTAACATACTAATGGTGTGTCCGAACCGCCAACAATACTGAGACCTAACCCAAGTTTTTCTTTAACGATCTCAATAGTGGTCTCCTGTCCGCCCCTAACCTGACATGTCTTGAGATCACTATGTTGTGAATCTGGCATTTCTTTTGTATGCGATATGAAAAAAGATTGAGTGTTTGTGCCATAAGTGTCCAAATTAGAAGAAACTAAATGTGATTTGTGTGTAACAGGTATGGGATGTGTTGGATGTGTTGGAATAGTTTTTTGGTTGGCCCGGGATAGCGATCCATTCGTTGCAGTCGATGTCCGCACCGGACCGTGCAGTGATTTGTGCACTGTTTGTGGTTTGGGGGGTGTAGGTGCAGGTGCACAGGGATCTGAAATAAAAATTATATTATGTACGCATGCCTTCATTATAATAAAATTTAAGTAAAAGTAAAAACTAAATTAAATTAATAAATGTATATTTACATATAATATTTAATTTAATTATATGCTAATAATAAAGTAAATAATATAATCAACATTCACCCATAAATTAGTTCATTATTACATAAGACTGTATTCAAACAATTGAATAGTAATCAATACAATCAACATATTTGGTATATTTGTTAACTTTTCAAATTGATTATTCAATATATTTAATATAATGTTCATATTATATAACTCAATACTTAATCATTAAATAATATTACATAAAACTCAATAAAAGCAAAACATAATAGAAATAAATACATAAATTAATTAAAATAAATAAAGATTAGAATTAATAGACATTTACTTCTTATTTATCAAAATATAATGCAATATATCTTACATTCTTAGATATAATAAAAATAAATAATTATTATTATTATTATCGTAAAACTTATAGTTTATGATATGATCTTATAATTATAGAGAAGTCAAAGGAATGATATTAAAGGATTAGATATAATAATAATGTTTTATATAGTATTTAAGTCATAAACATAGGTTATGTTTAATAATAAAATACATTAACTCACTAATGGTTTCATCCAAATAGAAATTGTCTGTGGAATCAGTTTCGACAATCATTTCTTGAAGACTTGATTTCGATGGTTTGGCAACAACTATGGTAAGCAATCCTTCTGCACTTTTCAGTGTTGAGGCCGCCTATCATTGAATTTAATTATAATTTAATTTTAATATGAATTAATTAGTTATATTAATAATAATGATAGCAATACCGTTTCGTAATCTGCTCCAAATAAATCAATCATATTTACACATAATATCATATCTCCGACGGTAAGTCCGGCCAACTCAGCGGGACTGCCCTCTTGAATATCAGAGACAAATACTCCGCGGCCTAACTCTGAATGTTTTCCTTCAATAATCATTATACCTAAACCTTGAGAACTCTAAAATATAATATTTAGAAATTAGTTAAATTTTTATTGGGAATAACCAATGGGTAAGGTATAGGTTAGTCATACCTTTCTGACAGTTATGGTTCGGACGCCTTTATATTTGCTGTATTTTTCCTCAATGATGTCATCCTCTAAATGGACGGGAAATTGTGTTAATGGCTTAACTGCCATCTCCTCTAAGGCACCATCCCTTCTATAGTTATTAATATAACAATAATTTTAATAAATATTTATGACTCAGTACTGTTGATATCAAAGTAATTACTAATTAAAATTAAATTGTTTTAAGTTATTTAAATTTTTTATAAGTAAGAATATACTTGAAATAACTATTTACTAATAACTTGTTTAATAAGAAAATGATGATAATAATAATAATACAACAAATAATTTCAAATTAATTCATAAAATCATACAATTATTAAAAACTAATTTAAAACAAACCTAAGAGCAATAATACGATAAACGGGTCCACTCAGACTTTTGATGATTGCGGAAGCGTTGAGGTGACATCTTCCTTGAACTACAATACCATTTACCTGTTTATAATAAATAATAAATAATTAACTAATTAATTAAAAATAATAAAAACCCGATTAATAAAATTTTTAAAAACCTCAAGAATCTCATCTCCAATCTGTAGTCTTCCATCTTTATAAGCACTTCCTTTTGGATGCAGACCACAGACAAAGACACTCATTTTGGTTCGGTCTCTATTTCCGGCCAAACTTATGCCGAGTCCGGTCAGACCTTTGTGAAGGTCTACTAAAAATGTATATCCAGTGAGATCTCCATATTTTTTGTGTAGTTTTTCTAATTACAAATATAACAAATAAGATTCAAATAAATAAATTTAATATTTTACTGATGAGATGAATCAAATAATAAAAATATTAAAGTATTAAACTAAATGAAAGCAAAGTCTAATTTGAAGAGAAAATCATTGACATCCATACCGATGGGGTTATCATCGGTTGCTATCACTGAAGGACTTGATATTAATGCAGACATTAATAGAAACGAAGACAAATCAGAGGACGTTTAGAAGAAAACTATTGAATCAAACTTCAAACCATTTATTATGATTGAAAGTTTAAGCAATTTTTAAGCAAAAATATCACATTTACTAGTAATTGTAATACAATAATATTATGAAAGGCTTAATTGGTCTTAAACAACAATAATCATAATTGTTATTTCCAATGATCTGTTTGATCGAGGAATAGCACCTGCTTTCAAATGTCACATAATTTATTAAACCGTTACATCTCTATAAATGACAATATATTTAAGTTATACATTCAAATACAAGGATATAAATATTGATTTAAATTTAATCATTTGATTTAAAGCTGGCAATTGATCGTTCATAGCGTTTGATGAATTTGTATGAAAACATAAAGTAAGCACAGAATCGACAGAATCGGTGCACAGAATCTCTCACAGATTCTTATGAAAGACGGCTTAATATATTGATCGACCGATTCTGTGGCTCTTATTTATAGCCAAAGCCCTCCATAAATACTCAGTAATCATGTGCTCTGGATTTGGAGGAAATATAAGAATAAGCATTCATTTAGACTCCACTTTCGAGTCTTTCGTATCGATTTTGTTCAATGAATTCAAGACCTGTTTATAAGTTTTGCTACGCTTTCTATAATACACTATATTTTGTTATGTTTTGTATTGCCATTCAATTTAAGTGAACGCTTTTGTCACATATACTCATATGTTGTAGACTTATATTAGACTATTAGACAATAATTGTTACAAAGACTATAACATTCAACTTAAGTATTATATCATAAAAACCAATAATTCTCTTCTATTAATGTCTTTCTATAATAAATATTGTATTAATATATTGATTGATTAAAAACAAAACAAAACCAAACAAAAAGGTAAACCAAAACTTGTCATATATTAGTCCAACATTTTACAAACACAAACAATCAATCAAAATATACAAATTGTTTTAAAACTTTTATTACTAAAATAAAACAAAAAATAACTTTTACTTCAAATTTAGTATTCTTTCAGTTAAGACTTATAACATTAATTAGTTAAAATTAAAAATATTATTTTAATATATCTTATAATAAAACTAATAATAGAGTTAACAATATTACTAATAATTACTAATATTAATAATTACTTGAAGAGTATCCAAACTCGTCTTCTTTAAGATCCTTTTCATTAGATTCCTTGAAATCATCAGAAGTTAGTCTTATATTTGCAGCACTCGACCTATCGATCTGTTTAAATAATTGTATAATTTTATACAATATTTTAAATAATATAATAATAATATTTTAGAGAAATACCTAGAGATAAGCAAATAGAATGTTTCTAATAAATTTCCCTGAGAAAGTTTCTAGAAAGTTTCTCAGGAATAAATTTCTATAGAAATTTAACTTTTTTGTTATACTATGGGATCCCCATATCTATAGATATTGTAAAACTATAAATATATTAATGAGACATATAATACTATACATATAATATTATACTAAATAATGTAGATTACTGTATAATACAGTACTATATTATACAAATGGGATACCTATATAAATAATTATAATTATTTAATAATAATCAGTTTTGTAAAATTTTATTCACCATTTTATTATATCATAGTTTAATATAATTAAATAAATAAATTTTTTACTTTAATTAATAATTAAAATACTAATAATAATATTTAAATATTACTTATAAAAACAATGTTAAAGATAACAAATATCGAGAAAACAAAATTAACCATGGGGATCCCATAAATAGAAATTTCTTTTAGAAACTTTCTAGAAATTTCTCTATTATTTTATAAATTTCTCTTTTTTGCCAACACTAGAAATACCTGAACTCCATTCGATGTTTTTATTTTTCCGGTCATATCTTTTCCATTTAAATCAATTTGTAATTCAGTTATTTCTTGAGATAATTCCTTTAAAATAAATAATTTAATATTATTTAAAATTAAAAATACAAATTGTTATTAAAACATATCATACATTTAAATTTAATACAACTTTTGAATGGTTAATGTCATCGTTAGTATTGCTTGTAGTCTGTGCTTCAATGTTAGCACTGGTTTGCGGTGAACTAAAGCACTCATCGCTGGCATCAGAGCCCAGTTCTTCAGCAACTGACTCGACGGCAGCCAATGTAGCGCTTGAGGCCATAGATGTCTCAGTTTTGTTGATTAAGTTATCAGTGGAAGCGCTATCTTTGCTCTTAATAATAAATCAATACATATATATATATATATATATAACCAATGTTTTTAATATGAGTTATTAGATGTCAAACTGTTATATCTGAAATATATAGACACATATCGATTGACTATTGAATATAAATTATATTATTTTCTATAATCTAAATCTTTAGAAACCTTTGACACCAAATGACTCATATATCTAATGATATAAACATTCAATTGAATGGTTACATACGTGGGGTAAAAGACTTTGTACGACAAACTTAATGGGATTTTTAGCATTTTTGAAGGCTTCTACTGCCTTGTCGTGAGTGGTTTCACGCAGATCCACGTCGTCAACACTAAGTATACGATCACCACTTTTAAGAGTACCATCACGTCCAGCGGGACTGTCGGGTAATACATTTTTGATGAAAATACCGGATATGGCATTTCCAGGAGATATGTTAAAGAGTTCAACTTTTCCGCCGACAATACTAATGCCTAAACCTTTATGTTCTTCACGATTCAAATACACAACCCTTTCCTCACCCCACTGTCGGGTGACTGTTGAGGTAATACTGGCATTGTTTGTCGTATCACTACTTGTGGATCCCGCTTCTGGAGAAATGCATCGTTTGTCTGAATCTGTACTCATTTGGTCCGCTATATGTTGTTGTGGGCTCTTTTGAGGCACTTTTGTCTTTCGCGGCGATACTATAATAAATATAATAAATGAGTTAAAAGTCTTATAATCTATATATAAATTATATTATATGCTAAATATTTTGACATAACCTTTATATAAAAAGTAACAGTAATTTAAAAATATAATAATTATAAATAAGTAATAATATAATACAATAATACAAAATATACAAACCTATAGGTGATTCTCTATGAGATGATTGTGCAGTTGATTGAAATAATTGTACGTTAATATGACTATCATTTGAACTTATAGTTTGTGTCTTCACTGCCAACTCATTGGAAGTCGAGTCTGAAGTGATTTTCTGTGCATCAAATGAATCGTCTGAAGACATTAATAATGGCTTAAATGAAGTCGGAATCGCTGACTGATTGTACAAAATATTTGTAAATTCAAGTATTTGTTGACTTTGGGTGGGGGTTGAGGGCACGGAAGGCTGAGAGGATTGAGCGCCACATGAAATCTCAACTTCACTGTCGCTATCACTAAGTTTTGGTGCAAAATATGGTGAACTGTAATCAATAGTTAGACAATTTGTAGTTTTTTTTAAATTTTATTAATTAAATTTGTATATAATTTGTAAATATCGATGCCTCAGATAGTCATACCGATAATAATTGGGAAAAATCCTTTTGTAAGCATAAAATAAAAATAAAGCTTTGAATAAAACTTGACATTTAATATGTCTATAATAGCATTGCAAATACTTTTTAAATTTGTATTAAATAAAATTACATATTTTTATAAGGACAACATTAATATCAATAACACAAAATTTATAACTTATAACATATTTCAACTTATGATAAAATAATATAAATTTTCTATGAAATCGATATAATTAAACCAAATTTGTAAAATAATCTACAGTACAAATAAAATTAATTGTGTTATAAATATTATATTCCTTAAAATAACGGATTGTTTGAAGTGTAAGTAATTTTATAAAATTCAAAATAATTAGTTTAATAAATCTTTTAACAAATTTTAATCAAAATAATTTTATTAAAGTATATTTTTACACATAAAAATATTTTCTGAAGATATAAGTCGTTTTCAAAAATGCCTAACACGGTTTTTTGATAATAAGTTTTATTCAAATATTTTTTTACTATGGAATCATGGAACGGATATTATAGCATTAATATATTTTTATATGATAGCTCAGGGATGTGGGGATAGGGATGTTCTATATCTTAAAATCTCTAAGAGATATTGAAATTTTACAAAAAGCATAATATAAAATGATTAGATACGTGTTTTGGGATTTTTAAAAAAATGTGTTATATACGAATAAAAAGTTAATAAATGTCAAAATTGTAAAATTTCAAAATGCGTAAATTAAAAGTTTCTTGGTATATTGGCATATAATTAATGTGATAGTATTCTATATTTTATAGGTAATAATTATTATATTTACAACATTTAATTATTATCTTTAGTTTTTAAGATATTTAAGAAAAATATTTTCCCCATTAGATAAAAAATACTTAGATTTTTATATTATTTATATATATTTAAGTATTACATTTTAAACAACGAGATTATATAATGTGAGAATTGTTTTTCTTAAATAGTCTGAAAACTAAAAATATTAAATAATTGTTGTAAATAGAATAATTATTACCTATAAAATATAGAATACTAACACATTAATTACATGACAATATACCAAGACACTTTTAATTTGCGCCATTTTGAAATTTTACAATTTTGACATTTATTAATTTTTTATTCGAAAACATTTTTGAAAAAAAATCTAAAAACACGTATCTAAGCATTTTATATCTAGTATATTATGCTTTTTGTAAAATTTTAATATACTTTATAGTTTTTGATATATAGAACATCCCTGTCCCACTTCCTGAGCTCATATAAAAAATGTGTTAATGCTACAATATACATTCTATGATTCCATAGTACCAAAAAAAAATTATTTGACTTCAACTTTATAACTTTAAAAGTTATTTCCAAAAAAACCGTGTCAAGCATTTTTGAAAACGATTTTATAATATTGATTTTTTATTAAAATAAAATTGTAAAACATTGTCAATTATTAGTATTTCCTAATGTAGTCAACTAAAAGTTTATTTTCAACAAAGAGATATTAATTATGTGTTAATTAACAAATATAGAAATATTTTCTAATTTAACTTAAATAGAAATTAAAATATTAAAATTTAAAAATTATTTAAAGATCACTAATAAAATTTTGTTCAATAAATATATTTTCAGATTGAAGTCCAGTTATTATATAATTAATTTATTAATTAAAAATTTTGTAGTTTTATGAAATATGAAAAATAATTTTATATAAAAATATCTTAACTCCTTTACTAATTATACAATAAAACAAGTTCAGCAATAATACAATAAAACCTTAACATATAACAACCTTTTTATAATACAATTCTGTATTAACACATAATTATACATAAATATTATTAAATATTATTACTTAAAAGTAATAGAGTTAGAGTTGCCAAAAAAGATAAATTTCTAGAAAGTTTCTAAAAGAAATTTCTGTTTATGAGATCCCATATTAACTTTGTTGTCTCGATATTTATTATTTTGAAAAAATTCATTATATCAATAAATATATAAAATGTAACCATAAAACCATAAAAGTAAGTTAATAGTCGTAAATAAAGGTAAATCAGATTATTAAAGAATCAAATAAATACACAAAATTTAAATATATTGATATACTGTATGTCTCTAATTTCTGTTATCTTTATTCTGTATTTCATTTTCAATTTTATTTCCAAAAATTTGTTAGCACTAGTAATACTATAATATAAAATCACTTTCAAATTAGGTGACAATAATTTTTTTGGCTGTATTTTCCCAACGGATTGAAATACAACAAAAATATTTTACATATAACTATGGTTTTTAGTCACCAATACAATGATTATAGTGCTTTGATTTTATATTGGCACTGTTATGATAGCTCAGGGAGGTATGATATCTCATAAACTAAATGAGATATTCGAATTCTGTTCAATCTAAAAATATAATTGATTAAAAATAATTTCAAACCTCTTTTAGCATTTTTAAATAATATTAAATAGTTTTCGAGTAATCTGATCTAGTCAATCAAAAAAAAAAATTCAAAATAATAAAAAATACACAGTATATCTACATGCAAAATATATTTTAGATTATTACAAAAAATTAAAAAAAAACAAATATTTTGCAAAAAATATATTAATAAATTTAGTCATTATTTATCAATACCTCTCAAAGTAGAGTTTAATATAACATTTGTTTTTTAAACAACATAATAAAATGTGTTGTTTAGGGTTCAATAGGTGGTAGCAAAAGGAAATAAATCCCATATGAATTCCCAGTAAGCAAAGGGAATATAAGGAACTTTTGAAACATAAAACGATGCAATTTCTCGAACCCTATATACAGAATATACAGTATATAATATATACGATTCATATATGAGATACAGAATACTGCATAATATACAGTGTATATCATACAGTAAATACAGTATAACCGATATTTTAGAAATTTATGCTAATTGTATATAATATGATCATTTTATCAACAAATAAAATTATTGTTACATATATTTACGTTATATTATATAATATATATATTCTATATATTGAAAAACGTTAGAAGCAATCGTTTGGTGAACTCTGAACTTTTCGGTTCAAACAAAAATTTTAGATCAATAAATATTGACTCAAATAATAATAATTTTTGTAACATTTTTACAAAAGATAATTTCTGTTGTAGAAATGTTATAAAATAAAATTAGTATTAATATACATAATACAATATATTTGCTAAATAGGTTAAAATGGTTATTTTGTTTATATTGAAATACAGTATATAAAAAAAATAATAATTCTAACAATAAAAAATTGTTAATTTAGATATTGATAAAGTAGTATACAGGTAAATAATAAAAAAAACTTATTAATTATTTTAATATTTTTTTTTAAATTGTCAGAAAATAATTTTATTGAATTGATTATTTAACTAACTTTGTTTGACATAATTTACAAAATATAATTGATTTATAGCTGACTAGCGCTTCGCTTATAAGTTTTTTTCCATACAATTGAATATATAGTCAATTAAGACCATCAGTGATGTGAACCGTAATATAAATTGGTATTTAGTAAAGACATGTAATATTTCTTAAATACAACAATAATATATCGTAAAAATATAAATATACAATACTTTTCTCAATAAAAAGCTATTTAATTAATTTTTAACTATCAATATATAGAATTTTTACAACTTTTTTAGTTATTATTTTTGATCATTTGATATACGCAAAAAAATTGTTTTAATAATTTATCATTTTATCAAATTTAATTTTCAGTAATGTTTATACAATCATATCGACAATAATTTGTAGCAAAAAAAAAGTAAGAAAAAACAAAATTCAGTATACAGTATATCAAATAAATATTATTTATATCATTTTGTAAAGTTAGAGTTTTTGCATGTTATTTTATATTTATAAACTTTATATTTAATTAATGTTTCATCTATATACTATATACTATATAATTATTGTTTGATAATGTTAATATCAAAACTTTATTTAATTTAACTAACCTCAACAAAATACAATATTTAATAGCAATATAACAAAAATATAAACTTGATTAAAATATAAGATTATTTTTATTTCAATATTATATAAGTCGTAATGTAATTTTAAATATAATACTTTATTAAAAATAGATTAAATTACTTGATTATTATTATTTCTAAATAATTTTAAAAATAAGAAATGTTATAAATATGACAGACCTGGGAGATGGTGTGCGTCGAAGTAAAGGCAATAAAGAGGGTGAGGTTCTGTCGAGAGGAGGTGTCGGACTGTGGCTCTGGTGTTGCATAGATAATAGGGCCGACTGTTTGTGTACTTCTGCGTCTTCGGCCGGAATATATTTAAAACTAAAACATTAATAAATCAATTAATATATTTATTTATATATATATATATATATATATAGATATGATATAAAAGTAATTTCTTAAATAAATTATTTATCTTATAATTACGTGATTTCATTGCCTATAAGTTGTGCGCGTCTAAGGATAGCTCGAGCTTTAGAGTTAGTTATATTACGAAGACTTTCGTTATTAATTGATAAGAGATAGTCTCCTCTTGTGATGTTTCCGTTACGATATATGGCACCTGTTTTTGAGGCATTCTTAACAATCATACCATTAATGCCTCTGTCGGCTAACTCGAGAGTCAAACCTAACAAAAATATCTTATTAAATGATTAGACAAAGAGTGCCATAATTTACCCAAAGGATCGCTTCCTTTGTTAATTTTTATAGTCCTTTCAAGTGCTGTCGGCAATGGTATGGCCACTGCATTATGATATGAAGGACTGGGAGATCGAGATCGCGACGAACAATAGTCAAGAGGTGTTGAACTACGAGATTCACTGAACACTAAATTACTGGCACTCGATGTCGGAGACACAGAATCTTTAGTCGTATGATAGCTATCTATAGGAATGTCTGACATTAAGTGATCAGCTAATGATACGGCACTCGAAGACACTTGAGATTCAACCGAATTCATTGAATTGATTGACTCTTGACGTGAGACTTGACTTTTCAATAACTACAACCAAACAATTACAACCAAATATACAACAAATTGTCATCAGTTTTGCCAACAAACCTGTGAGTCCACCTCTGCATTCAAATTAACTGATGGTTGCGTGTAATTCATCGACTTATTGGTTGATATATCAATCAAATTGTTGCTCTCAATTGTATCATCAGTTGGTGATGGTATTGGACTCTTGATGTCGTCAATTGAATATCGCTGTAAAATTTGTGATGCAATAGTTTTAACAAATAATTTAAACTAATATTTAATGTAAACAATCATTTATTGAAAATTATTAGCAAAGGCAAGCCATTGACAAATTTCAAACTATATCCTAATTTTATCATTTCGCTAAAATAATGTCAGTTTACATTAAAATAGTAATCACTATTAAAAACATTTAATGATAATTCATTTCAAGTTTTATTTAGTATTTCTGTAACAATATTTTTATGTTAAAATTAAAAAAGATAATTAATTATGTTATTATACATAGAATTTTAAGTTTTTTAAATTAAATTGAATATTTTTTAAAATAACATTTTTAAAACTAAAAAAAATACATTACAATAATTATATTGCTTTTGATCGTTAATTTGTTCTATAATTACAAATATTGTTATATTATTTAAAAATTCTCATTAAGACTGCTATTGACAACATGTTTCATGTGTTGAGCAATTACTCACAATTTATAAATAATCTTTTTTTTAAATTTTCAATTCAATCTCTTATTTAGTTAAGTATTCACAAACATATTAAAAGTCAGACACAATTTAACTCAAAAAACTGTGACTCAAAACATTTAACGTAAACATTAAATATATTGTCGATTATAAATTGATTTATTTTACACCTAAAAAGTTTGTATAAAAAAGTATAATAAAAATTAGAAAAATAAAATAACAATAAATATATTAAACTAATATTTTTACAATAAAATTATTATTTTACAGTATATATAATATATAAACAAGATTATTGTGCTTTTACTATAAACACATTTCTTTTTTTTGTTGTTGAAAATATTTGTTGAATTATTAAATCTCTCTAAATCTTATAAAACTAAATTTATAAATCATTTTCTTTGTTTTACAATTGCTTAATATACAGTATTATAATAATGCAAATATATAATAATAAAGATATTAAATGACAATTTTAACTCAAGTTAATCCTATCTGTGACTTAAAAATTCAGTTTTAAGTGAAAGTTTGAGTTAATGTTTGAGTCACAACAGTTTGAATCTGTTTGTGAATGAAGATTGAGTTACAACTCTTGAGCTGAGCTGGTGCTCAATCTTAAGTTAGTGTTATGAATACCACTGTAACTAATTATTTACTGAATATAAAGTAATAATTATATATATATATATATATATAGTATATATATACTAAACATAATTATTTTTAAATGATAACATAAGTTATAGTAATAAAATCATTGTTAAATGTATTGCATAATACAAATGCTTTTTAACAATTAAGAATTCATTTGATAATACGAGTGCAACTAATTTATACAAATATATGCAAACAGTAGTTATTTTGCATAAAATTTTATAAATTGTGATACCTGTGCCGACACACTAACAAAAAAAATTAATATATTTCAGAAGCTCTCAGACTTATATAAGGAGGAAAGTAGAGTTGAAGTGGACGCCTGTAATGCTTGTATACTGGAAGGTAAGCCCCGATCCCTACACAACGCACTTGCCTGAGCCGAGTGACTAAAGTCACTGACCTGACTATTGGTTGGCGATTGAATGCTGTGAATTGTGGTACCAGTGCTTTCTGGTAATGGTAATGGTTTGGCCACACCAATCACCACTTTGCCTTTTGGTGCCGTCTTCAGTGTGCGCACGGCTACATCCAAATCATTTGTAATGGTGTCGTTAACAAACAACAGTCTATCTCCAGGAATCAACCGACCGTCCTGTTGAGCAATACCTCCCGGAACAAGAGATCTATGCATTCAATTATCAAAAATTAATATAAAATCATATTTCAAATGATCAAAACAAACCTAATGACAATAACAGTTTCTGTTGGATTCATTGGATCCTAATTTTTAAACAATAGCAAAATAATTTAATAAAACAATGTTAAGATATTGTATTTTAATTGCATACCTGATAGTCTAAAATACTAAATCCCAATCCTTTATCGCCTTTAATTAGTTCAATTAATTCCACTTCAGATGACCACATTGCTAGTCCTGTTAATGGTTCCAATGAGCGAGACTTCATTTTAGTCAAATCGGAAGCGACTGAAACGGGTGGTGCAGAGATGGCAAGCGAACCATCAGATTTTGCTTTGACTAGTCTTTCATATGAGGGCACAATCGATATGAGGCTATCGTTAAGTGACTGGCTTTCTAATGCTAATCTTGAATTTGATAATTGATTGTCACTAATGATGGCATCATAATTGACTAAAACATCACGATTTGCGTAGTCATTATCAAAAGGTCGGGCACATACTATTTGTACCTCTTTTGGCAAATCTTTAAGTAATGGCACCACATCTGAATGACTTAATCCATGGAGTCTAATCCCATTTACCTAATAATATGTATGACATTTCAATAAACAAAACTAAAATTCATATCAAATAAATACCTCTAAAAGTTCGTCACCACTTTTAAGAATACCATTAACACCGACGGGTCCGTCCGGTAAAATTGATCGAATATAATGGTGAGGCCGAACTTCATTGCCATTCTCCACATCTACTGTTCCTTCTAAAGAGATACCTAATCCGGGACCTTCTCTTAAGATGTTTGCAATCTAATAAATGCATTATTTAAATTAATAATAATTTAAATCATAAAAATTCAATACAATAACATACAACAATATCAAAGTTAGAACCGATAATTGTTTGCCATTTGTTTATTAATTCTTCATCAGATTTCTGTACAATTTTATTATTACTATCATTACTGACTGCACTACCGTTTTGATTGTTCTGAATCGCATCAGTTGAATGATCGTAAACATGAATAACTGTAGCACCGGGTGGTGTGTAATATGGAGCCGGTATATCAGGATTAGCTATTGCTTGTTGTAACTGTTCGTATTTAGATCCTCTAAGATATCGGGCTAATCGTAGTTTTACTACTTTGCCTGTACTTCGCAATACATCTACCGCTTGATGATTGGTATATCCATAAAGTGATCGGCCGTCAACCTTACAATCAAAATAATGAGTTTAACATTAATCTTATAATCAATTTTTATTAATATAACAAACTTCGATAATTTGGTCGTTTATGCTTATTTGTCTACAAAGATCAGCCACACTTCCAGTTGCAATACTTTTTATGAAAATACCTGATATTTCCTCAATGTTACCTATAATTAAATAAAGTTATTAATATTTTATATACATTACATCCTGTAGAATACAGGTAATGTAAACAATATTTTCTAGAAATATATCGATTATTTGTTTGTGTTTTATAAACACTGTCATACCTTTATCGTAAACATAACCAGCAATAGTGATGCCTAACCCCTGATGATCCTTAACTAATTCCACTTCAAAAGTTCGCATTTCAGGCAACTCTTCAATAGTTTGGTTGTTGGAAGCAATAGTTGTTTCCTTATTGTTTTGTACATCTATTTGTGGGTTCATATCAATATCCTTATCAATGGCAATATCAGTGCTGGCAACTGATGATGGATAAGCCGGATATGATAGTCGTCCCAACTTATTAAAAATAGTTCCGTTAACTTTAGAATTAATGTCAAATGCAAACTAATGCCAAACCTGTGCCGATATGTTCACGTAATCGGGTTCGGGTTGAGTCAACAGATCACTGTTGGAGGTCTGGCGGACAACCAATTCCGGTCGACAATCAAACTCATAGCTGTGTTCGGGATCGGAGGTCGGCTCATATGAATCTGAATTGGCAGCGATTACGTGGTTTGGTTCGGGCGGAACATTCAACATGAGCTGACCCGTCAGTGGCGAGATGTCGAAGTCGACCGGAAGTATAGACGGGTGTCTCAACAGCTGCTCCTTAAGCTCATCAATCGACTCCTGAATAAGTATTCATTCATATTATATTCATTCAAACATATTATATAAACCAAACGTAAATCAATGTCCAGAATATTCTTGTCATAAGACATAACTGACATTCGTGTCTATCAAAGCTATATTGATTAGAGAGTCACTTAACTCCTCCCACTCTACACATCAAAGCATACAAACGTATTGTAAACAAATGACATAATATATGGCGCATAACGTCATCCATAGTGTTATTCATATTAATAGTCAATATAGTATTACACTTATTATTGTATGTATAAAGTGTTCATTAAAATAATGTATACATAAATGTATATTAAATGTGTTTAAATTAAATATTAAATACTATACACTTAACCAGTTTAAACACATGTGTGCCAATTGTGCCAAATATATGTTAGATAATGCTAATCACCCATATTATTGTGCAAACTTTTATTAGTCACAATTATTTTAATTTCATTTCTATTGATTAATTAATTTATCACATATTCTTAAGTCATCCAAACATCTATTTGCTAAATATATACATAATGTTACACACATTTAAAACTATTTTTAATTAAAAAATAATTAAATTGATTGTAACCTATGTTTTTACAGTTAGAAATAAACGGCATTTTTTATTTACTGTAATTGATTGATTAATCTTTCATACCAAACAAATTTTATTCATTATCTCATTGATCTATTATTAGTAATGCCACTTGACTAACATATTATACAATTTTAACTACAATTTTCAATATGTCAAATTTTATGCAAATACATTAATTTATAGATAGCTAACTATTTATATTCACTTAATAAGTTAATTGATTTAATGACAATCATATGTTTTGTATAAAATTAATATTTGTCTCAGAATTGTTTGTCGGCTTTTTCTAAAATGAAATTAATAAACTCTTAACACTTTTATATTTGATATAAACCATTCAAATAATTAAACGATAGTTTGGAGGCGTATAACAAACTAATATATATATATATATATATAAATTAAAAATAGCTTTTAAATGAAATACATGTTTCATATTTTTATTGGGTATCATTTGGCGCAATGGCACCAAATGACACATACTGTATGATACATGCATTGCATTGCAATCATTTTGGATCAAATTTAATGTATTATACAGTTGTCTGTACCCATCAATCAACAAATACATTGTTGAAATGCATTCAATTTGACTGACAAATCGATTAAATAAAACACGTGACTATTGTTTTATTAATTATAATAATATAACAAAACCACTCCACCCAACCATCTATCTATCTATCTATCCATTACATCCCTACCCCACCCAATCAAACCTGTAAACTAACTATAACTTTGTAACAATGGCTACAATTAAATTGTATTTATTTTAACAAAGTATTACTGATTGACCTTAAATTTCAATTAACTAATCATTTATAATATATATTATTATCATTCTGTAAGTGTCAGTCAATTGCAGCCATTGATTGTTATTTGGATTTGGATTTAGTGGTTAATACCTGAATGGCAATAATACTGGCAAATACTGGACATTGGAGGGCAGTTAGCAATGTCTTGACATCCTCTTTAAGATTACTTTCATTGGATCCATCCTTTTGTTTCAAATTATTGTCGATTCTCTCGAGAAGATGTTTAATTTGATTAATATCTGAGTAAAACACATAAATCAATGATTGATCAAAAATCATGTCATCATTGGATCAGCTAATGAAAGCCATGCGACACAACAAACCTTTAGTTATCGTCATATTTATAATAAATTTACTAATAATTCAAATCAATTTATGGCAAAAAATAACATCAATTAATGCAATCAATGGATTGAAAGCAACAAAACAATACAATTATTTAATAATCTATTCAAAGACATGACTAATAATGAAAACCATTCAATAAATAAAAGTCAAAAACAAATAACAATTCAAATCAATGTCACAACAAATGATTGTATCAATTGTTTGACTCGCCTTTCGGTTCACTCATTGTTTGTCACCAACAGTTGGTCACACCATCATTATGTCCACACTATCACATTTGTACCAATAATTATCATCAAATAAAATATATAAACATTTAAATAATTATAATAACAATAAAATAATAAAAATAAACTAAAATTAATGTCTAATAAAAATGTTATCAATTATAGTGAATATGAAATGTGAACTAAAAGTAAAGGTTTACTAAACACTCAAATAAATGAAATGACAATACATTGACAATACATTCAATACATTCACTCAATAGTATTGTCAATACTTAATGCTATGCTTTCATGCATTTCCCACTTGTCTTGCATTCCATACATAGATGGCATTCAAACCATACTTTAATGAATATTTTGGAAATAAATTAATATAAAACAAAATAAAATAAAATTAACAAAATTAGTAAAATTAATAAAATTAATACCTATTAATACCTATGAAAGTTATAATAGTTTATGAATTGTTATGAAGTGTGAAAATCATGTCAAATATCAATTCAATTAATAAATAAACACATTTTACATACCATTACATTTAAAATAGTAAAAGTTGTGCCAATTACTAAACAAATCATTAAACTCTTTTAAATGTAAATTGTATTATCAAAATCAATCGACTTATAGTTTATATATTTTATAATTGTTTAAAATGCAGATTAATTAGAAATATTTTTATTTTCATAAGTATATTATTGCTTAAATAATGTTATTATTACTCTTGAGATTTATTACAGTAAATTTTACAATTATTAAAACAATAAAATTCGTTACAAAATAACAAATAAATTAGCATTAATTAACACAAATATTGTATAAAATTAATAAATATTTAAATCGATTAAAACAAAAAAATTAAAAATCATTAAATTTAAAGAAATTGCAATTTTTAATTGTTTAATTAGTGATTGAGATTTTAAGAAAACATTTGAATAATTAGGCAACTTTAATGATATATGATTTACAATATTATGTATAATAAACATCAATAATGTTAATGTAATTTACAATATGTTAAGCAAATTGGTTTAAATTACTTCAATTTTCAGTCAATGAGAACAATACTATAGACTTATTAAGAGAAACATATGCACCAAATGTGTAACTATTATATAATTGTTATTTAAGTCATCAATTAAATAATATCTATTAAGATATATGTATATAATTTATTTATATAATTGTATAACTATATCACTTTGTTCTAAATAATTACATATTAGTGCTTAGAAAGTTTATAACTATATATTGATAAAAATCTATTTAAATTAATTCACAAATTTATAGATAGCTATAAAAAGTTTATAACGTTTTACGAAATTACGTTACAAAGTTACGAAATATTTTAATGATTTTTTTAGATATTTGTTTTTTGTGAAAATTAAATAATAATAATAATAATGGAAATACTAATAATTAATTGTTTATAAATGTCAATTGAAGAAACAACCAAATAAAATGTCATATTATTACTAATTATAACAAATTTATATATGTTAAACAATTTTTTCCTGTAGTGTATACCTACAGATATCTACTGTCACTATAAAGATATTTCAATTTAATTTTCGTACAAATTGTTAGTTGGACACAATAATAAATTTTATATATTTATAAATTATAAACATATTTGATATTACGGTACTGTATATCTATAATTTATTACCAAATTGAAAAGTCAAACTTAAAGCATTGATAATAATTATGACTTTAATAATATTATTATTATGTATAAGTAATTTACTATAATTGTAGTCATCATTATTTTGAAATTTCTTCCTATTTATCAACTCAAAACATTATAAAAATACAGTTAAAATTAAAATTTGTCAAAATGTTTTAATTTCTAATAATGAATATCTTAATTTCATTTAAAAATAATAACACAAAAACAACAAATAAAAAATTTCTTTATCTATAATTATATAAATAAAGTTTGGATTCGGTTTAATAGTATTATCCATTTGTTTAATAATAAAATAAATATCGATATCACTAACGTTAGCGATGAAACAAATCTCACCATAACTTGTCGTTAACTCAAAAACAATATTTTCAATAATTATTGAATTCCTAAAAATGCTATAAAATAGTAGTTTAAAATTAACAAATTAAGTCATTGGCAAATATATACTGAAATATTATTTTTCTTAATATATTTTAAACTAATTTACAATAATAAGTTTAAGATGTTAAAAATAATAATTAATATATTATATAATTTGGTGCTTTAATACTATAGATGATTAAATAAGTTAGAAATTTGCATTATGACTATATTTCAATACGGCTCATACCTTATCAAAATTGGCAAAATTTGCAAAATTAGTTGACGACCCAAAAGCATCAGTTTGTTTGTTGTTATTATCGTTGAAAGGATCAAAATATTGTTGACTTGAGCTAAAGGGATCACTTTTAATAGTGCTATCAGAGCTTTGACCCGGAGGTGCCGGTGCTGAACGTAATGGCGTTTTACTGATATTCTTAGGCGGTGCCGGTCGTGGAGGCGGCGCTTTGCTCTTTTTAGGTGGAAGTTCTGGTGTTGGACTTTCAGATCTTACATTTGTATTTACTTGCGATGCAAATGGATCGGAACCAAATGGATCAGACTATTATAAAAATAATAAAATTTAAACATTTAACACAAACTTAAATTATAAATTTAAAAATACTTTATTAGGCGTTCCAGTAAAAGATCCTGTTCCAAATGGATCAAATACCTCTTTGGACGCCTCCTGTGGTCCAAAATTTGCAAAACCACTTGAAGTAAAAGGATCGTCACTTCGATTATCACTTTTGAATGGATCTTCTGCTTAATTTTCAATTATTGCCAAAGATATCAATAAATATATAATTACCGTAATTTAAATAAATATTATAATTATTAAATAAGTAATTGATGGCTACCTTTAAATGGATCCTCACCAGCAAACGGATCATTTGAAAACTCAGAGATATTTCCTTTAATATCAGATTCATTTTGAAATGCATTGAAACCGTTTTGATTGTAATTTTGTGATTCGGATTCAATAAGAGGAGGCGTTAAAGTACGCGGCAATAGATTAGATATTTTAATAATATCTTGTGATGAAAGAGCAGAATCCATGTCATTAATGGAATCATTGACTCTTCTTTCATATTCTTCTAATTCAACAATTTTGGTCCGAATTTGGCTGATCTCAAGTTGTGTATCGCCGGCAGTTTTGGCCGCCAATTGAGACTCTTTTCGAAATGACTCTAAATGTGACTCCAATTTGAGTTCTTCTGATTTGAGATCTTCGAGTTCTTTACGTTTAAAAGTTAATTCTTTTTCTTGTGTCTCAACTTTGACTTTTTGTTCATTTAATTGTTGGCTTAAATTTTCAACCTTTTATTATACAATTTATAAATTAATTATTTTGTAAATACCAATCAGTATATTGTATTTAAATTAAAATATGAAATAATTACAGTATATTACATTAAGCGCACAATGAAACCAACACTTTCAAAAACAAAACATTAAAAAAATAATATGACTGTCTATGTGTTACAAATTAAATAAATTCAATAATCTATACAATTGTTGTTTTCAAAGTGTTGGTTTCATTGTGCGCTTAATATTAAATAAAATATAAGTTTTAGAGTAAAGTCACCTTAAGTTTTTCATCCATATTTATGTTATTTAATTCATGCAAATTCTTTTCTAAAAGTTTTGACTTATTTTTTTCGAAATTGTTTTATAAGAATTCATGCAAAAATAAAATATTAAATCAAAGTATTATATAATACATTCAATTAAAGACTATATTAGAGTTACAATACAAACCTGTGATCCCAAATCATCCAAACGTTTTCTTGCCTCACATTTCTGTGAATCCAATTGTTTAAGCATTTGATGCAAAGTTTCGATTTCATTCTGAAGATTCTTAACTTCGCTTTCCTTCAATTTAATGGCCGCTTCGTCTGAGTTAAGCTCTGTTTCGAGCTTTAGTTTTTCACTTTAATAACATTATAAATCGTTACAAATATTCATTAAAAAAAACTAAATAAACTTTACATTTGCAGATCTTTAAGTTCTTCAGCCAAATCATCCAATTCTTTATTACCGGTTGATTGAAGAGAAGGTATATTTGATTTTCCATTAGTGTTTAATGATTGACTTTTTGAGTCCTTTTTTGGAGTTTAAAATAAATTTGTAAATAAGATAATTAGGTCTATAATTATGACAATACATACTAAGGCATTAATATTATCAATTCCTATAGGCTTTGGTCGAAGAGTTGGTGGAATCATTTCGGGACTCAAGACTTGTGGTAACTCTAAACCAATTTGCTTTTGTTTAATGAAATGCATGGCTAAAGCAAACTGTTCTGAGTTTAACTTCCCGTTCTCCTTGAGGTCACACAAATTCCTGATTAATTATAATAATTGTAATAACAATTTAATAATACAGTAATTTTATATTGAATTACCAAATATGTGCTAAAATATTAGTTGGAAGACCACTTTGAACTAGAGTTCCCTTCACATCACCTCCGCCTACATATCCATCTAAGTCTGTATCCAAAGTTTGAAACAATTCATCATATTTTGCTTTGTCTGTTGCGTTCACAACCCATGTGTTTAAACCCGATTTGTTTGTCTGGTTTACAAAAAAAAATACAAATTATATAAAAAAAAAGATATACTAATAAAGTAAACGCAAATTACATTGACTGGAGAAGTGACACGATTTGAAAGCAATTGAGATGTGCTGTCAAAAGCCGACCACATTTCCGGTCGATTTTCTGGTCGTTTTAAACTTAATAACTCTATGGGCAGTACTGAAGGCATCGGTATTTTTGCTGTTGCTTTGGCTACCAAATGCATTGCCTAATTAATTGTAAAATTATAGTTAAAATTATATAAAAAACTAATTACCGTAATTAATAATATTATAAATTAATAATTTCAATATTTAAAAATATAACATACGATAATGAATTCGCTAATATCGAGCAGACCATCTTCATCAGTGTCACTCAAATCCCAAATTTTTGTTAATATATCAACCGGTAGTTTTGAAGCTATCATAATAGGTTTCACAACACTACCGGGCAATTTGCCATCAATTGGTTTATGACTATTAAACAAATCGGTATACTTTTGGCGATCATTAGTGTTTACTGACCAATCAATAGAATCACCCTGTTCATTGTAATGACAAATATTTACTATAATGTCATTTATTTAAAATAATTGTACCATTTTAGGGGGTAATATGTTGAGAGTCAGATCCGTAATGGATGGCTGTCTGCCGTTTTGTACTAAAGCTATTAACTTTAACGCCACAAACAATGACTTCTTATCGAGATATCCCTTACAGTTTGGATCACTTAAGTCCCAAATCTAAATAAATATTTTTCATTAATTTAATAAAATTTTAAAATCGGTTAATACAAATATATTATGTGAATAATATAAACAAATTAAGATAAATATATGCAGGTATATATAATTATTAATAATCCATAACAAAATTTAATTATTACAATAATAATATTTTATGCAATCATTATTAACCTCTATTAAGTTTTTTTTAATTTAATAATTCATAAATTTGTTAATATTCAGCTTTTTTACATAATTTGCATTTAAAAAAATACACACTATTCGTTTAATATAAACAAATTATATATAAACGTTAAATATATTACTAAATTACGCTAAACTAATACTGAAATAAATTAAAATTATTAAAATAGTTAAATGTTTGGTGACATATAAACACCACTTAACCCACTCTTAACTCATATTAATAATCAACAAATCGATAGATTGATTGTACGATATATCATATCATACATTGAATGTACAATATTTTACATTCAATTCAATATATCATATATTTTCTAATATCATAATTAATAAAATAAAAACATTTAAAAGTTCGATAAAATGTAAAATAATGATAAACTAATGTAAAAACTTAAACAATAACTTAATTACTAATCATTAATATAGTAATACTGTTAATTCAATCATCAAATAATGTCAATCATAGGTAACCTTTCCGAGTGTTGCTTGACTTAATCCGGACTTCTTGAGGAAATTTGCGGCTTCGATGGCATTGATATAGTTTGTGGACTTGGGATCCACCTATAGATCAACATTTAAATACAATTCAATCAATCAATTGTCATATAATTAAATCAAAACAAATCAATGACTAACTTGTCTGTAAAGATCTTCATAGATCTCCAAATGATTTACTGATATCTGTATAATAAACAAATCAATTAATTTAAATCAAAACACATAATGTCTAAACAGTTAGTTTGCATACCTGTGCTAATGTTAGGCTATCCATGACATCAATACATCAATACATGAATCAAATGATTTGAAATTCAATTAAATTGTTTGAAAAATACATTGATTTGAGTTATATATTAAATATCAAACATTTCAACGATTAATACATTCTATGAAAACATTACGCATGACTTGAATTCCAGTCAAATATTCATCATTTATTCAAATCAATTACGTCTACAATATTGTCGTTATTGTCAACAAAGTTAACGATAAGTTTTAATATAAACATTGATTGAATGGTTGGAAACATTAATCACATAATTGATGTTAATATATATATGAATGCAATAACTGCTCACTCACTCTACAGTATTGTTATTATTATATAATTATAGTAATAGTAATAATAGTAATAATAATAATAGCATTGGATTTGAATATCATATGAATATATAGTAATTGTTTTGTTAACCGAAACATATCATCGATGACAGACACCGACCACTTGAAGACATATTGTCTAAGAACTAGTATTCAATGTCATTCATCTGACATCCGATGTGTGTCCGCACTACCGAACGGTGGTTTTGTCACCGGATCTCGAGATAAGACATGTAAAGCCTATTTACCCATTGAGTGAGTGTTTGTTATCTTTATTTTGATGACTACTAACCACTAACTCTTATATTTGACAGTAATATCAATGGTTTCAATGAAGTCCAGAATCTTCTCGGACCAGAAAACTATATCTCTAGTATCTGTTGTCTCAATACTAACAACGAAACCTTTATTTTTGTTGGAAGTAATGATTCAAACATTTATTGTTATTCTTTGGAAAACTCTGAACCCATTTACAAACTTCAAGACCACTCGGGAACAGGTATTACAAAATAATTAGTTTTAAACAAATATAAAATTTGTGCAATAAATATGTTTTTATTACTTAAAACTTATTGTCTGTAAATGAAAATAATAATCATAAACTGATCCCTATTTGGGTAACAAAAAGTGTAAAATTAAGGTTAAATCAATTATAATATTATTTCTTAATATCTTTTAATAGTTTGTGCTTTAAGTGTCAACAATGAAAGAGCACTTGTAGTGAGCGGTTCTTGGGATCAGACGTGTCGAGTCTGGAAAGAGAAAAAATGTGAAGCAGTACTCGTTGGTCACGAGGCAGCCGTTTGGAGTACAGCTGTCATTGGGGAACATGTGTTGACCGGTTCGGCAGATAAGACAATCAAGTTATGGAAATTAGTACCTAATGTTGAATGTATTATCACAATGAGTGGTCACACGGATTGTATTCGTGGCTTATCTGTTATATCAGACACTGAGTTCATCTCATGTTCTAATGACGCATCTATTCGTCTTTGGAATATAAAAGGAGAGATAGTCCGAGAATTTTATGGACACGAAAACTACATTTACTCGATCGCCAACATTACCGGTGGCCACGAGTTTGCCTCTTGTAGTGAAGACAGAACTGTCAGAATATGGAATAATAATGACTCTAAAGACAAACAAACCATACCATTGCCGGCAACAACTCTTTGGTCAATAACTCGACTCTCAAACAATGATTTAGCAATCGGTTCGTCGACCGGAAAGATATACATTTTTACAAGAGATGATAAACTAAAGGCAAAACCTGAAGAACTTAAACTATTAGAAGAAGAATTGGCAAAATCAACACTACATGTCAGTGATATCGGAGACATCAAAGTAAGTGAATTACCCACTGCTGACACATTGCTTATGCCGGGAACTAAAGACGGACAAACCAAACTCGTCAAAGATGGTGATAAAGTGACAGTTCATAATTGGGACGCCACTAAACAACAGTGGATTAAAATTGGTGACGTTGTCGGTGCCGCCGATACTAATAAAGAACTTTATGAAGGAGTTGTAAGTTTATTGATTATTAAACTAATTATCCTATTTTATGCTAATCTATGCAATATTAAATAAATTTATAATATTTACCTAATGTTTATAAATTTTTATTAGGAATACGATTATGTATTTTCTATTGATATCGAAGAAGGAAAGCCACGCTTGAAATTGCCGTACAATAAGAATCAAAATCCATACGCAGTCGCCCAGGATTTTATAGATAAACATAATTTAAGTCAACTCTTTTTGGATGAAATCGCAAATTTTATAATCAAAAACACTTCAACTCCAGCGACAATTAGTGGACAAAATTGTGATCCTCTAACTGGAGGCTCAAGTTATTCAACACAACAAAATGGTTCAGTAGTTCAACCGATGGATATTTCGGTAAATAATGATTTTCCAGCAAAAGGACTTTTTCCACAAGAGAAACATATATTATTTGAATCGATTAATGTCGAGGGAATCGCTAAAAAGTTGAAAGAATTTAGTGATTTATTATCACCCGAATTGCGTCTCGAGTCGGATGACATTCAAATACTTTTAAGATTATCTGACTTATCATTTGAAGTCGAACCGAAACAATTGAGACTAATTCGACATTTACTTTCGTGGCCTAAGTTGTATATATTTCCTGCACTCGATCTGATTCGCGCAAGTCTTCTGTTGCCACAAATCAATGAAGATCTTTGCGCTTCAAAAGATTCGATGCGACTCATCGATACACTTCTTGTTTGTGGTACGGATGCAAACTCTACACCAAATCAATTGGTCGCTTATCGGGCCATTTGTAATTTGTTTGCTCATCCAGTTGGTCAACATTTAGCTTTAGCTAACGGTTCTATCATTTTTAAAGCGTTATCAAAGCCATTGTCAACTAATAAGAATGCAATGACAGCTTTGTCCACAATTTTTCTTAACTTTGCCATAACTTTTAATAAGACAAATGAACAGAATTCAGAGCAAAAATTTCAATGCTTTACAACTGTTATCAACCATTTGAATGAAATCATTGAACCCGAGGCTGTATATCGACTTCTGGTTTCTTTGGGAACTCTAGCTTTCAATGACTCGAATATTAACAATCTTTTTAAAAATGAAGAACTATTGGATTTACTTAAAAAGATTAAAAGTAATATAAAGGAAGAAAAAGTTGTCAAATGTGTTGATTTACTATTAGAAATGTGATTACTTGTGATTTCTTAATATTTTATATATTTTATATAATATAAGACTATTTGCTTTGAATACTGTTTATTTGATATTTAAAATAAATATTAAATTAATACAAAATGCAAAAATATTTTTTTATTAAATTTTTAAATACTATAATAGATATAACTTAAATTTATACCGTTTAATAAAATATCGGTATAAATTTAGTTAAAATAGTAAGATAGTTTAAAATTATAAATTATATTACCTATAATATACCAATAATTATTGATACTATTATTTAAAATTGTTTGTTAAAAAAAGTATCGGTATTTGCCTATAAACTAATTTTATACATCGGCTAAACCCTATAATACTATTTATGTTTATTATAAAATAAATATATGTACCGGAAATATTTGTTAAATATTGAAAAATAAGTAATGATAAAAATAATAAAACAAACGGCAATCTTAGTTTTTAAAATTTATTATATCAATCAATGTCTAGATTGTCTATCATATAATAAAATGAATACACAGTTAATATAAAATAGATTATTACTTAGATTATATACAGTAAAAGTAGTGGCATATCATTACCACAATCGATAGATACACTTTATATTATAAGTGGTCCTAAAATAGCATTGAATTAAAAAACTAGTAGCACTAAATTTATTAACCATCGAAAGCAACCAATTGCTATGGATTATAACTTGACATTATAGATACACTTTGTCCTTATAGACCAGTAACCTTTATGTCATAATCTACGGTAATTTTTTAATTTACATTAATTTATACTTCAACTACAAATTCAAAATTTTATTTAAATTATTTAATTAAAATAAATTGCTACTTATTTAAAATATACTGTATGTTTGTTTGCTAGATATGTTAAATATAGTTAAAGTTAGTATTTCTGGGTTTGGGGTTTGCTTTAGTAACAGAGTTTGATATAATACAATATATTCAGGAAATATTAGGAAAACAGATTGACATTTGTATATAAATGATATAATTACAGGTATTTATATAGTGTATTATTATGGGAAACAAAGTTTTAACAGTTCATATTTAAAAAGTTAGTTTTGATAAAATTGTGATTATTTTTATAAATATAACATACTTTAATTAGAAATCAAAAATAAAATAGATATAACTAATTATTTATACAATTTATAAAATTTAGCCGATTTTTGACTTCGCCTTCAATTACGCACAAATTATTGCAATAATTCGCAATTTATACAAAAATAGGCAAAACTTATGCCACAAATTTTGTTAGTAATCAAAGTTTGATTTATAATATGATGTTTTCTGTGATATTTCTATACATAAACTATATTTTTAAAATACTTTATTTTTTTTTACATTTTCATTATTAATATTTTTAATTATACTGTAGTTATTAATTGATAATTTAATATACAATATTTATACTCTATCTACTATTAAATTAGTTATCACAATACACAATAATACAATTATTAAGACAAAATGGATATACAATTTAAGTGGAAAATTAGATAATTGAGTTAATTCTAATACATAATTACTTAGTTGTAAATATTATTATATTTAAAATTGTTGAATTATTAAAAAAAAATTCAAACAAAAAATACATTAATTTTGAAACATTTGAAAGAGTAAATCATGATATTTACTGTATTTTATTTTATGATATTTGTATCATTTTATGATACAGTATTTGTAGAAATTAATAAAGGGATTAATCGTATCATTTTGATAGTGAATTTATGAATCTTGTGATGAAATCTCTAGAAATTGATGCTTATATTTAATGATAAATATAAATAGTTTACTAAATAAATCTTGAAAATCGACTCCAAATGATGTTTGACTCAAAAACTTTTCAAAAGTATTTGATTAGTTGATCTGTGATCAGGTTTTTCAAGGATTGCCACTTCTTATTGGTTTAGTTTTGTCCTTTGATTAGTTTCAAAGTCTCAGTTGCCATGGCTTGTCATTGCATAATGTCTTTGATGTACAAAAATACTGTATAATACCAGTCTATACACGACTGTCCTATCCTTTGCATTACTAATTACTTTATATATAAAGTTGAAAAACACTATCGTTTAGTGACTTATTCTAAAAAACTTATTTTGAGAAATAACTACTTAAAAACATTTCATTATTTAAAAATAAGTTAATATTAATGGTTTGTAAACATTAAATATAATTTATATAATTTTTAATATATTTGATTTCATTGGTAAGGCCGTCGACTTGGATTCAGTGGTCGGACTCATCCAAAAGATTTATTTATTACATGAAGAAAGAGTTGATATCTATAAACTGTTTGAAGAGTAAGTACTGTATTTAAACCATTTTGGTGATACCTTTACCGGTATATATAATGTATTCCGGATACCGGTAAAGGTATCACCAAAATAGTTTAAATACATTCCTAATTTTCTATAATTTTTTATTATAATTATTTATAATTTGTCATTTCCTCTCTATTTGCAAAATCATGTATAAAATAAAATATTTCATTAATAAATTTATAGAATATTAATTATATATGATTTTTCAAAATATTCAAAATAATTTCAGTATTTATTATAATTTAATTTAAATTGAATTGAATAAAGGGGTCATAATATATATTTGGATTCAGCGCCTAATTATAATTTTTCGAAATTCCGACAATTAGTTAATAATATAACTCAAGAATTTAAGCGAATATCCAATTCAATTATAGCAATTGAAAAACAGTTGCGATTTAAAGGTGTCTTTAAAATTGCTGATATTGTGACCAAATTACAAGATTTAGAGAAAACAAAGCTCGAGTTGAGCGCTAAGTTACAAATTGCCAAACAAGAAGTCATCGATAATACCAATTCATTAGATAAAAGGGATCTGATTGTGGACATCAAACAAAAGTTTGTCAAACAATACATTTATATTATCTGTTATCTGACTATTGTTTATAAAATACAATATTTATTTAGAATTAGAGAAATCGTTGAATTAATTAATCAACAAATATTGGAATTAAGGCATGAAATGGTCGACTTTGAAGAAGTTAATGAAGAAGCGTTTAAGAAGTTAATTGCAAACAAACAATACATCTGAATATCTTATCAATTGATAAATTCAAAGAAAAACAATATCGAAATATTTTTATTACAAATTCATTTCAAACATTTTGAATTTTAGATTACTAAACAATGAAAGTAATTGACTTTTTTTATTGATTGTAAAATTACATTTGCATTAATTGAATGGTTAATTAATAAAATTAAATCATTTATAAAACAATGTTATTGATATATACCTACTAATAATAAACTATCGATTGAATAAGTGATCCATTCATTTATCATTTGCTCTCATAAAAAGTTTAAATAAAAATCAGTTAATCAATAATAAGCGCTTTAAGTGGCCAATCAATTAGCGTCCACTTTGGCCGCCTCATCAAAATTCTCGACCAGATCTGGCACTTCATCGTCATCCTCTTCGATGGGAGTATTAGCCAAATCATTGCCGACATTTTGGACATTTGCTAATTGTTTCAAATGTGAAAAGTTTTCGGCCCTCAACTGACTCAGTATTCCGGGAACCATATCTGCGATACGTTTGCTCTCCGCCTGACCGGTGATGGCAAAAGTGTTGGCCGCCAACGAGGCCTGAACTTTGGGATTATTGAAGTGTATAACAGTGCCGTCATCTTTGATCATATTCACCTAAAGACAACCATTACATAAACATTATCATTCAAATTCATGGGCACATAACACGTGGTTTTGTAAATAAAACAATGCATTACTTCTTCAATGCCTGGAATTGGATTAACTGTCAACTTCTTGAGTGAATTCTGAAGTTTTTTGTCATCAGTTGTGGCAGTTCTGTGGACAACCTTCTTCTTCCTTCTTGCCGTTCCCTAACATAACAAATACCATCGATGATCAGTATTTGGTAATTAATAAGCAATTAATTGATACATACCTTACCACCAATCCTCACCTGGTCCTGCAACTTCTTAAGCTTCTCTTGATTCATATCTTTATAATTGTTTAGTATTATCTAAAACTAAATATAAAGACAAACAATTAATTGACAGATTAATGGTTGTTTCAAAGCAATCATTTTATGAAACCTAATATAAATACATTTACCGATAATTTGGTCAACACTTACCTTAACTATACTATAAAAGTAAACATTAAATGTTGAAACAAATCCAATAAATTGTTTGACAATTGATTAACAATTGTTATGAAAGTAACTCTAAAATACACTTCAATTGCATTAATCTCTTGAATCAATAGAAATCAATGTAAAGCATGTGTTTGTCTCACATTTACTGTTCAAATGCAAGCATTGAATGACTCAAATGGCGGCAATACTATCATCAACTCATAGATGACACTCATGTCTAGCAAAACATTCAATCATACAGTACTTACACATCAATTAAATAAGTTTTAAATTCAATGAGTAAATGCTTTTAATAAAAACTTATAATTAATAGATGAATGAATGATAAAACTATAATTTCTATCATTTCATCAGTTGCTTAACAATATTAACTATGTGTTAGTACTCTAAACATATAAATTCAAGTGCTTTCAAAACATTCATTTATTGATTCAATTAGTTATTTGCATTATTTTGTAAAGATTTTTGTATATATATATTGAAAAAAACTAATTTTTGACAATAGTTGACACAATATGTGATAAAAATATTACTGTAAGTCAAATATAAATTTATAATATTATTCATTATATAATCAAATGATATTATATTTTATATATTTATAACAAAAAGGAAAATAAAAGTTAAGATATTATTTAACAGATATATAGAATATGAGTGAAATGTTTTGTTATATTTTAAATTATTTAAGTTATGATTTGTTATGAAATGTTATATAAATGAAATTTTACATAATTTTCTAATAAATTTATTATTTTAATATAAATGTCTAAGTTTTATATAAAACACTATATCATAATCTATATTATCGGATACTTGAAAATAAATTTAAAGCAGATTTGGCCTCTTTTTGTGACCGCGTTTTGCTGAACACATTCCAAAACCTAAGCGTTTCATCGCCAGCACCGGTCACTATAGACTCGCCATCGGGAGACATGGCCTGTAGATTCAAAATAAATAATAATAAAAGATAATCAAATAAAAGTATAATTATTATACGAACCAAATATAAGACTCTATATGAATGACCGGTAAGTTTGGCCACCTGTACTAGTGATGGATATTTCCAAACAAGTATTTGATTTTGTGAATATCCATGAGTGCTGACCAACTCTGATGCGTGTTTAGACCACGAAAGGTTACACACCTGAGAACCGGTGTCTACACATTGCATCGGTTGACCAGTAAGTGTGTTCCAGAAGCGAATACAGCGGTCGGCAGTACCGCCACCACTGGCAAGTAAACCATGATGATGGGGTGACCAGGCTATTGCCTTAACAGCAGCTAAGTGTTCTGTATACGTTTGAACAGGTGTTAAACTACTTGTATTCCACACAAACAAACGGTTGTCATTTCCTCCCGATGCTAAATGTTGGTTATCAGGTGACCACTTTAAGCCACAAACCTCTTGTCGGTGTCCAGCAAGACGTCTCTCACTTTGATGTGGAACAGTGCGGACATCACGTTGTAAAATATGACGATCACGACTGCCAGATGACACTGAAGTTCAATGAAAAATATTTATTCATACGATATCTTAACGACATATCAAATAACTAAAGATTACGTGTGTCTCCATTCCAGGCCAATGCCCCAACACGTGCTGTATGTCCTTCAAGAGTAGTCAGACGTTTATTAGCCGTTACGTCCCAGACCTGAACAAACCCGCGATGAGTTCCGACCGCAACTAAATGACCCTAAAATATGATTCGTTAAAAACAGATAACATATCAAACAAACTCAACAAACCCTTTCAGCCCAAGAGACAGATGTAACAGAATCGCCATCAGATGCGAGATCGCAAAGACGTGTGACTTGAGAAGTACAGGCACTCCAGAGATAAACACAAGTGCCTAAACCAACACTCAATATGTTAGTTGAAGACCAGTCGACTAAATTGAGATAAAAATCGTCCTGAAGTTCGGGTGCGTCGAGTACTTTGAAAGGAATTTTTGATATTTTTCGGGCCGTTTTTCGTGGCGAACGCAACAACTTTTGACTTTTGCTGCTCACGGGTGACAATGAATAAGGACTGGTCGGCTCATTCAAACTTTCACTTTCTCTCACCCGATACTATCAGATATGATATAAATTAATAATTATTAATAATATCATAAAATTTTGTCAATAGTTAAACACTTACACGAAATAGATTTTTGCTTTCGAGTGGTAAAAATATTTTTCTTTCTTCTGTATGTTCTTTCATGTCTTCAATACCAGCGCCAAGTAATTCATTCTTTAAGAGGCACTGGTATGCTATGCCATCCTTATTGCTCTCAGATATTGATTCTTTGGCCGTTTTCTTTGCCGACACTGATTTGGATCCATCCTATCATTTATAATACAATTTATAATTATGTATTCAACGGTTCCTAATAAGACATAAGCAATACCTGAATCAAAGTGAACCTAATGTCCCAATTGGGTGATTCCCGTATCGGAGTGTACCGATCGCTGTACCTCTCGGTGCTATTGACCACTGAGTCAAATGCATTTCTTGACGGCTGTTTGGCATCAAATCATATTAAGACAATAAATATCAACAAAATATATGGATTTCAATTAAAATACCGAATTAATTGGTGTTATGTTTGAAACGTTGTTATCAAATGTGTTAACAATTTGTTGATTCAATGGGTTTAATGTCCGTAAAAGTCGTTTCTCATAATTTTTATTCATTTTTAATCAACAATAATATCATATCATATAAATTATACACTAAAAAGTCAAATAAATGATTAAAAACAATAAATATAATTTGATGTCAATTTTAAGTTGATTTTTGAATGCAATTATTCATCAATTGTTAGCCAAATGTTGGCAACAATTAAATCAAATGCAATACTATTTAATTACACAATCAGTGAGTCATTGATTGTAATGTAAACAGTAATGTATTGAATGTATTGTATAATAGAGTCTATAATACAAATTGTATACTAATTGAGAACAGTATTGTTGTGTCTCTAATGTGAGTAATGGCCGCAAAACTCGACATTTAAATGGACTCTAAATGTGATTCTATTGGTTATAAGCTTTGATGCATTCATCTGATTGGTTGACACATTAAGCGCACGTTCCGAATGTAATGTTTGTAATGATTGTTATGTTTGTTGTATTTGTGATGAATGTGTGACACAATTGGGGTGAACGACATGAGTCCACTAACACGTGTTCCGTGTGTTGACATCAATGCAAACAATTTGGACAATTGGTGGCCACATATGATAACAGCCATCAATAGTTGCAATTATGTGGCACTGGATCTCGTATGTGATAATTGTTTATCTCTTAACTGACTTTCTATTTATTTATGATATTATTATTTTGATCAGGAATTGAGTGGTTTGGGTGCCAGAGATAAACTCAATGCTAAGTAATGGATCAATTGATTAATCAATTGTTTAATTAATTGAATTGATTTAACAGACAAATAGATGAAAGATATAAAGCAGTTGTTTGTACGGCTAAAACACGATCTGTTCTGTCCATTGGTTTTGCTTTCTTTACGTTTACTGACAAAAATTCCGGTGATATTAGCAATAAATGTGTTAAAAATAAAACAAAAACTAAGAAACAAACCAATTGTCAAACAAAAGCTAACAACAGTTCAGTGACTGATGACATTCAAGACGTAAACAGGTTTGAAGCTCTTGATAGCCAACTATTTGTCAAATTTGAAGACCAAGACTCTGATTGTAGTGAAAGTGATGTCAAAACTGGTGATAAACAGTGGAAAATAACTGCAAAAGTGTTTAATTTGTTATGTCTTTGTGATGAAGAATATATCTGTGAACCGGAAACGATGCGATTTCTGGCATCACATGGATTTGATTTTAATGGTCAATGTTTACATGGACTACCATATCATCGGGGAAATGATGTGAGTCATCAAATCAGTTAATAATTGCTTATATGTTATAGGTTTACATTAAATTATCAATTTTATTATATATCATATATTTTAAATCTATTAAAGACTAAAGCAATAAATATTTAATAGTTTACATAAACGGTTGATTTATTGAATAACCGTTATTTTATAAATTTGTTTTCACTATAAATGTATTAAAAAAATTAGGTATTTATTTTTTTATAAATATCGTATAAAATAAAGTGTGACAGTTATGTGTTTTATTATAGCCGCTAAACTGTATGATATGATAGTAATTAAGAAACATGATATCTAGTAATAATATATATATATATAACACCTGAGGTGAACACTTAATTTTCTCACAATCACTGATATAATTATCTTTAAAGTATTTGTTTTGTAAATACTGTTATATTAAAGTGAGCCAAACCGTGTGCCACTCATTGTTGAAATATTTATAAAATTATTATTGCAATTAACACATGATATTTAAATCAAATACTTATATATAAATAGTATTATAGTCATTAAGTTAGTGTAATCATTAATTCCAATCATTAATTCCAATCATTAATAATAACCGAAATTTTTATTATTAATTTAATAACAATTTTTTTTTGCTAACTATATTATAAATTTTAAAACTATTATATTACTTATGTGTTAGAATCTAACAGTTTTAAACAATGTATTGTAAGTTTGTAAGAATTTTTAAAAATCAAAATTGAATTTAAAATAAGTGTTAATTTATTTTCTGCACAATTTTCATATATTTTCTGTAGTTTACATCTAAGACTAGTTAAATATTAATTTAATTTAATTTCTCAGTACTTATTATTACAATAAATAATATATGTTTTTCTAGTATTTACAAAAAAGTTGTGAAAGTGGCGGCTATAGAGTAAAAGTATTATAGTTAGTGATAAATCTAATAAAAAGATGCAATAATTTATTTCTATAGTTATTAAATGAAGTGAAAATTTGGATTTAAATAAAATGGCCAAATGTTTGAAATATTATACTGTAATCATAAGAGTCACGTTTTAGACAACTGATTAGTAAATCAACTGAAATGTTATTATCTTTTAAGACAAACTTCTTGAAATGCATTATCTGATCTATTATTTATAAGATTTACTCAAACTTCTAGAAATGTTTTAATTTATTATTGAAGAGTAAATGCATTATTTGATATTTCAATGAATAGACTGTTTTAGCAATTGTTTGTTTAGTGGACACACGCTTTCAGTTAATAATAATGAGTTATTTTAAGACCATTTCCTCAATTAAGACAAAAACTAGTAATAAATCTAATAAAAAGAGCACTAATTTTGTGTCGTCTATAATAACAATCTATTAGTTTTAGCTTTTTATTATCACATGTATTAATACTTTTAGATTAAAATTCAGTAACTCTTAGGATTATCAACAATTGATTAAAAATTTTTGTTTAATTTATCCATATATTTTTTAATGTATTATATTAACTACTAAAATATTTAATATAATTATAATTTTGATTATAGTTTATAACCAATAGTCTAATTTTTAAATTAAGTAATTATTTTATCAGTTATTTAATAATAATTGTTTAGCAAAAACTTTACTAAGTTTTACAAAAATTATATATAATATTATTTAATTACAGACAGAATATGAAGATTCGACGACACCATCGATAAGAAAATTAATAACAGAAATAATTAGACATAAATTGCCAATTGTTTTACACAACGGTTTTATAGATTTGGTATTTTTATACCAAAACTTTTACAGTGATTTACCAAACGATTTGCAGACTTTTATAGCAGATTTGGTTGAGTTGTTTCCGTCCGGTATTTTTGACACCAAATATATCGCAGATTTTCACGAAAGACTTAACAGATCTTATTTGGAGTATTTGTTTTATGAAAAGTATTTATACTTCATATAACATTATTTATATATATTATTATATAACACTTAATCAAACAAATAAAATATTTATTACATTACACTTAGACAGAGGTATAATATCGAGCGATCAATGAATGGACAAACATATATTGATATAACATTTACTTCATATTCACATAATTTATTGGACATCGAGTATCAGGATTTGTCCACAAAAATAGCTTCTGAACCTAATATCGCAATCGATATTTGTCTCGATTATGCCGTTAGTATTGCATTGTACTGTATATTGTAATACAATTGAATTAACTTTATATTATTAACAGAACCACGGATGGTGTAAATTAAAAGATTTATGCAAAAACAGTCATAATATCGACCATATTTTAGATAAGAAGAATACCAGTAAAAGGATTAAGAAAATGATAAGAAAATTAAAAAAGAAAAATGAAGAACAACTTTATGAAGACTCAAACGATGAACACAACTCATCACCGGTAGAGATGATCGTCAATATGAATCACTCGCGACAAGGCGTTCATAGCGCCGGTTACGATGCCTTTATGACTGGCTATTGTTTCGCTTATTATATGGCCGTTAACGCCAAGTCAAGACAGTTGTCTTCAAAACAGTTATGTTTTAAGAGTTTAGGAATTTCCCAATTGGTTAATAATATATACCTTATAGGGAAAGACCAGTCTCTCAGAATAAATGCCAGTTCTTTCGCAAAAACATCTAATAATCATAAGATTAAGATTAAGAGAATTCATACAAATAATTCTTGATTTTTCGTATATTATTTATTTTTAAAACATTTTATTCATAGAATGTTAAGATTTTGTAAATATTTGTTACGTAAATAAATATAAAATTGCGAATAAAATTAGTTATAAGTCATATAACGCGGGGTTGAACTGAATTTTGCATAAGATTTAATGACTTTATTGATGGCTTCGAGGAAATCCTTTTCAGTGGCCACTTTCCTGCGCGCACGGATAGCAAACATCCCAGCTTCAGTGCAAACACTCCTAATTTCAGCACCAGTACTATTAGGACATAAGCGGGCCAACAGCTCAAATCGGATATCTCTCTCAACACTCATAGATCGGGCGTGTATTTTGAAGATATGAGCCCTTCCCTACAATTATTTAATAGTTAAACAACAATTAAAATATCACTTATTATCACTTACATCGAGATCAGGTAATCCAAACTCGACTTTACGGTCAAGCCTTCCGGGTCTCATAAGAGCCGGATCTAATATATCCGGTCTATTAGTAGCCATCAATACTTTAATGTTTCCGCGGGGATCAAAACCGTCCAATTGATTGATGAGCTCAAGCATTGTTCGCTGTACTTCATTATCACCACCGGCTCCGTCATCAAAGCGGGCGCCACCAATAGCATCAATTTCATCAAAAAATATAAGACATGCCTTTTTATTTCTGGCCAATTCAAACAATTCTCTGACCATTCGGGCGCCCTTTCAGTGTGCATACACAACAATGTCATAAATTTTATATTTCAAGTATCCAAACAAATACCTCTCCGACATATTTCTGAACCAATTCCGATCCAATGACGCGAATAAAACAAGCGTCGGTTCTATTGGCGACCGCACGCGCGCACAATGTCTTTCCAGTACCGGGCGGTCCAAACAATAAAACACCTTTTGGTGGCTCTATTCCCAATTTGACAAATCTTTCGGGCTATTGAACAATAAATATTTATTAATGTATTAAATAAATTTCAATCAAAATTCAAATTACATGAAGAAGTGGTGTTTCAACAACTTCTCGTAATTTTTCGATCTGTTCTTTACAACCGCCGACATCACTATAGGTGACATCAGGTTTATCCTCGACCTGCATCATAGTCACTGTCGGATCTATTTTAGGCGGCAAAGGGATGTGAATCTGATATTTGTTGCGATCGACACCGACTCTCATGCCTTCCTCAATGTCAGTCGGGGCCACAGTGTCAGCCAAATCGACGACAAACTTTGCAAATTGTTTGACATTAATAATATATTTTGCGTCTTCATTATCTTGAGTGATAATTTTGGTACATCGGGCCACTTGTAATGGTTGTTCATTCTGTAGCGTCTGCTTATCGGCGGCCAAATCCCAGAGAGCCGGTGGTGCCAAACCTGTGTCCGACTCCTTAATTCCGGTCAACTCATTGACTCTCTTGAGAATCGATTGAATCTCTTCCTCGACTTTCTTTATGGATCGACTGTATTGTCCGGAACCCTATTTAAAGTACAATCAAATTGAATGCTAATGTAATCATTGATATTAACTCACGTATGTCTTCAGCAAAGCAATATCTCCCTCATCGAGAGCTGTCAAACAAATCAACAAAATTAGTCACCAATTGGTGAATCAGTCATTCAAATCATTTACTTTTAATTTCTTTCTCTTTTTTTTCTTCATTATTTTCTTTCATTTTTCGCATATCTTTTCCCAAATAGTCAGACATTTTGATGTCTTTAGCAAAACCTTAGTCTGAGTTCAACACAAAATGTAATCAATTGACTAAAAAATTGAATGATTTGTTAAAAATCAGTTCAAATGAGACAATGATTTGCAAAATATTGTCAACACTTGTCTCGAGTCATAACTATAGCCATCTGTGAGACACTCAGTGCTAACATTAGAACATTGATTGACAATCATTGCCATCGAATCACTGGTTATATCATTACTAGAGTTATGTTTCTTCGGGAATTCCCGAAAATTTAATATTCATTAAATCGTCGGGAATTTAATATTTATAGAAATATGGCAACATTTTAAATGAAATTAACGTCTATTGTTTTTCCCGATTTTCCCGATTTTTGTTGTTTTTTGAGAAAATCCCGAAAAACCCCGAAAAACAGTATTTAAGTGTGTTTTTTCCCGAAATTCGCTAAATATTGATTAACAAAAACTAAATATATAGTCAATACAACATTAGCAACAAATTCAAAACTATATTAACTTAAAAAGCAATGAAAGTGACGCAAGCGTACATAAAAATCACAAAAAATATTGTAATTATTATTTGATATAAAAAACTGTAATTTTGTAAAATATTATATTTAAGTATAATATGAAATATTTGTATTTTTAGTAAACAATGGGTAAAACAAAGAGTAGTTTAAAATCTAAATTAAATTTATTTTTAAAATCAAATAATGAATTAAAAGTTGAAAATGAATGTGTATTTTGTATGGTTTGTGTGAAACAAATAATTATTTCCGAAAGTAAATACAAATGCCGTATCAATGAACACATGTCGAGTGCATCACATCTTAAACACCGAGAGATTAAAGCAAAAGGTGATCAAAAAAGACAACAATTGCTATCAGAATCAATTAAAACGTTAAATCAGAAAAAAGATACTGAAGACTATTTTACAATGCGATTGACTGAAACACTCATTAAATCAAACATACCTTTTCATAAAGTAATGTCTCCGGCATTAAAAGGATTCATTGAAGAATTTGTTTTAAAAGTGGTACCAAATCAGACAACACTTAAACGATATGAAAAGCCATTATATCTAAAAGCTATTGATAATATCAGAAAAATTGTTGCCGAAAATTATGTATATTTTATAATAGATGAAACAAAAGATAGTTGCGATCGAAAAGTGTTTAATATAATGGTTGGTATATTAAATGGCGAGTATAGTAAACCAATGATAATTGATGTCGAGTTCATTGAAGACACTAAACATAACACAATTCAAACTGCATTTTTAAATGCTTGTCAAATACTTTGGCCTCAAGGTATACAATATAATAAAGTGTTACTTTTAGTCACAGACGCCGCATCATATATGAGGACAGTTGGTACCAATTTAAAGATTTTTTTCCCGAAGATGTCTCATATAACATGTGTTGTTCACGCATTAGATAGAGTGTGTCGTAAAATACAAGAAGAATATTCTGAATTAAATATATTTGTTTCTTCAATGAAAAAATGTTTATTAACTTCGAAATCAAAAGAACTACTTTATAGAGAGACGACTGCTCTCCCGTTACCTCCTATTCCTGTCATTACCCGATGGAAAACTTGGTTAGAAACTGTTATGTTTTATCGCACAAATTTTGTTAAAATTGAAATGTTTGTCAATAGTTTGAAACAGGAAACTAACAATCAGTCAATAAAAAAACTTAAATTATTAATAAATGATATAAAATTTAAGAATCAATTATTTGATTCTGAAAATTACAAAATATTAATTGAATCCACAAAACAACTGATGTCTTCAAATATACCAATAAATGATCAAAAAAGTATTATTGATAATACTGTACAGCAATTGTCTGGTTTTGCTAAAGAAAAACTATTGATGTGTTTGGCAAAGAATAAAGATTTGGAAGACTTTTGTGATTCACAAGACTTTGAGACAAAATGTTTGACAAGATATGCACCGTTAAAATCAGTGGACATCGAGCGCTCTTTTTCTGAATATAAGAATATTCTCACTGATAGAAGACATAAGTTTACTAAAGATAATCTTAAATATCATTTTATTATTAAATATAACCAATTTTGTGACAACTAAACTATATATGCTAATTATAATGCAAAAAAAATAAAATTTATTTCCCGATTAATCTCCCGATTTTGTGATTTTTTACTCCCGATTTCCCGACCGATTTTGGCCATTTAAGCTCCCGAAAATGCATAAGTATAATCATTACATTATAAGCTATAATTCAATTTATTTCATAAGTAGTCTAATAATTGATTTCTAATGAAAAAATAATAATTAAAAATCAATTTATTTTTTATGTAGATTTGATTAAACTATAAATTACCAAATTATAACAACTATTGCAAAAATAATAGTATTAAATATAAGCATATATAACTTAAATTTTTAAATATATAATTTTTATTTGATTACTGCAAATAATAAAATAAAAAGTGATATAAGATTAGACTATAAGAATTTATAGTAGAATTTTTGATTAAATTTTATTATTTATTAATTTTGATTATTTTATTTTTGAATGTAACAAACAACTTAAAGTTTAAAACGTAAAATAAATAATTCATATAAATAAGTATATGCCATATATACTATGGTATATGACATACAATTTACAATTTAAAGTGCAAACAATTTCACTTTTTGTGGTATAATATGATTGTTATGTGTCCAGCATTTGCAAGAAAATTCAATTTATTAATGAATGTAAAAAAGCTTAGAAATAAAGCTTATATTAATACTTACTTCTGGTTTTATATTGGTTTTATCGAAACTCAAATTTACAAAATAATGTATGAAATAATTAAATAAATGCAAACATAAAGTGATTTTTAAATTATATTTTATACTATAATTTTGTAAATAATTTATTTTATTAAAATATCTTTTGATTTTATTTTGCTTTATATAAAATGGTTATCTTAGGTCTACCGATTTTTTCATAGTTTTAAGCATTACTAAAACAGTAAAGTCAATTAAAAGATATCTTACTATCCTATCATCCCTTCCCAACAGCACACACCCCTTCCTAACCCTCCAAACCCACCCAATCTAACCTAAAAACATAGATTTAAAGTAATCGTTTTAATAATAAAAATTGTATGACTTTCGCATTACATATAATGCATGTTTTTAAACGCGCGTGAAAATCGATGGACATGAGATAACCACGTTTAGCCAAAATAACAATATTTTATAAATTAGCAAATTAACTATTAATTTTAAATATTTTAAAAAATATGTAAACTATTAATGTAATATTTAATAATTAAAAAAATACTGTATTACGAGTTATATAAATTAATATAATAATTAAAAATAAAGCTTTAAATAAAGAGTATAATACTGCTGTATTATTTAAAGTAAATGTAAATTAAACAATATTATTTTCTTTTAATATACTGTTTTAATATAGATTTAATACAGAGTATACTTTTATTCAAACATAACAAGTTTTTTTTAATGATTATTTTATAAACAAAAATTTGCTGATTTTGTATTAAATTCTTAATGAATTTTATAAAATATTTTATGAATTTCTCAATTTATTTTTGTGTTTATAGATTATATACTGTGAAATTATAAAATAAATAATATTATAGTGTATAATACATAAAACAATACATAGCTTAACTCAATCGTATCGTATTCAAGAAATAAAAAAAATAATTATAAATTTTTGTAATAATACATTATAGATGAAAAGCGTTTTAATTAAAAGCATTAAATGCTTTAGTATTACAACAAATATATTTATTGTTTATGGATTAAATAGTTATCAATCTTTGAAGTGAATTTTATTAATAGAGTTATATTTTTGAATATTAATGAAAATCTATTTTTTTGAATAAGGATTATAAAATTAGTGATTCTTTTCAATTATAGATCATTTAGTTTATATTGTATAGCAATTCATCAAAAATGTTTTCATAAGTTATACTACAGTTTGTTTGAATACATAAGAATCTAACAACAAGTCGAGTGAAAAATATGCTTAAAAAGCAATGTTTTGTCAAATATTTGACTTTTTGAAGTTTCTTTTTATAAAATTCAATATATAAAAAATATAAATTTGAATAAAATTTAGTTAATTTTGCTGATTTATTTTAAAAAATTTGTGTCATCTTAAATTACAAATATAAAATTATATTTATCAATTTATAAATATCATGTAAATAATTTATTATGTTAAAAAAATGTACTAAAATTAAATTTTATATTATATTTTTTATATTAATAAATTATTTAATTTATTTTGCTTTATGGTAGTTTATTATGATTTTCAACAATATAACAATATTGCTAATTTAGTTGAGTTTTATAATTATTTTATTGTTCAAGTAATTGTTTTAATGCTAATGTAGTGCTTTAATACTATTATTATAATACTGTAATATTAACATATAATTTAAATTATAAAAAGTATTATGTTATATTCATATATGTGGGTTAATATATAAAATTTTATTACTATTATTAAATTAATATATATTTATATTTTTAGATAAGTGAAATTAATATAATCAAAATTTCAAAGTGATATCTCAATTATATAATGTTATATATACAATAAATTTACAATAATATTTCCATTTTTTAACCTATAATGTTAAAATGAAATGTATATATATATATTAATTTTAAATATATACTGTATATACTGTATATGAAAGTAGTGAGTGTTACTGATATTAATTATTATTATTATTATTAATATGATTTGTACATATGATGATATATTTGTGGATAAATTTGAATTAATAATGTTTTTATTGAAAGATTAGTTTCAATTAAATTTTTATAGTTTGTGTCTACCTTTGGGTTATAATTTATAAGTAAATGCAATGACAAGTGCTGTACATTCAAGAAATACATTCATTGCTAAAGAAGCGATCGATAGATATAACATGTTTTGGACTATCAATCGATACATCCCTTTGTAAGCCATAACCTGATGTCTCTCTAAAAACTGTTGATTAAATTTTTATGAGTTATTTATGTTTTAAAATCTATTTTAATTTGAATTTTTGTCAATGTATAAGATTTTTTATTTGATAACAATATTGTTATCTATACTTAAGTTATATTAAAAAAGCATTATTCAGTTATATTTTTATTATAAAATCATTTATTAATAACAAATTTAATTGCAATTAATTAATTTTATA